AAAACCAGGAACTTATTCAACCAACATTACGTACTCTAGTCAAGATCAAGTTAAAAAAATTATTCATTTGCAATCAACCATTAAGAGCTAAGTTTGAAAAAAATAAAAATGACAGAAATTGGAAAAAACTTGGTAATTATTTTATAAGAGCAATTTTTTTTATTTATTTTTTTTTTTTTTGTAAATCAAATGACATCAAATGAAGAAATTGTTGAGATATAATTAATAGACGAGAAAATCTTGTGTAGCCGATCAAATAAATTTGATGACATTGTCGTAACTATTGATGAGTTGCATGATCTCTCGTCAATGAAGTTAAAAAGTTCTAAGGCAAGTTGGAAGCCCGTGAAGTAAGAATACTTTAAAGTAATCCACAAATTTCTATTTTTCAAGATCACATTTTAAAGTTCCAATTTACATGAGCTTGTGGTTCATTTCTTGGATATGGATGTAACATTTTGATATGTAAGCCAAGTATTAGGGTTAAATTGGCCCTACAAGTCAATATGCGTCTTTCTAGCACACTTTGTCAATATGCTCTATAATTCCTTCAAATTGGCTCCAGTAAAAAAATGTACATATTATTGATATGAGTAGTGTATTCAATCCATTTAATTTTTTTAAGTTTCAATATCGAATGACCTAGTTGCAGCTCATTCATACACAAAAGTTGGCCTAACACCGGCCTAACTTCAGGAATATCACCGTGGATAAGGACAAAACTAAGGCTACGGGCGAGGTATTGATAAACAACCATCTACAAAAGAGAAAGAGTTGCATTAAGATGAGAATTACGTTATTCCAATAGCTCTGAAGGAGAAAAATAGTGTGGTAATTATAAAGGTACAAAATTTTATATTGAATTTGTCATATACTTAAATACAAAATTTATGATTGTTTGAAAATTATCCAAAGAAGAAGCGTGAGAATGATTTTGTGCATGAAAAATGAGTTGAAAATACATATATCTTGTCGATTGCTTCAAATGAAAATATTAAAGATATGTGGTACTTGAACAGTAGGGCAAGCAAGCACATGATTGAAAATAAAAATTTATTCACTTTAGTCAAAGCTAATCATGGGTAAGTTACAATTGGAGATATCAAGACGTACAAGATTGAAGACATTGAAATTCTCACTCGAAGCAAAGAATGGAATAGTTGAAAAAATATCTAAGGTATTCTATTTTTCTATATCACAAATCGATTTGTCAAGTGTTGGTCTCTTAGAAAAAAATAAACCAAAGTACTAATATTCAATTTATTGGTAATTTTTGCACTATGGTGAAGGAAAACCAAAGTCAAAATTAGTTTAGAAGCAAACAATCTATTTGTGTTAAAACTTGATGTATTGAATAATATTTGTAACATTTTTTCAATTGAAGGAATTTTCAAATTGTGACATGATAGGTTTTTGCACCTCAATTTTGAGAAATTACCGGAATGATCAAATAAGTTAAAGTCTTGTGAAACGATCGCGGAGGAAAATAAATATCTTCAATATTTAACAAAGTATGTCAAATCCATGGCATTAAGCATGAATCGATAGCCTGATATTCACTACAACAAAATGGTATTGCCGAACAAAAAAAACAGAACCAACATGAATATGACCAAGTGCATGTTAAAAATAAAAAAAAATGCCAACTGAATTTTATGGAGAAGTTATCTCATATGTTGTTTACTTGATCAATCTATAACCGAAAGTAGAGTTTGTATAATTATAGTCCAACTAAAGTGTGGTATGGGAAGAAATCAAATGTTAATTATTTGAATACTTTTTGTAGTCTGCATGTGCACATGTCCCAATTTCTTCAATGAGTAAATTTGATGATAAATCGAAAAATGCATCTTCATTAGGTAACCAGATGCTAACCAAATAAAAACTTTTGGTTGTCTTGCCTATGCATATATCCTAAATTTTTTTAGGGGTAAACTATATGATAAATCGAAAAATGCATCTTTATCAAGTACGTGTGAGAACAAAACTTTACAAGTTGTATATGTAACACCCCGACCGGCTCAAACCGGAGCGTCACCGTCACGCCACACTGTAAGGCTCGTTCATCAACCAACTAGCCCTATGTTGTGTCGCTAAGGCTAAAATAACCATTACAAAACAATAATTTAAAGATTTAGAATTAAAATGCACCAGCTTATCATTTAAATAAATAAAGTTCGAGTCAAAAGCATAAGTTGAAAATAGTTCTTAAACATTAATAATGGATTTAAAAAATATTTTAGAAAATAAAGTAGTTATAATTCCCCCCGATGATCACCTATAAAAAGGTTGTAAGAAGAGGGTCAACACAACGGTTGAGTAACCGCAATTAATCGAAGATAAATTAATACGGTATAATGCCACAAAATCATTTGAAGAAGATAATTTGAATAAGATGACACGTATCACATAAGGGGAACTCACACACACGAGTCTTTTAGCGCCTCCCTTATATCTCCTTTTCATTCTCAAATAATAGTGATGAGCACATCACGAAGAAAACTCCACTAGGCCTTAATCAGGCTGGCTCGACCCGGTTTTCTAACCTTATTACTTCGTATGACACGTCACATAGTTTCACATAACAAACGTAGGGTCGCAACCCTCAAAAGAAACTCCACAATGTGTACATAAGGGTTCGAAACCCAAAGTACACGTAAATCAATTTATTATTAGTTTGCGATGGGCGCCATACGGCCCACAACCCTCTAGTCTCCAATATAACATACCAATAGGGGATTGTACGCAATCCAACCCTCCATCACGGATGACAGTCCAAAGACCTTTTCCATCTTGAATGACGGGCACCTCGGAATCACCCAAAAAGGGAACCCGCCATCTCAATCCCTTGACCTAACCCATTCGGGATCTAGTTCAAGGTTAGCTAATTATCCTAAAATACCGGTATACCCTTCACGTGGTTTGCAAGGCACAGAGGTGGAAGGCTATGTCTTATCATCCAAACAATCAACAAGTTGATCAGACTCGACGGGTAGTTTCAATTACCAATTTGACCAAATACTCAACATGCTCTTAGGCAAATTTCAAAAAGAGTGTTTTAAACTCAAAATATTTCAATTGTCAACATTTAACCAAGCAAAAGTAGGATATTAGACCCAACAAGTTCGCTATAATCTCTTTATTTCACCAAATAAACATTTGAATAATATGTCAATCACAATACCAAAAAATCATAATATTTAAATATAATCGTAATTTTTTTTTTCCAAAAATCATAACTAGGTTAGGGCAAAACTAGGGTTTCAAACCCATCTCATAAATTCTATGATTTTCAATTTAAAATCCAAAAATAATCTTCACATAAGCCTTAGATAACATTATAATCAACTTTCTAGAAGAAATTGACAAAATTTAACAGTTTTAAAGCAAACCCATTTGACAAATAATTTAGAAAAATATCAATAGGTCTAGGGATTAGAACATATCATCTATCTAAAATTAATCTCACTTACTTTAAGAGAATAGACCAAAAGGAAGAGTTTTGGAGAAGAAGAATTCCAAGGAAGAAGAAGGTTAGCTGGCTGGCTTAGTGTTCTGTTGTGCTGCCTCTGTTCTTTTCCTTTATTTTATTTTATTTTATTTTATTTTATACTTTATTAAATATAAAAGACTTGGACTCATCATGTATATATATATATAGACATTCTAACTTGGATATGCTATATCTTAACAAATTACGGATAAAGATATGTAAATTTAGAGATACGGACAAACTAAATCTAGTTTATTATTTATTTTACTCCAAACTCAATTTTACTCCTAATTTAAAGCCAATTCCTTAATTTCTTACACCAAAAGCCCAAAATAAATTAGGCCCAAAATAATATTGTCCGACTCCAGCGTCGAACTCCTGCAAGTTCCGGCGAACTTCCGACGAGTATTTTTACAGGGTATTACAGTATAACCCAAAACAACAAAAAACGGTCTCGTAAGAGATAGTTTGGTGGTATGGGGGTTGGACTTATGACCCTGAGGCTATGGGTTCAAACCCCCGACGCCTTAAGTCACATGTCTGTCGGACCTAGTTTGCAAGGTATTAGATTCGATGTGAGGTCATTGTAATATAGCAAGGTATTAGATTCGATGTGAGGTCATTGTAATATATGAATGTACAAATTGATGTCATATTTGTTATATTGACGTGTACTTTATTATGAAATAATGATGAAGGTGAATTTATTGAAAATTCTTCGGTTTCGAAAGAGAGAATGACAAGTATTTCGAGAGGACTTTATGATGAAACTTATATAAGAAAGATAAATGAGTGTAAGTCAAACAAGCTTAATTCTATTGAAAATAATGGAGTGTAAAATATGTAATCAATATCTTCGAGTTGAGTTTAGTTTAAAATTATTGATTAAACTATTTATATTAATAATATGCAAAATCTCTTTCAAAAGTTTACTTGGAAAAACTCTAAAATTAAAAATACCTATTTTAGAGAAATTTCAAGATAGATGACTTACTTGAAGAATTTGTGTTTTACATATAAACTAGTATACGACCTTAATACATTCGACTTTACATAGCTTATAAATTAGATCTAAAGTATAAATTTATAGTTGTTGAATGGAATATTGACAAAATAATAACGTCTTCAGGTTCACATGTCACACGTGATTTTTCTAGTGTGACTTGTCTTGTTAGAGCTAGTTGCAGGACATTAGGTTAGTCTACGCATTACTTTTCTGAATCCACTAAAAATGACTTTTGATAAAACTAGGAACCCTTCACTCTAATTCTGAGTTTTGTTTATAAAACTTTCATATTCAATAGTTATTTTTATCAAAAAAAAAAAAAATACGTGTTTATTATTCTGGACTTATATGTAAACTCAAAAATTATTATTATTATAGTACTTCATCCATCCCAATAGAGTTGTCTTATTTATCCATTTTCGTTTGTTCCAAAATAATTATCTTGTTTTTCTTATCCAGTAATCGTGATCCTATTACTTTTTAAAATCATTAAAAAAAAAAAAAATTACCAGCAAAACGACAGGGCCTATAATATAGGCAATAAGAAATTTCGAATCCACCGGCGGCAGCTGAAGAACCCACCGGCGACGGTGAGCATCATATTCCTCTAACGCTTTTCCATTTGAAAGAGATGAATGGATAGATAACGTAAAACATATTCGCTGCAGACGTTGCGCAAGATACGTAAATTTTGCTCCATCGCCGGGGTTCTGCTTAATTGGGGAGGAATTTGACTGGATTCCGCTGCTTTATTGCGATTCCTCTTTCTGTCCATTGAGAAAAAGCGGAAAAAGGAGAGGATGGTGAAGATCACGGCGTTGCTTGTGCTGAAATGCACTCCAGAAGGTTCGGACCCCGTTATTTTGGCGAACGCCTCGGATCTAAGCAGTTTTGGCTTCTTTCAACGCCCCAGTGTTAGGGAGTTTATTGTCTTCGTCGGTCGGACGGTAGCCAAGCGGACGCCGCCCGGCCAGCGGCAGTCGGTGCAGCATGAAGGTACGATCGGCTATGATCTTTTGCAATTTTATGTTTCACTTGTTCTTCTAACTGTTTGGTATTTGGCTATAATAGCGATCAGGCGGAGCTCTGTGATAGTTTAGGGTTGTATGCTTGGCTTCTGTCATTTTGATGAATCATTACTGCGTTTTCTTTTTAGATATGTTGATGAACACAATTATGCCAAGTTAGTTTTGAAATAAAATCAGTATATGCTCCAACTGTGTCCATGGTTTCTGCACTGCCATTGTATGATGACTTTACCGCTGAAATAAACAAAAGTTACTGACTTTGTTCTTTGGTTAATTTGTAAATTAGAGTACAAGGTTCATTCATACAATCGAAATGGCTTGTGTGCATTGGGTTTTATGGATGATCACTATCCTGTCCGAAGTGCATTTTCATTGCTCAACCAGGTGAGTTCAACTTATGTTTAGAAATGATTGATTTTCTATAGAGAAGGCATACACGCGATTGTTGCTATGGCAGCTCTTGGATGAATATCAAAAGAACTTTGGTGATTCATGGAAAACTGTGCAAGCTGACAGTACTCAACAATGGCCATTTTTGAGTGAAGCACTGACCAAGTTTCAGGTATTTCAATCCTACTCGCTAATTGGAATGTACAGAAAAATTGTGATGGACATGATGAGCCACTTTAGCTCATCAGTACTCTGTACGATCTTGAATTCTTGACAATATTTGTCTAGTAGTTTCTTGGCTTATTATCTTGCAACTTTTTAGGATCCTGCCGAGGCTGACAAGCTGTTGAGGATTCAGCGAGAGTTGGATGAAACAAAAATCATTCTTGTGAGTATTCTACTCAAACCCATACTTTTTGCAAAACATCTACAGTTATTTCACAGTTTATTGATCTTTTGGCCTTAAACCCTACTGGGCAGTCTGGGCTCATCCTTACTACCTTTCTTCCTGACAGTGTCACCGACTATCTCGATCTTTATGGATGTTTTGATATTATTGTGCATCTAATCTATTATATAATGTATTTTCCAAGTGTTCATTATTGTGAAGTTACCAATCTGCTAGCTTATGATGATCTCATATTCACATACAAAGTATAGCACTCAGTATGCGAATGAGAAATAGTGCTGATTTTGTATATCACGGTTGCTCTGCCATAGTGATGCTATTTTCCGTAAGTTGCATTTACTGTAACTCAACTCAAGATGCTTTGAAAGTTCCTCTTTATTGTTTCATTCCTTGAATGTTCAATAGCATATGTTTTCCCCACAAATAAAAAGCATCATCAATATTTTTGCATGCAGCAATGACTTGCTTAGACCTTGAAGATAAGGAATGGGGAAGAATCAGGGAAGTAACACTATAGTTTTATCGGTATAGAGAACAAAGCAATAAAGTATGTATTTGGACTTTGATATGCTTGAATGAAGCATTTCACGAACATTAAGAGCCCAAGAATATAATGATGCATGTGCCTTAGGCTAGTTTGTTTGTGCTTTTTAGGACTATGGGTGAAAAGACAATTAAGCACTTCCGCAGAATTTCAATTCTTATTCTCTCTCTCTCTCTATATATATATATATGGGGGGTGATGCCTGTCATTGTTCATGCTGCTTGTAATATTATGCACCCTCAAATTTAGTTTATAGAGTAAAAGTTATTTTACATGTTTTAACAGGAGTTTAAACTTCACAGTTCAATCCTTCAGCTCCATGTCGGTACATTAGAACTTTGTAGAAGTTTATTGGATTCATAAGAGAAAATCAAATTGCATAACACAATAAATAAATATATGTAGTTTAATAGACCTAAACTAATCATAAATAATGGGGGATCAAGCTAACAATCCCTTCAAATTCGAGCGTACAAATCATATGACCCAAGGTTGCTACAAATGAACTCGAATCTAGGATTTCTAAAAGTTTTTGTCAATATGTCTCCAAGTTGGTCACTTGATGATGCATTTGGTGTCTATACCTCGAGATAACACTTTCTCCTTAATAGACATTCTATTTCAATATGCTTCTTTCATGAAATTTTGATACAATATAAGGTGCTAACCTAGAGGAACTCACATGTAACTAAAGCTATATTACGATACTCAGCTCCAACACTTGAACACGCGCCCACATCTTGCTTCTATTCTTTCAAGATATCAAATTACTTTTAACAAACACACATTAGCTAGATGTAGAATGTCTATCAACCGAAGACATTATCCAATCCACATCTGAATATCCAACCATTCAGAGTGATTGTAATTTGTATAAAGTAAGCATTTCCCACCTAACCTTTTAATATACCACAAATGCGCATAAGTGCCTTCCAATGGGAGTGACATAAAGACTAAAAGAATGGACTAATCACACTTACTGCAAATGATATATATCTGGTTGGGTAATAGTGTGATAATTACCGCAAATGATATATCTGATCAGGTGATAATGAAATAATTGAGCATGCCAACTAGCCTTCTATATCGTCCTGCATCAGTCAAAGGCTCCCTTGTCTAGGAAGCAACTTCGTATTTGTATAAGAATCCACATATCACATTTAGTCATGCATGTTTCTCTAAAATAGGATAACACCATTCTTCAATTGGGCAATCTCAATTTCTAAAAAGTATGACAGTGGTTTCAAATATTTAGTCTGAAAATGGTTGTGTAGGTACTCCTTCGATCGTGTGATGCCATCCATATCATCCCCAGAGATGACAATATCATCAACATAGACAACCAAGTAAACATAACGTCCTTTTGGAGCAAGCTTATTAAATACGGTATGATCAAAATAACATATTGTAATTCCAAATTCTTAAATAACAAGATGGAAACACCAAATCATGCCCATGGGATTATTTCAAGCCATAGATTGAGTGATGAAGCCGACAAATGAAATTGGACTCCGTTTGAGCAACAAAACCAGACGGTTGCTCACAATACAAGGAAGACATTCTCTGAGTGTGTCTAGTTGGGGTTTGAATTTTGGGTTTGGATTTTGAATAGTAAAGATTTTGAATATAAATATTTGTTTGATGTGATATAAATAGGTATTGATATGGTATTTTGAAGGTAACATTTATATTTAGTGTAATATAAAAAATAATAAATAGAAGTTTCATATTCTTTTAGGGAAAATATTGAATAGTAAAAACATTTACCCAAACCCTCAACAACACACCATTTATGTTCAATTGATGTAGAGGCCTACTACACATAGCCGCCATAGAGAGAAAAAGGCCAATGGAAGATGTCTTAGTGCCATGAGAGAGTTTCCGCACTTGAGTAAAGTCCTTCACAATAAGCTGAGGGTTAGGAGGATCAATGTGACCATCAAGGCTAGATGGGTCTAAACTAATCATAAATAATGAGTCCAATCTAACAAACTTAAATTGTATAGAGAAATAGGGGGAAGATATTCTTATTTCATTCCAAAAGAAAAAGAATAGGAAAATATACATATGTACAGAGGTTGATAAAAAATCTATCCAACAAACTAAATCTAGAAAATTCTAACTAAATAATCTCTGTTATAGATATAGATACTCCTCAAGCTAGAGCGTATAAGTCGTATGATTTGAGCTTGTTGCAGATGAACTCGGATCTTGGACCTCTTAGGGCTTTTGTTAATATGTAACACCTTTTCCCGGATGAAGTGACAATCTATTTTAATAAGCTTTGTTTGTTCATAAAATACTCGATTTGATGCAATGTGCAGTGTTGTTTGGTCATCACAACATAACTTCATCTATGACACTTTATAGAATTTGAATTCACAGAGTAATTGTTTAATCCAAAGAAGACCACATTTTGCTAAGGCCATATCACAATATTCAGCATCAGCAATAGAAGAACACACAATCATATCTTGTTTCTTATTTTTCCAAAATAACAAATTACCTCCAACAAATACAAAATAAGTAGAAATAGAGCATGTATCGATTGGAGACCTTGCCCAGTCAGCATGTGAATATCCACCAATTTTAGAGTGACCGTGATTTGTGTAGAGTAAACATTTATCGGGAGACCATTTAATATAACGCAAAATGCATATAAGTGCCTTCCAATGAGAATCACATCGAGACGGCTGGCATTGAGTCAATAAACTGTAGATCGGTCACGCTTTCTTGTCCAGGAAACAACTTTGTATTTAGAACCGTGATTTGTGTAGAGTAAACATTTATCAGGAGACCATTTAATATAACGCAAAATGCGTATAAGTGTCTTCCAATGAGAATCACATCGAGACGGAAGGAATTGACTCAATAAACTGTAGATCGGTCAATGGCTCTCTTGTCCAGGAAACAACTTTGTATTTAGAACCATAGGAGAATCCACAGTCTTACATTTACTCATGCATGTTTTGTCCAACATATCAAGAATATATTTTGTCTTTGTCTTAGATAGGATAGCACTATTATTTGATTGAGCAATCTCAATTTGTAAGAAATACCATAGTGATCCCAAATCTTTTGTCGAATTGTGTAGATGTGCGTTCAACTGTGTAATACAGTACATCATCTCCAGTGATGACAATATCATCAACATAGACAATTAAGGAGAAAAAAGGGAATATATTGTTATTTCATTCCAAGAGAAAAATGAGAGGGAAATATACATGTCTATATATATATATATATATATATAGGGGTTGATAGAGAATCTATCCAACAAACTAAATTTAAAAATCCAAACTAAATCATATCTATCATAGATATAGATATAAAACTAACAAATTTCAATTCTGTAATGCTCAACAAGCTTATGAAGAGAAGGTTACATAGGATGCCTTTAAGTAAAGTTTGTTTCTTTTGAGGTTTTCTTTGGGTTTGATGGTTTGGATTTTGGTTTAAATAATAGTTTGGTGTATTTTTTGAGATGAAAAAATAATTTTTTATTGAGAAAGGTAAAGACGGAATAGTAAGAAACCAAAAGAAACCCAAAAGGAACAAACGATGTGCTTTTGTTATATAGAAATTTGTATCATTACTACCCAAACAGGTACTTGAATCATTATGCATGCTCATGGATTAGCTAATAAGCAGCTGTTACTGTAGTAGCTGTTGATTAAAACTGCAGCCTTTTGATGTATTAGTTTCTTGCCCTTCTTTGTTACTTGCATCAATTATCATATAATATCTGCTTGGCACTTGTCTCAGCACAAAACTATAGATAGCGTCCTGGCACGTGGTGAGAAGTTGGACAGTTTAGTTGAGAAGAGTTCTGATCTTAGTGCAGCTTCTCAGGTTGTTTTCAATTTGATTTTATTGCTCTAGCCATATTGTTATTCCAAATCTTCTGATCATAGAATCTTTCTTGAAAACATTGAAGCAGATGTTCTACAAGCAAGCGAAGAAAACAAATCAATGTTGCACGATCTTGTAAATGCTTCAGGTGTTAATGTTGCATGCTGAACGTGTCGTTGCACTATAATGTGTTTGAAAGTTGTTTACATGATGAAATGATTGAATGTACAATGTTATGATTCCGAACTTTCTATCAGCTGTCTCTTATCTTGTTTGAGGTTAAATGCTGGCGAGTTTGCTGTGGTGATGATATGTATATCAATTTGATTCGATCAGTTATTGTGATGGATATTTTGTATTTAGTTCTTGTGCAATAAGTTAACATTACTTGAATACTGCTTGACTTCAGTCCTCATTTTTTACGCTAGACTAATTGCAGCATATTGTGAATTATTCGATATGACATGGTAATTTTGGCAACGCATATACTGATTCTAACATGGTGGCTACATATAAGCAAGTTTCTATATCATTAGGTACACTTTCAATTTGTCCGGCTAACTAGCTTCTTCAAGGGAACAATCTGATCAGGTACGTGCACAGTTCGAGCAATCATACTTGCGAATTATTTGACTGCATGATCATAGTTTACATGAGAAAGTCATTGAAATTTTATTGTTTTTTTGGAAATTAATTAAGGATGTTCACTCAGGTGGTGGATTTGCCGCTTGTGATGTCTTTTGTAGATTGCTTACATCGTATCCTTCTTCTTCTGCTTTATCAACAAGCTGATTGTAGAGCTCGTCCTCAAGTTGAGGTTTCCGGTTCAAGATCTATAATGCCACCGGAAAAAGATAAACGAAACTTGTCACCAAAAGCAAAGCAAAGGATCAAGATAGGAAAAATTGTAAAAAACATCCCATACGTATACCTATTATCATTTTTGTCCTGTATTTATCTCGTTGGCAAAGTCTTGTATTTATCTCGTTGGCAAAATATATCATATATGTTTGCAAAAGTCGCTATTTCTATCATTTGGTCACGCGTGAAATTCACACCATGCGCAGTCACAATCACGCGCGGCCAAATGATAGAAATAACAACTTTTACAAACATGTAGAAAATATTTTGCCAGCGAAATAAATACACGATAAAAGTGATAATAGTGTATACATGTGGGATATTTTTTGCAATTTTCTCGATCAAGACAACAGTGAATTGACCGGCAACCTACCCAAAGATGATTCCTGGTGGGATGACCAACCAAAGCATATTGATACTCGTCATCAACGTACAGAACCCAATAATCTCCGGCAAACGGTAGGTTAAAGAATCTTACTTTAAATTTAGCTTCATCACTCTCCGGATCAGTCTTGTATGTGATGCCCACAATGCTAACTCTATTGCCTTTGTCATCCCAACTCTCGTTCACGACAAGAAAAGTGCTGTTCGGATTGAGAGTGTACGTAGCCCTCGTGTCAATACCACTTTCCAGCATAAACTCTTCCGGGAACGAAGCTATCTGATACCACCTCCCCATGTACTTGGGTATGTCGAAATTCTCGACAACAGTCTGCTCTACATCTGCATTAACGATTTTCCGAAGACGGAGAATGAAGATCACAGACAAAATTATTGTTTCTGTCCTAAACATGATCAGGTATGATATCAATCTGGACTCTGAAATGTGGATCGGATGAATGCAGATATAAATGGGGATTGTTGTTAAGCATGAGAATTGGGGGTTTCTCATAATCTGCTATAATCATGGGGATGATCTTAGAGCATGAGTCTTTAGGTTCTTTTAAGTGTTCCGATTTCGTCTAAATATTTTTTTTCGATAAGTTTTATACTTGGTGACTAGTCCGGGCTTGAAATTTATCACATTTAGGGGGTAGATATGTTTAAAATTATTTTGGTAATTTAAATGTTCATTCGATTTCATTTATTTTAGTTCCGATACATCGAAACACATCAATTAACTATCGACAAATCTTGAACAACATTTGTAAGTGCCAAATATGGGCTTTTTCCGCCTTTAAATGGAAATGTGGAAATGACCACAGTCGGATATATTGCTCAAATCCCCGGTTGGGAAACATAGTGCAAGGGCTCGCCCGTGTTTCGGCATCAATAAAACTTTGTAACGACCATTAAAACTTAACAAATATAATTCCAAACTGTCAAAATAATCGACATTTCTTCAAAATTACGATGAATGTACAATCTTGGTGTTACTACTATTAGTTTACGGGAACCATAAATAGTTACCTGGCTTCCCAGCCGAGCAATTTAGCCCTCCGCTGCCACAAGAGAGTTGTCTTCTTCTCCCTGATGAGCAATATCTCAGCTCGTTCTCGGGCTCCCTCACAACTTTCTGTGGCGGCATTGCATTTTTCGGCTTCCCTCTTGTACTGAGAAGCTGAATTTCTTGCTTCCTTCAATGTCATGTTCATGTGTCGGGATTGCTCTTCCCCTACAGCTTTCTGCAGCTTTAGCTCTTCGGATAATAAGTCCACAATATGTTTTTCCATCTCTGCCTTAAGTTCTGGATCATCTTTCCCACAATCTGTCACCGTTTCTGAAATTAGGATCGATTCTTTCTAGACAACACACAGGGACATTGACTCGAAGTTCAATATACAAAGGATTAACTACGCCTAATAACAACAATTGTTGTCCTTATTCGAAACATTTTAAATTATCGATCATAAGTATGATAGGGAAACAATAGAACTCTTACCGGTCACAGAGAGATTAGCCAAGCCTGCAAGGAAGAAGTAAAATAAAATGAGTAAAAGTTTCGGAAATCAAGTGTTCATATTCACGAGGCTAAGTAAAACAGTTGCCCCACAATTACACAATATTCAAAACTAGCTAAAGAAAGTAGAGCAGCGGTTGTTTGTGTTTCTGTGAAAAATATCACATCTGACACCAATTTTCTATTTAAAAATTTTCAAATCCGAAACTCCTCGAAGACATCCAAAACACCCAAGCATAATGTGCAATGTGTGAATCGTTGGGTAAAGTACAAGGGAGTGCACAATATTACTAACTTTACAATTCGATCATTCATCGAACAAAGCCTAACTAATTAGTTGAACTCGTACAATTTTGAAGACTGGATCGGGATAAATACTTTCACACAACTCCCTTGAGCACCTCTTAAACACTTATAAAAACACATTAACTCCTAGCAACATATTGCCCGGGTATAATTCCACAAGAAATTAAGGCTACCGCATGCCATAGAAAATCCCATTAACTAATAATGCACTCGATGCAATTTCACTTTGATTGTTATTAGCAACACAACAACCAACAAAGTTATTCCCCCCCGGAAAAAGACAAAGCCGCGAATGAACTGTTCCGATATATATGTAGAATTTATAATGGATAACAGCCACAAAACTTATGTACAGCAACAAAGGCGATGATGGTTTAGATAACTTGGTATCGTGCTCGGGTAAATATAAACTATCACATAGAACAATGTGGCAATCTCAACGAATTTAACATAATATATATACACTTCAATGAACAGATAAAAAGTGAATCAAACCATTGTTTAATTGAAAAGTAGCAAGCAAAAGCTATACAATTATAGAAATTATTCACAGGCAAACAAGAAGTACATATACTAAACCATTTACAAATTAATGGAGAAAGCAACAGAAATAAGAACAAAAGAAAATCCCCAGAGAGTAGGAAGCAATGATGATACAAATTTTACATACTTCCCATTACCAATTAGATTTTTCACAACCTACACACAAATATGCATAGATTAAATTCCCAAGAAACAGCAGCAAGCCAGAAATTTAAGAAATTAATTATGAAAAAAATGGCCATAAACCCTAACCCTAAAGTAAAGTAAATAGGATAAATGAAGAGAGAGATGGCGTATTGCATTGCATACCAGGAGCAATCTTAATTAGGGATTGGGGAGGGGAGCAGCGGCAAACACAGAGAGGACAAGAAGCTTCTGGAAGCTTCTTCACCTTGAATCCTTTGTTGAATGCGAAGAACAGAGCCGGTCCACACACGCACAATGCTGAAGCCACTGCGAATATCACCACCAAGCAACACCGCCACCACGTCCTGTTCATCTCGATCGATCGATCGATCGATGGATCTCGGCTCACCACACACGCAGGATTATTAAGGATTTCTTTGTAAATGGCGAATCGGAGTGGTGAGTTGTGCGTGAAAAATTGATGAACTGGGCGGCTGTATGACTGTATCTATGCTGGATTCCATTGAGACTGATTAATCAATTCAATTGAATGGGGGTTTGGATTGCATTGGGGCCTATCCTTCTGCAAGAATCTCTGCTCTGCTCTGTTGTACGGTCACGGGGCGACTCTTCCAACTTCAAATCTTACTTTAATTTTCTCTAAACCTTTTTACACAAGCGAAAATGATGTGATTTTGTTTTATATTTGAAATAATAACATTTTAATACGAGTGGTATAGATAAAAAATAAAATAAAATACTCTTTCCAATTTCTTAAAATCAAGATCATTTGCCTTTTGTTACGTGTAATAGTAAAATTATTAATATAATAATTAATATTTAAATATACTGATCATTTGTCTTTTGTTACGCGTAATAGTAAAATTATTAATATAATAATTAATATTTAAATATAGTTTTTTTAGGAGAGGAGATAATAATATTTTGAGTTATTTGTACCTGATATTAAAAATATATTCATATTTATATAATTTTTTATATTAGTATTACAAAATATTAATAAAATTATTTTTGTCATTTTTTTAATTTGTATATAATAAGTAAAAATATTACACACTTCTAAAATAATATTATATCTCTATTGTGATAAAATATTAATGTTATGAGAAAACGAAAAAGAAAGCAAATAAAGAATACAGAGGTTTTATGTGGTTTGGTGACGGTGTGTCAACCTACGTCCACGGACAGCAATCAGAGAGATTTTATTATACTGATTCAGATATTTACAATATGTCATCCGACTAAGAACCATAGTTGTCTATTTATAAGCACCAAAAACACCCTAAATCCTAACCCTATTTGTTATTAATTAGGATAAGCCCAAAAAGAACCCTGCTAATTGAAACAGTCATTTCGCTTTGGTTTAGAGTCGGGTAGACCGCTAAATCCAAGTCACGTTTCAAAAATTAATTATTTTAAATTAATGTGTTGATTTTTGATCAAATCATTCACTTTGGGTGTGTTTGTTTGGGGATTGGATTTACACTGTTCATCCAATTTTTTTTCCCCTCTCCCTCCAAAAAACATCAAATCAAATACCTATTTTTTATTTTTTATATTATATTAAAAATCAATTTTACATTCAAAATATCACATCAACACATATTTATATCACATCATACAACTATTCAAATTCAAAATTTTTACTATTCAAATCTTAACTCAAAATCCAAACCCCAAACAAACACACCCACTAGTGTGAATTTAGTTTGTAGACTATTAAGTTCAATCCAGAGTAAAAAATAGCTACTGCGAGTTCCTATGTAAAATAATAATAATAATACTTTGTTCTTATGCAAAAATTGTATTTACGTAATTAACATTAAAAATATTTTTATATTTATATAATTTTTTATACTAATGTCAGTATTTAAAATATTAATAAAAATATTTTTACCATTTTTTTAAATTTATACTATATTTTAATATAATAATTAATATTTAAATATCAGCCGACAAAAAATTAAATTTAACCTTTGTGGGCGGGGAGGACGGAGAGAGTAATAAGTAACACACTTCCAATCCAACAATTTGTCGTTTAAAAAGAGATTGCGTCTCATTTTTCACATTTCACTACGACGTGTCTATCTCCCAATGACAATGTTATTTATTTTTTAAAAAAATCAAGTCGAATACACTTTTTTTTCACCCGCAAAAAAATCAAATTAAATATTAGATTTCTACTTTTCAAAAATATCCAAAAATTCTTGTCTAAATGATTTTTTTTGTATTTTTAAGACTATGCATAACTTCATTCTCTCAAAGCCTAACTAAAATCCTAAAATCTTATCCGTAAAAGATGGTGCGGTGGTGTAGAGGTTAGACTTGTGATCATGAGTAGAGCTGTTAAACGAACCGAGCAATTCATGAACTCGGCTCGGTTAAAGCTCGTTCGCAAACGTTCGAGTCGAGCCGAACAACATAAACATGCTCGTTTGGTTAACGAACGAGCCCGAGCTTTGTTCGCGAATGTTCGTTTAAATAATATATTTATTATAAATATTATATATACATATAAAATTATAATTTATAAATAAATAAATTTAAATTTAAAATATACAAATAAAATAATTTTAAATTTTCTTTATAATTTATATATAAATTTTTTTTTAAAAAAAAGACAAACGAGCTCGAACGAACTCGAACGAGCTTAATCGAGCCGAACATGAACACGAGCTCAAAAAAAAAAAATCTTAACAAGCCGAGCTCGAACACTACAAACGAATTCAAAAGCTTAACGAACGAACACGAACCTTGTTTGCGAACGTTAATGAACACTTAAAATTTGGCTCGGCTCGGATCGTTAATAGCTCTAATCATGTGGTCATAACTTACCTATCAAGCCTGGTTTGCAGAGTATTAGGTTCAACCGGCTTATCCGGATATCACATTCAATGCACTGCTTACACCAAAAAACACACACACCCGACTAAAATTATATTTCCTTGTACGAACAATGGCAATGGCAGCGGCAACTCAACTCAACCTACTCCGTCCACTTCCAATGTATACATCTGTCAGCACCGGACATTGGCCCAGCCGCAGCTGACTAACCTTTTCTTCACATCGCATCTTCATTCGAACTCATTCTTTCCCCGATTCACGTCTCCACAAGGTCAATTCACAAGGTAGTAAGCTCTCGTCGCGCGAAATCACGGCTAAAGCCAATAACTTCCCCAGCCAACCGTGATAGAGAAGCCCTCTCGCCCCGAGGCCGGCGAATAGCCAATATTTGCACGTACGCCTCTCACCGATGATATACTCGTCGACGCAGCCGAGAAGCGGAAGCGATCCGTCCACCGTGAGGGGCGGCATTGCCCTCAATCCAGCTACTGCCCCTGTTACGGTCCAGTTTTCGATCGCCGGATAAACTGACGCCGCCTTTCGGAGGAGTCTTTCCGTCGCCTCGGAATTTTCATCCGTGCTCACCTCTCTCGAGTGATTCCTCGATTTCCAATCCCACGTCGAGCCCATGTCGATACGGCGAGCGTCGCGCACGGCAAGCCAGGCGTCTGACAGAATCGAGGGGCCGTGTTCTGAATATGCTTCTCTGGTATACAGTCAGTCGGCGTTTTATGAAAATAGACGACGAGAAAAATAGGTTTAAAAAATGTTTCAAATATTAACATGGAATTGCAACAAAGAGGCATTCGTTAAGCATACCTTGTGTCGTCGACGAGCTGCATGTGAGATATTATACCTCTACACATTCTAAGAGGCAGCTTGCCGGACATCTCCGGGAGGAACATCGCCCTTGCCCCAAGACAGATAATAACTGCATCGTAGTTGCCTACAAATGTTTCGATAGCAAAACAGGTTCATAAACTAACACTAAGAATAAACATATAACACAGTAGTCGAAAACTATCAATTCTTAATCACCCGCAAGTTAAGTTTATTTCCTTTACGACAACTTAAAGACGACCTTATCAGGAAGATTATATGCAAAATCAACGAGAAAAAAACCAACTTCATGCGAAAAATGGATGCAAAATTACCGGTTATATCTACCAGACTTGTGATCGATCTCCGGTAGAAATTCAATTCTCTGTTTTTACAACCTGATGGGGGAATGGCATTCGTTAGATTTTGGCATGCTAAGTATAGACCCTACAAGACGAATGAAGAGACGGCGTCAAGAACCGTAAGAGATGTGCGTCGATTCAGACACTTATGCTTTTCGTCATTACCTCAAGATAGCTCTGGGCATTAATGTTTAAGGCGTCGGGCATATGAAAGGCCAAGTCTAAAGGTAGAGACAAATCCGGGACGAGGTCTCGAGCAGCATCCTCACGGATAGTCTCTATTCTGCAATTGGCAATATAGTTTTGAGCATTCTACTCATGGCAAAAAGAATCGGAATCAGTAGAAATCAAGTCAGCGTCACTTATTTTAACCATGTAGCGTGAAAAGCCTTACTTCTGTCATAATGTTCATGCTCTTCGGATTGACGACTGGCCTCAAGATTCCTCTGGAATAACAGAATTATTTTCAGTTCTTGTTAACAAAAACCTTACCGTATGTCGGAAGTATGAACTAAACAGTAATTACAAGCATCCATTTGGTTCAGAACTTCAGATTGCAGAACACATAGTGAGATTACACCCAAAAGATTATGATTTTTTTCGATTTTTTGTTCTAGAAGCTCTGAAAACATAATTATTCCGGATTTCTCCCAAAACACACTCGAAGAGTATGACCTGCAAAATTAACTTGTTGTGTCTCCTTGGCAGTAGTAATTCACTTATCAGCTAGTCAAAACTGTCAATTTTTACCCAAAAACTCATAAAACTATAGAACTGTTGGTCTCTTACCAAAAATGTACTCGAAGGGTAAGAACTAAACAGTAATTACATCCATTTGGTTCAGATTGCAGAACACATAATGAGTTTACGCCCAAAAGATTATGATTTTTGTCGATTTTTTGTTCTAGCAGCTATGAAAACATAATTATTCCAGATTTCTCTCAAAAATGCACTCGAAGAGTATGACCTATAAAGTTAACTTGTCGCGCTCAAAACTCTCAAATTTTACCCGAAAGCTCATAAAACTATAAAATCATTGGTCACTTAGGCAGTAGAAACACAAAAGGAAAATGAAACAAGTAACAGCATCGAACCTTCTCCTTACTACAGGGGATTCAGCAATTTCCGAAGAACTGCGCTTTCCCAATTTTTGTAGCTTCAGAAGTGCATCTTCAGCAATATGCAAGAGATTTAAACTCTCGTTCCAGCACTCTTCACCCCGCCAAAGAAGCTTGACTGTAAAAGCAAACTGAACTAACTCAGCCAAAACACTTTCAAGCATATAATACTTCATAAACGCGGTAACTGACACAAAAGAGCTATGAAACCGAAGAACAACAGCACGAACCTTTTGGAGAATAAGGATGCAGAAGACCACCAGCAACTCCAGACGCACCTCCACCAATGCCGACTTCATCATAAATATCAACACAAAGATGGGATTCCATAGAACCATGCTGCGAATTTACGGTTCCAGCAATTGATACAACAACAAAGTAACGAAAAAGAGAATGAACAAACAAATGGATTGCATTGTGGTATCCAATCAAATGAAACAAATAGGAAAGAAAGAGTGCTACTGCAATATAGAATTAGGCTTTTTCTTATCAGTATTTTGTCATCTATTGCAATTCGAAACCCTTAGTTTAACAGAGATACAATTTTGCAATCAAGTTCGCACAAATTAACAGCTTCAGGCCATCAAGATCAATCGAAAATTTCAGGCTACAAATTAACTGCACCTCAACTTTTATATTTTCCAGAACAAAACAATCACTGAGTAATATTTCTAAAGAGTCCATTCGATCAATCACTAATACAATTAAAGAGAGAATTGTACTCGAAGCAAATTCCAAGCTACGGACAATCCAGCAAATCCAGCTCCGAGAACTGCGTATCTACAAATAAAATTAAAAATCAAGACCAACAATAGCTCAGGCAGTATTGTAAACATATAAATAAAGCAAGAACATCCCACCGGAGGCTGAGAGGCGGTCGGGTTACAGAGAAGCAACGAAGAGTGGAGGGAGGATAGCGTGGTGGTAAAGGCGCAGTAGTTAATTTCCGCCATTTCCATGTGGTAAAGGCAGGCGCTGCAACTGCAATTGAAACCATGATTACAAACATCGGCGGGCCTCACTCCTCCCTCAATCCACCCCAGCTAGCTTATCATCATCGACCGCCCTTCTTCAACCCCTCGCCATTGCCTTTCAGTTAAAAAGGGTTTGTTTGAATACGATATCTTATAAAACCTTTTCTTTTTTTTTAGAAATATTATGGGATAAAAAAAAAAAAAAATTAGCAGACTACCCAGAGTCACATTTATTTTGATGATATTGTACTTGCTATTGATAATATCTTTATTTTGTATAATTTTATACAAATATCTTTTAATATTACAAGATAGATATTAATAAAAATATTTATTAATTTTCTTTTTTAATTTGTCATTGATAATATCTTTATTTTGTATAATTTTATACAAATATCTTTTAGTATTACAAAATACTAATAAAAATATTTTTAAATTGAAAAAATAAAACCAGACTTTGAAGCTGAAAGAAGTATATATTAAATATTTTGTGACATTTAAAGACAAAAGAAATCAATTCGTACCCAAAATCATTTTCAAGCTTTATTATAATTAGTATTATTATTATTGTTGTTCTTAAATTATATTGCAACGCTTTTAGACTATTTTTTTTTCAAAAAGAATTATATAAAATATTTTTTCATCGTAAAATATAATATAAATAATAAATTTTTATTATTTTTAAATTTTAAAAAAAATCCAAAAAATTTTAGGGTTTAGAGCTTATAGTAGTATTAAAATTAAGATTTCAAATATAATTAAAATATCAAGGTATGATTCTTTAGCCACATTTCTCTAAATTTTATTATTTATACTATGTAAAAATATCTTATCAAACATTATTACTAAACCCTAAACACACCCGCTGAAAGTTGGTTTTATATTTTACTATTTCAATACTATTTTTTCTCCAAAAATATCACATCAAACACTTCTTTATTATTTATTATATTACACTAAAATTAAATTTTACTTTCAAAACATCACATCGATATATATTTATATGAACAACTATTTCAATTCAAAATTTTACTATTCAAAAAACTTCTACAAATGAAAATTCTCTATATTACACCAACTCATTTCTGCAGAAATTGAAAAACCTAATGCACAATATCAACAAATAATAATAATAAAAATAAAATAAAATTGCAAGAAGCATATAATAATTTAGTTTGTATATACAACAAACAAACAGCCTTTGTTCTTTAAGCAAGCTTTCTTCTTCCCCTTATTAGCTAAATCTCATCTCAGCCCTGATGAAAGAAGCTTCACTACTTCCGCCATTGATGGCCTACTTCTTCTGCACAGCACCGCCACCTCCACCGCCACCTCCACCCCTTCTCCGCCACCGCCGCCGCCGCTCTTCTCAGCCACATCTCTCATTATCTCCTCCTCCGTCACATCCGCTCTTCCATTCGTCAACACCTCGAAAATAAGTTCTCCGAAATCGTAAACATCCTTGCGAATTCCGTCCCTCGTTGTGGTCGATGCTCCGCATGCACCTGTCGAACTAGCATAAGTTTTTTTGCAATGAAAGTTATACGCATAAATAACATCGCATCGACAATGAAGTATATATATTACTCGTCTTCCTTCGTTTGCTCGACGATGACGACTTGACGATCGAATCGAGCCCACATTCGGCGAGACGTAAATCCATGTTCCCGTCAAAAAGCACGTTGCTCGACTTCACGTCGCCGTGCGGAATCGCCGGATTGCAATCGTGATGGAGGAAAGATAGCGCCTTTGCGACTCCGGTTATTACGCTACACTTAGCCTCCCAATCTTTCATATCGCCGATCCTTTCGTCTAAGCTTCCATTCGACGTATAATCGTAAAGCAAATACGCGACACGTTTGTTGTAGCAAATCCCGAGCAACCGTAACAAGTTCTTGTGCCTCACATTCGCTATTCTCGCCAAGCTCGCCAATGCTGCTTTCATCTCTTTCGTTTCCCACTCGATTTTCTTCGCCGTGACCGTAATTCCCGTCGACGAAACAATCTTGCACATTCCCATAGCTTCTCCGCGATCGACGCTTCTCAAAACGTCATCGACGGTGAGCCGAGGAAGGCCGTCGAACGCGACCAATTTCCATCGTCCTTTTCCGATCCTCTCGACGTAAAGTATTGCGAAAACAGCGGCTAAAAGGACGAGAACTATCGCGGCGCATAGGATGAGAATCCACGCGACTTTCTGTGCTTTCCGGCTACCTAATTTGAATCCGCTCGATATTACGTTTTCGCGATGGCACGCTCTCAACGGCGCACCGCAGAGCTTCGGATTGCCTGTGAATGCGCTTCGATCCATATTTTCAAAATTCGGGTTTAACGGGATCAAACCCGAGAGATCGTTGTCGGCGACGTTGAAAAGTTTTAAGCTAGTCGAGGCGCCAAACTTCGTCGGGATAGCGCCGTCGAAACGGTTTTGTGACAAGTCTAAGACGCTTAGATTCGGAAGCGCGGCAAGCCCCTCCGGTATCGAACCTTTGAGGCTATTGTTCGATAAATCGACTCTAACGAGGCTCGTACAGCCCGAAATGCTCTCCGGGATTTTCCCGAGCAAGAAGTTCGAACTCAATTCGACGACGGAAACCGATCGACAGCGACGAAACTCGGGAATGTTCCCCGACAAACTGCACGAAACCGCAGAGACGTTTCTAAGATTCGGCATCGACCATAATTCGATAGGGATTACGCCGGCAATCGGATTATATGACACGTTGAAATACTCCAAGGCCGAAGCTTTAACAATGTTGTTCGGAAATCCTCCGGCAAACTGATTTCTCGACAAGTCGAGGTACGAAAGGCGGGAGAGGTTGCGGAAGGGGAGCGATATGTCGCCGGAAAACGAGTTATCTTCGAGGCGGAGACGAATGAGGGACGAGCAATCGGAGAGCGACGGATGCAGGCCGCCAGTGAAGTTATTTGAAAACAAGATCAGCCGTAATAGCTCTCCGCCGGAGCATATTCCGGCGGGGATTGCGCCGACGAAGTAATTCGTTGAAACGTCGACGTGCTGGAGCTTGGAATGGAGTCCTAAGTCCTGGGGCAGGGATCCTGTCAGGGAGTTGCTCCATATAAGGAGCGTGTCGAGCTCCGGGAGCTTAGCGATCGCCGGAGGGACGGCGCCGGTGAGGTCGTTGTACATGAGGCTTAGCAGGCGGAGATTTTTCAGATCGGAGAAGGTGTCCGGAATCGTGCCGGAAAGCAGGTTGTCGGAAAGATCGAGGCTTTTGATCGCTGCGAGTTTGCTGAGCTGCCGTGGAATTGATCCATGGAGGTAATTTTTGAACAGGAAAAGGGATTCGAGTTTCGTGAGGTTGCAGAGGTGGTCGGGAATGGCGCCGGAGATGTTGGCGTCGGCAATGTCGAGGTACTGAAGCTCAGACATGTCTCCAAATTGTGGAGGGATTTCTCCGTCGTAAGAATTGTAGCCGATCTCCATGTGCGACAGTGTCGTGAGGTTGCCGAGCTCGGGAGGGAGGTTTCCGGCGAGGAAATTTCCGGCGAGGTGGAGGAATTCCAGTGACCGGAAAGATCCGTAGGCCGGCGGGATAGGGCCGCTGAAGTAACTCCCGGCGAAATTGAGAATTTTTAGGGTTTCAATTTGGGAGACGTCGGCGGGCAAAGGGCCGGAGAAGCTGTTGCTGAAAGCATCAAGAACGACGAGGTTTTTCAGTTTGGGGATTCCCGGCGGGAATCGGCCGGAAAAATTGTTCCGGCTGATGTCGAGGGATTTGAGGGCGGTGAGGGAGAAGATTCCGGGAGGGAGGTGGCCGGAGAAAGCGTTGTGGCTGAGATTGAGGGAGAGGAGGTCGGAGAAGACGGGGAACTGATCGCCGGCGAGAGAGCCCCGGAGATTCTTGCCGGAGAGATCTATGGCGATTACTGCGGAGGAGTTGGAGTTGCACTGGATTCCGGTCCAGGAACAGGCGGAGATTCTGATTCCGGCGGAATCTGGGTGGGGAGGTAAGAGCCAGTTTTGCAGAGAATTGGAGTCGTCGATAAGCTCCGATTTGAAGCGGAGGAGGGCGTCGGAAAAGGGGTCGGCTCCGGCGAGGAGGGAAGACGCCATTAATGGGAGGAAGAAGAAGAAGAAGAGGGTGAAGTGGTATGTGGGAAGGAGAATCTCCATTGGAACTTGCAGAGGAAGAAAGTGGACAGGGAAAACAGGAGGAAGAAGAAGAAGAAGAAGGGGTGGGGGAGAGAGAGAGAGTATTAGTGAGTGAAAAAGGGGATTGCTTTGGGGAGCATCAATGGAGGGGCCATTGGTATTGGCAATTGGGACTGTAGAAGAAGAAAGATTGTTTGAATTATTGAATGGATGCTAATTATAAATGATCTTTTTTAAATTTAATTTAATTTGGGAATTAGGGATTGAATTGAATCGAATCGAATCAATTATCACTTGCTTTTTCTTACCTTTAAACAAAGAAGTGGAGAGAGAATAATAATAATAATAATAATAATAATAATAATAATAAGATCACTCGTTAAGCAACTCTAACATGTGTAATTCCACAATTAAGGGCGTGTTTGTTTTGTGTTTTCAATATCATCTACTATATTTTATAAAAAAATGTGATTGTTTGGTATTGATTTGAATTTAAAAATATTATTTAAATTTTAATTTAAATCGTATTTTCATATTATATTATGTGAGGCAAAATAATATTACTATATTTCAATTAAAAATCACACTAAGTAATTAATAAATTGCGGAAGGATCACTGTACTAATTAGAACAAGTCTGGACTTTCGAAGGGCTTGAAAAGAAATAAAAGTATTCCAAATTTCCAAATTTTAGGCAATTTTTTAAGACATTAAAAATTTTAACCTATGATGTGACACATCGATTACCAGGCCGAAAAGGATTATAGATTGGCTCAACAAATCAATACGAGTCCTTTCAGCGCGCTCACGGGAGTTGGCCTATCACCGGCCCAACTCCGGAGTATTACGTAGTTAAATATATATTTTATAGTTAACGTGGGTAAGAATGACGCGCTCTATACATCTTGATGTCATTTATATGGGGTTGAGAACACCTAATTAATTAATTAGTGTTCGTGGTGTTTCATTTCAAAGTTCATCAACGGAAGAAGAAGATGATCCACAACAGCTTTCAGTCATGCATTCAATTGTTACAGGTGAAGCAGTAATGGAGGCCACAATACGTAGCAATGATCTTTTCCAACGACATTTCGACATACCACGACCAATTCATGGTGGTTCCGTTTTAGGTCATCGGTTTGTCAATCGTGATCATGAGGAAGCAAATTTAAGATTATTTAACGATTATTTTTCATCTAACTCATTGTATGATGAGTCCATATTTCGTAGACGTTTTTTAATGTCTCGAAAGTTGTTAATTCGGATTCTTGATGCAGTGAAGAATCATGAACCATATTTCAAACAACATCGAGATTGTTCGGGGATAGTTGGATTATTTACTTTTAAAAAAGCAACAATAGTATTTCAGGTGCTAGCTTATGGTACACCCGCAGGTTCCACTGACGAGTACGTCAAAATCAGCGAATCAACCACTATTGAATATATTAAAAAATTGATATTCAAATATTGCTCCATATCGGTGAAAGTTGTGATTTTCCAGGTATGCTAGGTAGTTTGGATTGCATGCATTAAGAATGAAAAAATTGTCGAATTGCTTGGGCAGACCAATATGCAGTCGTAGTGGAAAGCGATCATAAATCCTTGAAGTTGTGGCATATTACGATCTTTGAATTTGACATATATATTTTGGTTTGCCTAACACCAATAATGATATTAATGTTTTAAATTCTTCAACATTGTTTAGAGATCTTACTTTTAAGTGTTGAATCTCTCGCACATTATTATATCCAAGGAAAGTAATATGAAATGAGCTATTATTTAGCTAATGGAATCTATCATAAATGGGTCTCTCTCGTGCAAACTATTAGCAACCCGCATGGTCCGAAAAAAAAAATAAAAAAAATTATTTGCCCAAAAACAAGAATCATGCAAGAAGTACATGGAGCCTGCATTTGGAATTTTACAAACACGTTCAGCAATCATCAAAGGATCATATCGTTTTTTGCAGAAAAATATTTTGCATGATATAATTTTGCGTGCATTATCATACATAATATGATAATAGAGAAAGAACGTGATCTTAATGCTCCGATATCATAATATCGAGAAGCACCAATCACAACAGTGGAAAGAACTATAGATCAAGAACGTTATCATCAATTTATTGAACAATATGTTCAAATTAGAAGTAGAGAAAATCATTTTGCACTACGCGATGCTTTAATTGAATATATATGGGAAGAGTATAGTTACTCTATCCATTAGTTATGTGTTTAATCCAATAATATTACCTATTTTTATTTATATTATTTTTTAAATTTAGAAATATATTTATTTTTACATTCAAACAATAAAAATAATAAATATTGTTTATTGGTATAATATTTAAATATTAATAAAAATTATTATTATAAACTAAACATATAAAAATAACAAATTATTGAGTGTTATTTGCAAATCTAAAAAATTATACTATAAAATAGAATATATAGAAAATATTTTTTTAACCCATGGAGAGCAGACTCTAAAAAAAATAGAGAGTATGGTGGAATATGAGTTATTGTTGTATATTTTGCAAAAATAAAGTTATGGTTGGAGATTGTCTTATTTGAATTGAAAAATTTTCTAATCAATACATGTAAAACACGTTACAGTTTTTCATATACATTTTTTCAAAAAAAATTAATATACTACACATATTTATTATTTTTATATTTTCTACACATTTTCTTATATTTTACATGATTTTTTTTTTCCGACCATTTTACAAAACAAATATAGATAGCACATATTTTTATTTTTCTACAATACACATTAAGTGAAATAAAAATATATGCTATCGGTTTATAACGTGTATTAATATAGAAATATACTATTAAATGAAATAAATTGTTGTATGTATTGTGTAGATTTATACTCCCTCGTTTCAACTCAAAATACCACCATTTTTGTTTGTCTCACTCAAAAGTATATATTTTCTATTTTAATAAAAGTGATCATACAAATACTTTTAATTTTTACTTAAATTACAAATATATTATTACATGTATAATTACTTTATACATAAAATTAAAAAGACAAATATGTCAAAACTTTGTAATCAGTTCTACTAACTAATAAAATATTATTATTTCTTAATTTGCTATAAAACTCCAAAGGAATACACACGAAAGAAGTATTATATAATGTTTGATGTATATACTGTATTTTTATTATATTAATATAAATAATATATTGTATTTAGTAATATCATGTGTTATCTTTAACGGGGAAGATTACGGTGCTGAATTTGAATATAAAGAAACAGTATATGCTTTTATTACATACAATATGTGTTGTTTGTAATAAAAGCATGCGCAGCTTGTTCATAATTACAATGTGTGTTGTATGAGAGTATGTCATTTGCTAAAATAAAGTATTGTATATGATGTATGAGGCTATATCATGTGTTGTTAGGTCATGTGATATATTTATATTATATTAACGTATATTGTGTGTTGTCTATACCGTGTGTTGTCGGACAACACATGGAGTGCTATTCAGCACAGTGCTGAATTTTAGACATCGCCGCCGCCATCTTTAATACATCGCAAACTGTAACCGCCGCCATTATTTTGATTCTACTACCTCTTATGAAAATTATATATTTTTTCCGTCTCAACTTAAAATATCATTTATATTTTTTTTGTCTGTCTCACTCAAAAGTACTATTTTTCTATTTTAGAAAAAATAATCATACACTAATGTCAAATACTTTTACTTTTTATTTAAACTACAAATATATTATTACACGTACAATTACTTTAAATATAAAATCAAATGATAAAAATGTCAAAAATCTCGTCACGCTTCCATTAATCAGTAAAATATTATTATTTTTTAATTTATTATAAAATCCAAAGGGCTCGTTTGGATTGGAAGTGGGGGAGTATAAGTCATCCAAACTTATTTTTATTTATTATTTTTTTTGTATCCAAATTTATTTTTATTTCTCTTTTTAGTAGAAAAATAGTTTTTTTTTATACTTTTTATTTACTATAAATTTTTTTATTTATTTTTTCTTAAAATTCGTACCAATCAAATAAGTATAATTTTATATGACGGAGGGAGTAATATTATACATAAGAGTAATATTTACAATATAAGATATATTATAAATATGATATTTTTATTTTTTTATATATATAAAAACCTAAAATATGCAAAAACAAGTTTTAAAATATAAACTAATTCAGTATAAGCTTTTGAAAAATTAATTGTTTATTATAGTCATAGGTGACAAATAAGCTATTTTATTAGTCCATTTGTAAAATTGTACCATCCGACATGATACGAATTTTAAGAAAAAAATTTAAAAAATAAATAAATCTTTTTTTATGATTTAAAAAAATAAAAAATATAGTATTTTTTATTACGAAAAACAAGAATAAATTTGAATAATAAAATTAAAAAAAAAAAAAAAGACTAAAATTAGATGATAGATAGAGTACATATTTATGCATTACTATCAATTCTTAAACCGAGAAGATGATTTAAATAAAATAGAAAGAAATATTTTTATTTTATTTTATTTTATTTTATTTTTAAAAAAAACCATGTAAAAAGAGAATGCTAATAATGACACATGCATACATAGCTTGTGAGGATGGAGACAACTGAATTCAATACAATAAAATAAAATAAAATAAATTCATCAATGAAGATAAATGTGAAATATCATCCATCTTTAGCTTCATTATACATAAAAAAAAAAAAAAAAAAAAAAAAAAAACAGTACTTAGGATATTAATTAGGATTAATTATTATATTAGGATCAACATTAAATATAAAATATATGTAAATATAACACAGATGGATTATATAAACACATAGTAACACTTCACATAATATATATATTACAATTAATCTCGTCAAAAAATACTTCCTCCGTCCCAAAAGAGACGTGTTATTGGGTGTGAGTATAAAGTAGAATATAAAAGACTAAAGTATACTTATTTTTTTTAAGGATTTTAAAAAGTATATTAGAGTAATAATTAGGGGCAATTTGGAAAAATATGAATAATTTTGTTATAAAGTGGAGACCACGATTACTAAATAAGGAAATAATACAATTGTTTTGAAACGGACAAAAATTAAAAAACAAGACAACTATTTTGAGATTGAGAGAATATATATAAATCAAATGTATAGTACAAACTGATCAGGGTGTGTTTGTTTGGGGTTTGAATTTTGAGTTGGGATTTGAATAGTAAAAATTTTGAATTTGAATAGTTGTATGATGTGACATAAATAGGTGTTGATGTGATGTTTTGAATGTAAAATTGATTTTTAGTATAATATAAAAAATAAAAAATAAGTGTTTGATTTGATATTTTTTGGAAAAAAAAAATTGAATGAATAGTGTAAATCCAATCCAATCCCCCAAACAAACACACCCTGAATAATATTTTACATACAATATATACTAATGAGCACATTACTTATAAGCACATTGAACATAAAACAAGGAATTAAGCAGTTTATTCATTTAGCGTTTTTAGATGAATTGATATAAAAAATAATATTTTATGCTGAATGGTTAATTTTTTATGAGTGAGTGATACTCTCTCCGTCCAGTTATAAATTATACATATTTTTATTTTAGGACGTCCAATTACAAAATAAACATTTCATTAAATACCTCTTTTTTTTTTCTACAAATACTCATACTTTACATCACATCATTACTTTTACACCAAAAAGCAAGGACAAAAATGTCATTACATTACTTTTAATTACTCACTATAATTAAAATACTACTCCCTCCGTCTCATAACTAGGTATCCGTTTGCTTTTTAAACGAAGTTTTAGAAATATTAGTATTATATTGGAATTTAGTAGGAATAAAGTAAAAATTACTAAAATAATCTTATTAGTATTGTGTGATATAAAGATAATGACATTTGTGTAATATATTGTAAGTTGTAAGGATATCTGTAATGTTAGATAGACAATACAATTACTTTAAAAAAATTAAAAAAAAAATAAAAAATTAATATTTTGTTATGGAACAAATTAAAATAAAAAAATAAATAATTTATTATGAAACGAAAAGAGTATTATTTTCTAAATATTACGCCAAAAATAATTGTTTATCTTATGTATGGACAAATAAAATATATATTATATTAATGTGTATATATATTTGTATTTTTAAAATAATATTTATGAAAAATTATTTTATTGAAAATGGTTGACCGAAAAGACTTGCTAGTAAATTAATAATAACTAACCTAAAACACAATAAATATATTACAATTCACATCAATCTTGTCACTGATTTGGTATTGAAAGCTTTAAATCCCTTAAATTGTTCATTTATGGTTTTATTTTCATATTTATTTTATGAAATATATTCCTCCCTCCATTCCATATAATTTTTTCCATATTTTTTATTTTCGTCAGTCTCACATAATTTGTCATTTTTATTTTTAAAAATATAATTATGCATTTTAATCACATTTTAAATTTTATAAGTTTCTTAATTTTAATTAAATTATTTACTTATATTAATCTTAATTTATAATTATTTTTACTAAATAATAATTATTTTACTAATACACTTTTTAATTAAATTAATACACTCATATTACAGGGATGAAGTATTTTAAATATATATATATATTAAAGTAAAATTTTTATTTTGTGTTTGTCCTTTTCAAGCCTTGAAGGGTACAAAAGTTCAGTCCCCCATTTATGACCACTCTTCAACTGCCCCTTTTTTTTCTTTTTATTTTTACCTTTAGCCCAACTTCAGCCACACTTTAATTTTCTTGGATCGACCAATCAATTTTTTAAGTTTAAATTTTAGAGTTTTGAAAACATTAAAACTTGAATATTTAATGAAAATATTTTGTAATATATATATTTTTTCGATGTGATATTTTTCTAAAAAAATTATATGTGTAAATGAAATTTCATATTTAACCCCAATGCGTAACCGCTACGGTCGAACTCCCGACGGCAGGTTCAAAATTTCGATCTTTTTCAGGTCGTGTATGTTTCTTTAGCCAAATTTTCCAAAATTTTACTATTTGGACTCTGCGTTTCTCGAAAAATATATATATATATATATTTTTCGCAAAATATTCTATCAAACATTATTTTCATACCAAATCCAAATTAATTTTTTTTTCCAAACTCATAAAAAAACACACCCGTAATGTCCTCGCATCATTAAAAATAAATAAATAAATAAATAAAAATATTACAATCGAATAAGAGTCCATGTCTCAATGTAAATTTAAAATTAGGAAAATGAAAGAAGCTAAGATGCATTGGGGATGGGGAGCATATATTTATTTGTTACACAACAAGCATATAACAACAAATTTGGTTCAAAAAACCTGTGCATGAATTTAATGTGGCCATTAAATATGGCTCAGAATTCATATTTGTATTTAATGTGGCATCAAAAATCATGTTGTTATTATTATTATTATTATTATTATTATATATGTATGTTAAATATGTAAAATTAGTTAAACAAGAATGTTGGATTAAAAAAAAAAATAAATGTAACTATTTTAGCTAAGTGAGGGCCTCCAATATGCAAAAACTCGAAATTTATTAATTGGGTGATAAAACCGGTTAATAATAAGATATATAAATTGTCATGAGGGGTTCGCCATAAGTTTGAAAAACATAAACCCTCCGTTAATTTGCATATCTGAATCCAACAACATTAACAAAATAAAATTATATTTAATTATTTTATTTTTATCTCAATTATTTCAACAAATTAGATCTGAACTTATGGTTAAACTATTGGTAAGTTCCAACAAAGAATCGTTGTCATATATGGATAAGGCATAATTATACAATAAAATGAAATATAGTGCAACTTAGATCTCAATAAAAATCAACAAAATTGAAAATAATAATAATAATGTATTGGCAGCAGTTTATTTTTAAATATTTATTTATATTTTTAGAGTAGCAGTTGGAATTGGAGGGAGTGTAAATGACAAATTTGTCTTTCTAATATCTGACAATAATTTTTGGACGTCTTTAAAATCACAAATAATAAAACCTTTTCCTTTGCACAAATTTCCATGCCACACTCATCCCCATTTTCACTTTTTTTTTTTTTTTTTTTTTTCTTTGGATAAACATGTTAATTTAATTATTATTATTTTAATTTTACCTTTATAATATGTAATAGTGTATATCAATTATTGGTTACACTAAATAATTCAATTTTAAAGTTTCATGTTCAAAGGTTAAAGCAAATATTACTGTTCCAAATTGAGAGATTAGACAAGAAAGATATATTTGGTAATCCCAATAAAATGATTAATTGAAGAGGAGATGTTGAAAGTGAATCCACATTCCAAATAAAATATTTTAAGGACACATCTTTTTATATTTTAAAGATCACAAAAAAGGGATTGGGCCCATTTGGGATATTAGTTTAAATTTCATTTCTTTTTTCAAATCCAATATTAATAGTTTACACATGCATTGGTGTTGATAAATATTTTTTCTATGAAACAATTGTTGTGTTTGATTAATAATACAAGATTTAAAATCATAGAGTCTACTAAATTAATGATAATATATTATAATATTATTTCATTATTTTATTATTCTTTAAGATAATAAAATTTACTAAATTAATATTTACATGCAACATAATATGGTTGGATTAATATTTTCATATAGTAATTGAATTATAAATTCCTTTTTATTTTTTGAGTGAAAAGCCATCTGAAATAAATCACAAATTAGCTCCACAATTTTCTAAATTGTCAATATTCTTCATACTGTTCTAAAAACTACTTTGAATAGAATAAAGTGACTTTTAGGGTGTGTTTTTGTGGGGGATTTTCCCCCAAATACACACTATCTCATTTTATTTTATTTTTCAAAAATATCAAATTAATCATCTATTTTTTATTTTTAAAATTATAGTAAAAAATCAATTTTACATTCAAAATATCACATTAACACCTATTTATATTACATCATACAATTATTCAAATTCAAAATTTTTATTATTCAAATTTTAATTCAAAATCTAAACCCCCAAACAAACACAGCCTAAAAGTAATTTATTAAAATTTTATTTTATATTTAAAATATTATACTCCCTAAGTCTCATTGAAAGGATGCCATTTTTTATTTTCCTATGTCCCAGTTACCATTTTTTAATTGTACCTACCTAACACAATAAATACCCTTCCAACTTATCATATATTACACAAATATCATTACTTTTATATTACACAATACTAGTATTATTTTCGTCTTTTTCACTATAACTCATTATAATACTAATATTCAAAAATCTACCTGCAAAAAATAAACGACAATATTGCACCGGGACAACAGAGGAGTAACTAACTTCTACTGTACAAAACCAAACGACATTCTTTTATTTAATAATGATTTTATCTGTCACAATTTTCGATAATAATAAAAACAGTAAAAGCACTTTCAACTTGCTCCAACAAGGCCTTACCTACTAAAGTAGTAAATGTTATCTGATGTGAAGCAAACCAGAGTGATTGCTGCCACTAATCTTTTCTATAATAATAATAATAATAATTAATAATAATAATAATATGATTATATGACTATTATAGTAAAGCAATGAAAATGCCAAATATTATGCACAAATGAAAAGCAAGAACCAATTATTTTGAAGGATTTGGTGGATTTAATTACACTATTTTTTTTTTTTCAAAAAAAATATCAAATCAGACTAAACTAAAATTATACTTAAAAATCAATTTTACATTCAAAACATCAAATGAATCAATGGAATTATATCACATCATACTAAACTATTCTAATTCAAATTTTTTACTATTCAAATCTCAATTCAAAATCCAAACTCCCAAACAAACACGTCTATTTCCATCTCATTTTCACATTAAGCAATTTCAAGTGAAATCATTTTCCTCAGCTAAAGATTATCATATTCATCAGTTATTAAATTTAAAAGCATCACACATTCAATACTTATTTTTCATTGAGAAAAAGTTGAAGGCATCGTAAAAGTTCGAACTCAAAAGCTTACCACTTATTCAGGTGAGGTACAATCCGGCAGTTGTGTCGAACCATCTGTTTCTGTTTCGCGCCGGCACAAGTTGCAGAGAACAGAATAGTGTCTGTTGATGGAGGATCCAAAACTGACCTAAAGCCTAAACACAAAGGAACAAACACAGGCAACAAATTTGTATATTCCATAACAAAAAGTTCATGATCAGATCCATGGTTCCAATACAAAATAGAATAATGCACAGAGTATTACAGGCCCCTATTGTGTTTCTGAAATGGTTTTTTTTTTTTTTTTTTTTTTTTTTTTGGGAATGATGGGCAATCCAAAACCGCATTGAAATTATACATATAAGTACATTGATGGGAATTCGAAAGGCAACTTTACCCTTCCAAGGGGACAGCTGAATCAATTTCTATTCGATTTAGTCTCACAGTTCCAAGAATGTATTCTGGCAGCTCTTCCTCTTCTTTTGCCTGTAATAAGTTGTACAAGTCTTGTTACTCCATATTTAATCAGCATTTGGCTAACAGATAAATGTAAAAGGATTCGAATTTCGATCGATAGTTAAATAAACTGGCGACCAGCACACAGTGTTTGATTCTACCACATTTTGAAATACCACAACACTTAATTGTAAGCAACCACAAAATCTAATCTGCCTTCATATTTCGATAATGAAAAACAGAACAAGAGAAAGAAACTGTGAACTGTAGAAAACCAACAGCAGCTTCAATCAGATTATTCTCTTTTACTCTCAACAATAGAGTTGAGAAGTTGGATCGTACAACATGGTATAACAAAGCACACATATAGCTCATGAATTGATTCAGAATGTATAATTGGCAGAAAATTTAAAATATCGAAGCTGATTTCTGGAGGCACAGATTGAAGCTTGATAATTGGTTTATAACTTCTAATTAATGGTTATAATTACAAGGTATCGGAAAAGGAGAAGACACTAGGATATACAAACCTCTATGACTATTGCAAGATCAACAACAATGCTAGTGACATATCCAAGGACGAGGCCGATGACGCCCCTTGCTACAGAAGATGAACCAATATCCACATCGATCTGCACAAAAGTTAATACAATTTGTCAGAGAACCAAAAATTGCTAAGTGATTTTCTAGTGAAGTAGCATACAAATTTACTATGTAGGTGTGCTATGTGCCTTTTTTTTTTTTCAAAAATAAGAAAAAAGAAATTCTAAAAAAACCTGACCTTGTAATAACATAGCAAGATTAACATTTTTTTTTTCTATTTTATTGCATAAATATAAAACACTCAAAAATCTATAGTTACTATTGGTTCAATTTAAATTCATTCGTATTGGGAAAATAAATGATCAAGAAAAATGATGTTTTTTTTGGTTGGCCACCAATACAATGGCATAGATAAGCATTTACAACGAAGGTAATGGAAACAGCCTAATCTAATCCCAAGATATTGGGACAGTAGGGCATGTTTCTAACATGATTTTATCCCAAAATTTAACATGATTATAACATAATCCCATAAGGTAAACAACCCTAAATCTAACATTCTTAATGCAAGGGGTTCAAATAAATAAATCAACCATACTCGAAAACTAGCTGAGTTTCCTACTCTGTTAATTTTATCAATATTAACACTATGTATATAGTCAACAATTACTTTTCCCTTGCGATGGCAGCTTTCATGAGCTACTTCCCTTCTACATTTGTCCCAAACAGTCTTCACGAATAATGCTTTATTCTATAAATATTTGTAATGATTCTTGATTCTGTAATCAGGTCTTTCTGGCAATTGATTCAGGTGAAAATTACACCCTGTCCTTAATATTATTTTTATTTGACTCAGCAACTTAGATTATACATGAGGTATTTTCTACCTTGTGCCATGTCCCACTCCCACACACCCAAAATCACAATAATAAAGATGGTGCCTAAAAGACCATCACCAACTCGCCAGAAAGAAAGAAGATGGATACTACCTCCAGGAAGTTGTCTTGTCTGAGGTATTTGCAAGTTACTGCTTTTCCAAGCAGGCAGGCTTTTGTGCCAACTGCACGCTTTACCATCCAGTATCCCTATTATTTAAAAAACGTCCGTCTTGATTAACAAGATTGTCAAAGAATCCAGCAAATGCCACCTTTTGATATCAGAAGATAGTGTTACCTCAACAATGCTTGGAATAAGTTTGAATCTAGAATTGCGAAACATGTCAGGGCCATCAATAAATTTACCCAACAAAGAGTCTTTGTTTACAGGTCTATCTGCAGCAAAATAGAGAACGAGGCTGTAGTTTGGTCTGGCTGGTACCTGATTTACAGAAACCAGTGTACATGTTTTCCCTCAGAATAGCTTTAAAAAAATGAAGAGAAAGAGAGAACAAAGCAAGATTGTGCCCAGAATATTTTGACAGAAAAAAATCTTGAGTCTGTTCGCCTACTATGTTCATATGCATTGTTGATACATTTTCATGATAAAGGCACAACCCGAGAAGCACGGTTGCATCAAACAACTTTTTGGAGAATAAATATTGGCTTTCTCAATGACAACTCATTTCAACCATATCTTGTGTTTCTAATATGTACTATAAATTTTCAACCAAAACCACAAAAGCACACGGTATATAGTTGTTAAGGATCCTGGAGTAAGTGCCAAAAAATACATAATAGGTGCAAAAATATTAACAGAAAACGATATGTCACATAATAACCAGATAGTCAGATACACGAAAGCAAACCTCAAGATTGATAACAAGTATGAACGGAAGCTTTTTCCCTTCAGCACTCTGCAATTAGAAATAACATTAGATGACAGAAAACAAATAAGGAAGAAAACAATTTACTGCTAATTATATATAGACTCGAAAAGAATGGGGGGATGACAACTCACAACATAAGAAAATTGCAAGATTACGTAAATAAACCTCTTTATCAGCCAGAGAAATAGTAAACTCAGTTGACAAGATTACCTGAACTAAGCTCTTTGGATGCAATGCGACATTTGTGGCACATTCTTCCACTTGGAACCAGTCAACCGCTATGAGCTTGAGAAGTGGTTCGCCACCTTTTACCTGAAATTTCAAATAACAATTTTTATTTTCAAAACCACATTCCTGTAGTCAATATTTTTACAGAACAACATTTCGGTATTTTCTCATACAGATTACAGATGCACTAGAATAACTATTAAGTGGATTTGATCCGTATACGCACTTATAGAAGCAGAATAAAGACAATAAAAAAACTCGGGCAAAGAATGCATTCAGCCTCTTAAAGCATGATATTTGAAGGACAAATATACTTATATCAGAAATTTTAGGAAATAAAGAAATGACAATAATGACACCTTGGGGAGATGCAAATCTGATTAAACTTTAGTTCAAAGTACATGGGACTAAATTTAAGGAAGAAACCAACATTTACCTAAAAAAATCAGATATTCAAAATCTTGCATCCTCTACCTCTTCAACATTTTATGAGCACACTTTCAATTATGAATAGATCCATATACATGATTCAGTTAAAATAAGGATATAAGCCTTGATACCGCCATGGAAACTTTTAGATCATAAATACCCAAGTGCTTGAGCACTGGAAACCGGAAAATCCTTATTGCAGTTGACCGAACACTCTTAATTCTACTTGATCACATTGAGGAAGCAAAATCAATTTTTATTCAATGTCATTATGTTCAAATGTAAGGACCAAGAATTTTCTGAAAAGTTCTACATTTCAAAATCTCATGAACTCACCTTCATGTTGTCTTTCAAGTATGTCTTCCCTCTGATCATGAATCCAGAGCCATCTGGAGAAGACCAGCAATTCTTATCAAATTCATCCTTTGCTTTTCTTAACGTCCCATGAAACAAACTTGCATCAAGATTGATAGGAGGTGCCTCTGAGCTCAACACATTTGCTTCTGGTGCTGTTAGAGAGAAAAATCAAGGTTACTCTACAAGTTCAATAAAGGATCAACCTACAAAAGGCATCACATATGGGAGCAAAGGAAGTGACCTTTTGAAAAATGAAAGATGCTGAAATAACATATACCTGAAGACCTCTTACGAGTCAAACTAGCAATGGCCCATGAAATGTTCTTCAGCTTTATCTTCTTGTCCTGGTGAATAAAGCAAAGTTAATCCATTCACATCTTAAAGTAGATAATTAAACTTCTTGATATACGAAGACCAAATACCTTATTGATATCTAATGCATTGTTATTATCTTCATCTTCTGAGGATGAATCGTCAGTGGCATCATAGAACTCCTCATCAGCTTCTGCATCCTCAAATTCACTATTGGACTCAGAAAGGTCGGACACTTTTGAATGAAATATTTTGGTTGTTGCCTCCAAAGCGAGTGTAGGGTTTGCACCAACATATTCCTTCAAACCTGAAGAAATCATGTGGAACAAGCACTTTATGTTATCAGACATTCTAACCAAGCTAGTGCATTAAGTTTATATTCTTAAAACCTGATCAACAAAGAGATACGATGTAGCAAAAATAGTGACTGCTACAATACTCGAAATCATTGTTTACGAAAAGTGTAAGACTAAAATGTGTTGAGTATAACCAACCTGATACTTGACTCAGTAATGCAAATGGAACAGTCTTTTCAAACTTGGCGCAGTTCTTGTTCCTCCATTTAAACCAACCCTTGAGGTTTATCTCTAGTGTTTGGGTGACCAAACATCTGGCAGTAGTATTGAATGAGGGAGTGCTTAAGTTACTGATCTCCCAAGTGGAAGCTAGAGGGAAAACAAAGGAAGAACAGAGTTAGGAGAAAAAAAAAGAAGGCAACCAATTTCCTATTCCAATAAATAAATTATGGTGAGATCGAAGAAATTGACAGCATAAAGGAACGAACATATGTTGAATTATAAAATTGCTGAATAAACAAAATTAAACCATGATTCAGATCAATCATTATTTTTCTTTTTGCCATTGGATTGAGCAGTGTACAAGGATTGGGAGGAATAAATTTGGAAATTCATAAATATGATCATTCATGTCAAGAGAGGAATTCCATAAAAACTCATCCAAAATGGAATACTTGAGGAAGAAAAGATCCCACATCTTTAGGTAGCATACACAGTTATTCAGACTCAAGGTTGTCAAGAAGCTATTCTGACCTAATACCTCCATTTACTACTATATAAATCATATGGAAATAGTACTGAGTTAATTATATATAATAGTTGGTTCTTATCACTCAAAATCTCACAAAACGCTTCTGATATTGTTGTTTCTAGTGCAATAGTGTTTATACGGTACAAAAAACTCTTGTTTTTTGAAAAACAAAATTCCTTACGGTTGATTTTTGTACGCTTATAGCCAGATCTTGGTGGCCGCTTCTTGTGTATAGAAGGAGACTGCAGGATTGCTGCAACAATAAGTGGATATCAAACTGTCATTCACAAGAACTGTCAGACTTTCAAGTATTAACAGTGGATTTATATATGATAGTTACACTTGCATTGTATAAAACAGCCATTAGGTAAGCAATAAATTAGAGAAGAAGATTGGAAATAAGATTTGGAAGGTATTAAGATTATGACTACAAGGAAGCAGGCAAGTATACGGACAATAGACAACTGTATTGTGTAAAAACTACGAGTCAATGGACTCAACCCCAAACACTTGTGTCTTGCACCAAACAGAACCTTTAGTGAAAACACTACACATTAATAGGAAAAAAAAAAAAAAAAGCACTACACATTAATAGTGAGTGTATCAAAGGTGAACTTCAACTTAGTCTTCACATTGACAATGCTTCATCCTGTTCAGACTAATAGATCAATATACAGCGCCTAGTGTCGGATGTTCTGAGTACAACATGGTATACTTTAAGAAGAGGGGGGGGGGGGGGGCAAGAAAATCAAGCTAGCATTAGTGAAAACATTCACGGATTAAAGAACACCATTTATAGATTTACTTCTAGAAGAAGACGTAAAAAAGTTAATACACTAAGCATATGAAAACTGCTCTGGTAAACTATAGCACTAACTCTTGGAGATAGTCAGAGAGAATTGAACATTTTTAATAGAATGCATCAACTTCAATGCAGCTGGAAATGAGAGTAAAGGTGAGGTGATCCTTGCAGCCTTGTAATTTCAATGGGAGCTAAACATTACTCAAATATGTTCTTCTTTTATTCACTGTGTTTATCTTTACTATCGTCTTGCTGCCTTTGAATCCTCCAGGCTGCTATTAATCTTCCTAAGTAGCTATGTAATTTTAATATTGATGCACTTGATTGAGCATTACGGCTCCAAAACATCTACTCCTATATCAGCATTACTTTAACTCAATTCTTTTTAGATTAATCAAAACTGGATATGACAACAATGTATGTTGAAAACAACGCACAGAGTGGATTGCTAGGGTAGAGACATTTAGTTTTAGAAATGACCATAACTAATCAATAGAAACTACTAATTGCAAGCACATAAAAGTGAAAACAAGCACAGATTTTTTACTGTATGTTCCATCCTGCCCACAAAACCATTGCCTTGAAAATACAAAGTCCCTTTTTGACTGCCACCTACATACAAGAAACATATTTCAAGCAATTGTAACTGATAATCAATCCAAGAAGCAAATAAGTATAATACACAATCATTCACAGGCCAATAAAGTTAAAAAAATAATTGCAAAGTCACAATCAAAAGTTGATGGATATTCAAATGCTAACTAGGTAGGGTCATCGTCTGACAAACTACCTGCATTTGAATATTGCATTTTCATTAGTGTAACAGTGTCTCCTGGAAGAGTAAAAAGCAAACTAGTGTTGGCATTTGGTAGATCTAACACTGAAGCTGGGCGTCAGCTATGGCTTTAGCAACCTATGAGCTTATTAGGATCAAGCAGTTACTTTTAAAACTAAACTTTGTCAAAATGTTAAGAGAGAGAATTATTTTGTGATATCAAGGCGAAATGCATATTGCTTCTAATCTAGTATTCTAAATGCACATAAAATATATCAGGTTGGCCTGTCATTACAGCCCAAACAAGGTGTTATCTAGATGTATTGTCACCAATGTATCTTCTAACGATCAATTTGTTAACATCCCACAAAATTGTTTAGAGATCCTCACATCATACAACTTATTGCTCCAGATTGAAGGAGATTGTGAGATTGTAAATAGTTTTGTTTTATGGGTTAAAGCTCAATGGGAATAGTATTATGTTTGTATTTGTTTGTTTAAGTGTGATAATTAGATTGAGAGATTTCTACAGCACTAAAAATAAGATGACATATCAAAAACCTAGAAATAGAACTTACCAAGTCAAATAACGTGGATCGAATGTTCCATAGACAACATCATAGTGCCCATCTATAGATTCAACCAACTCCAAGTCACTAGTCAAAGTATCCCACCTATTGACAAGATATTGGATGAATTTTGATTATCAATATACAAGAATTAAAAACAAAAAAAACAAACAAACAGCAAACTCACTCATATCTTTTATGTCGATCAAGATTCAGTACAACGTCAAATACAGTATCAGCAGTTGCCTCGATAACACCAACGGCTTTGACCAGAATGCCTTTCCCACTCTACAAATAATAGATCAGCCTTCAGAGTAAAGAAAACAACCAGATTGTTTATGAAATTTTATGGTTGCACTTATTGGAGCACATGCCCATATACATTCTTCAGTTACAGAATTGTTATTAAGAACCAGTTTATTTGAATTCGAAGTCCATTTTGTTTCAAGATGGCTATTTCAAGTTTGTTTAATGCAAAGTATTATGCAATCAAAATTTCAGTCTATGATGTGATTTATGGTAGGCATTACCTAAGTATCTTCAGCTGATAATTAAGAGAAACTCAAAATATATTGGGTTATTTTTAGACCGAAGGAAGCTCAAGAAGTAAATTATCAATAATGGAATGAACTAAGATGTCATTGGACAGCCAATCATATGTGTGTTTACTTGTATTTCGAATTGTTTTGGATTTGAATACTTTTGAAGGAAAAAAATAGATATTAGGTCTGATGTTGTTAATGGGAAAAAAGTGTTAGATGTAATATTCTTTAATGGGAAAAATTATTTCATTATATTTTGAATAGTGCAAAAAGAGCAAGAAAAACACAAGTCAACAGAAGCATAGTTTTGTGCGTGTGTTTGTTTCTATCCATATATATTAAAAAACAGTTCATCTTACACATGTTATTCAACAAGCCATTTCAAAATAAATAACACTATGCCAAACTGCTCTTATGGTTTAAACCAGTCATATTATAGTAAAACTAATACAAGCTGCCTGAAATGATAGATGAACTACCTTGGAGCTGGCCACATCTTCAAATATTCTCACACCTAAAACCACAACAATGTCAATAAAATCATGTAAAACAATGGACTTAAAACAATATTAAGGAAACTAAACATGGAAATATTGAGGTATATAAATCTTGTACATAAATCCTTTATTCTCAACTGCAATGAAAAAGTTCTACAGGCTCCAAAAGTTAATAAACATTGACTCAATTTTCAATGGAACTGTAGTATTCAATGATGTAGACAGGCACATGTTGACTACACATTACCGAAGTTATATGGTCTGAACTCTCACTTAGTTTTGCACAATGACAGCCTTCATCTACATGTATAAATACATATAGCGACTCAAAATAAAACCATCTGGTTCTTCTTTTTACATGTGCATTATGTTAAAAACCAAGTGTATTCTACTCTCATCTATGATGTTGATCACACAGGATTTTCCGTGCGATATTCTTCTGTCATACCCCTACTTTAGGCTTGTGTCGCTTCATATGTGCATTATGTTAAAAGCTAAATGTAATTGTCGAGATGTTGGGGAAGTGAAAACATATTAGACATAAATTTGTGCTGGAATACAAAACTAGAAATCTACATAAATTCCGTCAAGAAAAGATCAAGTATAGATGACGTTGGGAGGACTATGGCCAATATGACAATGGGACTAGTCATAAAACATCTGTGCAGCCATAATAGTTATAGATGATCAGAATATGCAATATCATTATATGTTAAATAATATTTTCCATTCTATAAATCATCTTGTAAACAATTACGCATGAGAAATTATTGTCATGGACTGGAGTTTAGAACCTTATATAATAAAGGCATATAGTTTATGGTTTTTCACAGAATAAGAGTAACAAATTGAAAATTGATAATTACCGTTAACAGTACGTACACATCTCCATTCATGTGCTTCGACTGCATCGCCACCATCAGCATCTAAAAATGTGTCAAATCTACTATCTTCACCAATGCCTGAGGTTTTACGCAAAAGCATTTCCGGACCTATAAACAGCAGTATCCATGTAATCAGAAAGCTAAGTATTTTACATTCTGAGTAAGCCAATTAAATCAGGAAAATAGTCACAGAGAAACAAAGTTGTATCTAATACAAAAACGAAATTACAGCAAAGATAGAAAATACATCACTAAAATGAATTTTCCATTAGCACAAAGAAATATGAATATACAAAACTGCTAATCATAAATAATAATGCTATCTCACTTAGAAGGCATTAATAAAAAATTCTGTTGGGCTTTGGACATTAATTTATAGGGTAAAGAACCAAAGAAATGTTAAGAACAAGCTTTTTCATCCAGAAGTCTAGTTGCCAAGGCAGGCCAGACCAGCCCAGACTGTCTGAATCGGAGCTGCTACAGCCCAGGCTCAGAATAAATAAGCCTTCAAGTGGGCTGGTTCAGGCCAAACCAAAACTAGAGGACAGCCCTGACCAGCCCACTGGACAACTTGAACTAGAAGAGTGAACTTCCATTCATCTGATAATAATAACCAGCAAGCCTCTAGATTAAACAAAATCTATTGTAATTTCATATAAATTAAAAGATGACAAGCATTTACAAAGATAGCTCTTGTTTGTTCTCTTTCACAACGATTTTCAAACAAAACCATAACTGTTGAGTGGAATAGAAAAAACTAAAAAAATCCCAACCTCGACAACTTTTAAGAAGAATAATAAATGCATTAAGTAAAGATATCATACAATTTCTCAATCCATACAGAACTAGACAAAGTAGCAGAGAAAGCGTATGACAAAAAAGTAGCTAACAAAAGACAAAATCACACGGCAAATCTTACCTTGTCCTATCCTTATTCGTTTTTTCAGACGATGGGCATAACGTCGGACTCTTGGCCGATGTCCTTCCAGGTTAATCCTATAATAAACAAAACTCCTCAATGTTGCTAGGAGTATCTGCTGAATATGTGTTTGTAAATAGAATCAAACATGCATTTTGTATTATGGAAACCAAACTTCACATTTCCACCTGTAGAATTGCATAGCCTAGATTAGAGAACATGAAAACTCGAGTAACATGAGAATGAGATCATAGTACAAAGCAATTCTTTTACCTTATTTATCAGTGCTTTGGTACTAAAGACTTTTTTGCCATAAAAATAGAATAAAGGCAGCATACTATGGAATACGTCTCTATAGTTCAATTATTTATCTGCCCATTCCACTGTTTTGTTTTTTTCCAAAGGACTGCATTATTTCACTTATCACCAACAAAAGGACATTAATAAAACAAATCAGAGCTTACTCATCCTCCATGTTCAGCTTGTTTCTCACACTAACACCTCTTGAAAGCTCATACTCGACCTACAGCATTTAAATAAAAGGCAAAGTATTTTACTACCAGTCTATTACAAGTGCAATGAATTCCTTTGATCAGGATATTGATATTAAAGTAATGCTTGCATGCTACTATCAATAAGTCCACAAAAATGAAAGAGCAAAACTATGCATGAAAATGTTTATGCAAATTAGATGGTGAAAAGAGACCAATAGAAGCATGTAATGAAGCTCCATCTCTAAATTCATTTTTTAATCCAACAATTTCATTAATTAATTTAAGTAAATTTTGTTCTTTTTTAGTTTTTCTTTTCAATCTTTTTAATATGCCGTTTTATCATCGTTTCCAATAAAAGCATATACATATTTTCCATACAAAATATTACAGTCAACCACTATTTTACCTAGAAACAACAAAAATCAAAATCTACAAAACACAGAAAAAACACACCTTTAGTGTTTCTAGCATCCCCATCTAATACTTGTCAAACATGAAGTATATCAAGGCCACATGGAAGTGATGGACAACAGATACACAATGAACTTTTAAGGCTAGGATTGTTAACAATGCCAAACCAGCAAAGCTATGCTAAAGACAGTAACATGTAAAAAAGACAACCTCCCCAAGTCTCCATCTCGTGTTAGAAATGTAAAATAGAAGGAGAAGAAAATATTTGGGGTTCACATGCATTTTTTGTTATTTTATCTGGTACCTGTTGCTTCGCTTGGTCAAATGCTTCCATCCACTGTCGGACCTCACCAGCTGTAGCACAAGCAATCTTGCAACAACCAAAGACCCATTTAATGCAACAACAACAACAAACAATCAAAAAAGAAAATGTAACATCAAGGAATATCCTCATCATTTTTTATTTCTCATAGATTTTGCAGAAAGGAACCAAAATACCCTGAAAAACCTCATTTCAAAATATCTGCACTTTATGCATTAAATTTAAACAAAACATATAAAAAGAATCCACATGACGATTACTGAGAACAGACATGAATAAATTAGAAACCAAGCTAGTGACACTCCTTCAGAAAAATGCCATACCACCAAAATTATCAGTACAATGCATATAAACAATTGGCTAGGATAGGTTAAACTTCACTTACTTCTCCCTTTTTAGCTTCATCCAATCGATTGAAGAACCTCAGCACATAAACATCCTACAACATTGCAGCCAACTCTTCAGATGATAGCAATATTTTTCATCTGTGTTTCATATATCTTCAAAGTGCTTCAAGTAACAAAACACTAATACAATGAACATGTATGAGAAGATCACAATAAATTTTCAGCAATTCAACTAGTATAGCCAGAAACAAAGGTCGAACAGCTTCTTCAAGGAACCAAAAGGGTTTAAGAGGATTATCAGAGGTCTTACACCATGGTTCACCTTCCGCCGACCCAACTCCTCCACCATAAGTGCAGGCCCTATGGTTCCCTTTCGAATAGGTTTCTGTAAACAATGAATTTGTGGAATCATTGGATGCAAAATTAGAATTATAAGATAAATATCAGGTATAGTATGGGGTATTGTTGATCAAAAGGACAGTAAAATTGTAAGTCAATCATAGGAGAGAACACAAAATCATCTTAGAAGTTATTTCAAGAGTACCGCAGCAAAGGTCACTACATTTATAGTTCATATTGTTTACTTGTGTTTTTAACCTTCTTTTCATACTTTAATCTATGGTAGAAAAAGATTTTTTTACACTGCAAAAACATCATTTTCACCACCAATACTATGTAAAAAACATCACATCCCACCACTTATTTCTATTGAAAAAATATTAAATCCAAAACATCGAAAGTAAACATTTTGAGTAAATACTATATATCTCAACTCACCAATCAAATCAAACTAGTGTAGCCACCAAAACTCAAAATACACAATAAATTAGGATTAATATTTCAAATACCACCACAGAACAAATACGCATAATTTACATGGTATCCATCAGTCTTGTCAACTTTTATATTAACCTTTTTACAGGGCTTAATCCAACCTCTCCTTATTTCTTGCAAAACCGTTATTCCCAAAATCAAGCTCAAACAATGAATCTCAGCATAGAATCAGCTGTCGAATCCCCAATTGAAAATTTAGCCAAGAATTGAAGGTTCGAATGACCTCTTTTTCTTTTTTCTTGACATAATCAAATTAAACAGTAACTATAATTACAAACCACAAAAAGGAAGAAGAAAAAGAAGAAAGAAGGGGTTGGATGCATACAATTCCTGGATTCTCGAGCGGATCTTGCTTATACATCTCAAGATACTTTCCCCGGATTCGGAGGTATCTGAAGTGGCAATACTCATGGCCGATGGAATTGACACCCAAATGATAAACCCAGCCAGAATACTCAAATATCTCCCTCCCGCTGCTGTGGCTTCTGATGCTGGCCTTGCCACCGTTTTGATGGACGGAATTCCTGTCCTCTAACGCCGTTTCCGAGGCCACGCTTTCCGGCGAGCCTCCGTCGCTGCTGCCATGCTTCTTCGAAGCCATTCCGGCGAGTCGAGATCTGCCAGAGCGTGTCCGGTGTTCCCAAGGAGTGGAGCCACGGAATTGGAGCTGCCGACGAGGGGATGATCGAATGTATGGATCGTTGGAGACAATCAATAATAATAATAATAATGGATTAAATGGTGCGGACCGCGAAAACTGTGAAACCGATTCGAAGGTTAGGTGAAGGTCGGCACGATGGTGAGTCAGTAGCGCATCTGGCAACGCGGTCCCCCTCAGCTGTCGTCTTCCTCGCTGGCTCGCTCAGTTGCCGTACCTTAAGCAGCTACTTTGCTCGCCATTAAAGGGCGTTGAAATGCATAGGCGTGTTGAATCGCGTTTGTTTGATTCTGTTTTGAAATGAAAAACTGATTTAATTTATAAAAATAATATTTTAATATTTTAGAGTATATTGATATTATATTGATATATAATATTTATGTAATATACAAATAATAAAAATAATTTTATATTTAATTACAAATATATTTATAAAAAAAACAAATATATTTGTAATTAACGAATTAAAATGACAAAAACGATATATTAATAATGGACTGAAGGATTTTTTGAAAGAAAAACAGTGTAAAGTTATTAATTATATACACAGTAACAGTAGAGAAGGTATTTTAGAAGGAAGGTAATTAACAGATAATTAAGAATGTATTAGTGAAAATAATTATTTTATAATATAAATAATTATAAATTAATATTAAGATAACTAATTAGTTTAATTAAAATTAAAAAAAAATAAAATTTAAAAATTTAAAATGAGATTAAAGTACGTAATTATTTTCTAAAAAAAGAAAGTGATATGGTATGTGGGAGGCTCAGAGAAACGGCAACGTGGACATGGTATCTGGCATGGAGGAAGTATAATTTCGATACATTTTATTCAAAACAACATACTATGGGTGTGTTTGTTTGGGGTTTGGATTTTGAGTTGAGATTTGAACAGTAAAAATTTTGAATTTGAATAGTTGTATGATGTGATATAAATAGGGTTTGATGTGATGTTTTTGAATGTAAAATTGATTTTTAGTATAATTTAAAAAATAAAAAATAGGTGTTTGATTTGATATTTTTGGGGAAAAAAAATTGAATTAACAGTGAAAATCCGCCAAAATCCTTCAAACAAACACACCCTATATGATTTTTCTTTTTTTAAGAATTATAACAGTTTTATTATTCAATAAGTTGAATAGTGATTTTACAAGGAATCGAGGTATAGAATTTATGGATTATTTGGTACATAAATGATATAGAGAAATAAAAATATTTTTATTTCTTTTGTTTGGTTGAAATAAAAAAAATTAATATTAGAAATAGATAAAAATAAAATTAAAAAAAATACAGTATTTATTTATTTGTTTTTATATTTAATTTTTATAATTTAATTTATATTTAATTACTATTTATTTTTTATTATTATTTAATGTTTATAATTTTTTTAATCCAATTTATCATTTTTAGTGATTTATTTATTTTTTTCAATCAACAAATAGCATATTTTTTTATACATTGTATTTTTTATTTTATATTTTTCAATTGAATCCATTTTCATTTTATATTAAATTCATTTTTGTATTACTATCTCCGTCCCAAGTTGGTATCGTCTTGGTATCTGTAAAAACAGAAATTTAAAATAAGTATAATTAATAGATAATTTAGAATATATTAATAAAAATAATTAACTTATAATGTAAATCATTATAAATTAAAATTTAAGATAATTAATTAGTTTAATTAAAATTAAAAAAAAATTAGAAATTTTTAAATAAAATTAAGATGAGTAATCAGTTTTTTTTTTAAAAAAGTGACGAACAGAAACTGCAACATGACATGTCAAGTGGAACGGATAAAATATTATTTATCTACAATTACCACATGCACATCTAATTTGTTGTATAATAAATATGACATTAAATTGATCCCCGTCCGATAATGCTTTTTTCAATTCTAAATCCCTCAGAGTACAATAAAGCTATCTTTATAAATTAGTCGTTATATTAGTATGTTTCTTTTGATAAGTTTAGGAAAATTTTGGTTTGAATTTTGTATTAAAATAATGTTTGATATGATATTTTATGAGATAAAAAAATGTATTTTTTTTTAAAAAAACGTAAACTCCAAATAATAAAATTTGAAAAATTTTAGGTAAAGAAACATACCCAATTAATTCGAGTGAACTCACGGTTATCCATTATTTTATTTTATATTAATTTTTTCCTATTGTTGGTTCTATCACATATTAACAGCAAAGGAAAAGAAAAATTGTCGAGGATGCAAACCCAAGTCTCACATGTAAAAAAATTTCCAGATTTATTAAAATTATTCAAAATGATATTTTGTTATATTTATTATTTATTTATTTATTATTATTATTAAGGATAAAACAGTAATTTTAGTTGAAAAGTACTTCAACTTATTTTTAAAAAAAGCTTAAAAAACTGCTTCTGTTATTAAACAAAAGCCAATGTAAACAGATACAAAATACAGCGGAAGCTAAAAGCAGCTGTCAGAAGTCAATCCAAATAGAGCCTAATATTAGCTGTTCCGATAACGATTCGACAACGTTTCTCAGCGGATCTCCAAAAACGATTGAAAGCACTTTTGGATTGGTTCAGACTTCAACCATCTTGCGTCAATGACTGTTGGTACACACATCCAACTTTCGGAACACTCCGTGCAGAGAAGGAGAATACACTGAAGAAGTCGACGAGAGGAAACGGTTGTAAAAAGCATAAAAGAAAAAAAAAATGTATCAATTCCTACCGAGAGAGACGCAAAGAAGATAAAAGAGAAATACTTCATTCGTCCTTTAACAATCTATTCATTTTTTTCATTTTGGTCCGGCCTATAACAAAGTATATATATATTTTTTTATTTTTTTAATTGTACTATCTACGTAACATTACAAATATCATTCTAATTTACCATATATTACACAAATGTCATTATCTTTATATCATACAGGTTAATTTAGTCTTTTTACATTTATTTATACTTTATCCTAATATAATACTAATATTTATAAAATTCCGTGCAAAAAAATAAATGGATATATAGATATGGGAATGAGGGAGTATTATACTTTCTCAATTCCAAAACAACAAAGACATTTATGATCAGTAAAGATTTAAAAAATAATAATACTCCCTCCGTTCTACTTTTCATGTCCACTTTTTTATTTTCGTCCGTCCCACTTATTTTGTCACTTTTTTTTTTTTGAAAAAAAATTATATACTTTAATTATATTTTAAAATTTTTAATAAGATTATCATATAAACAAATTAAAAATAAAATCTAAATAATAAAAATTTGTGAAAATTGTGTCGTTTGTATACCTATACAATTTTATACAATTAATTAAATTAACACATACGATTTTATATTCAACAAAGTCGTGTTATATTCAACAAAGTTGTGTTTGTTACGTATTACAATTTTCGTTATGTCCATGTCATAAATTCAATGGTAGAATTAAAAGTAATTAAAAATATTAATCGTGACAAAATTGACTAAAAAATAACTGAATGAGACTATTAATATATTTTTTTTTTTTTTCTCTTTATATTACACACGCCGTACAATTTGCTTTGTCGTGAATAGCAGCACACGTGCTTGCCACGTGATCTCTCTTCCCGCCAAATCGTTCCCGCCAAAATCCCCAATCCCCTTGAAGAGTAGCACCGAAACCCTCGAGCCGAGCATTCTTTCTTCACCTGAGCATTTCGCAGAGCTTCCGGTAACAGTTTGCAGCCGCCGACCAGAGAGTGAGAGAGAGAGAGAAAATGTCTGGGTGGGACGAGGGAGGCGTATACTACAGCGACCAGGGGCAGTTCCCCCATGGCGGAAGCGATCAGGCGGAGACGGCCAATCGGCACACAGCGCTGCAGAAATTCAAGGAATTTATCAGGAATTTCCAGCGCAAGAGCCAGCCGAACGTGTTTCCCTACAGAGAAGCCCTACTGTCGAATCCCAAATACCTGCTTGTCGATCTCGCCGATCTCATCTCCTACGATCCCGACCAGGCTCTCCCCCAATCTCTCCGCGCCAATCCTGCCGACTACCTTCCTCTTGTAAAAATACAATCCCAATTGATGCTTAAATTTTGATGCCTAAACTTGTTTTTTCCTGGATTTAGTGCGTGGAGCAAGCCTGAATTCATTTTGTTTATTTCAAGCCAGAATCTTTGCAAGCTACGACTATGTTCTTTTCAACTTGAATCTGGCTTTTGTGCACATTGATTTCATGTTACTTGAGATCTTTATCACATAGAATAATGGCCGGTTGAAGAAATGATAGTTAGTCAAAATCTATGAATTGGGAATTTCTACTCATCATTGTATGCAGAGCTAATAAAAAACGAGTTGCTTAGGGTTAGGAAATGCAAAATGCGAGTTATATCTGTAAAGATGGCATGAATTTCTGTAAAAATCTGTTTATTTTACTGTATTTGAACAATATTTTGGATATAGTGTTCAAACTTCTACAGATATTCTGCTAATGCATTTCAAATTTTCTCATTCTGCCTCTGTATACAACAGTTTGAAACTGCCGCAGCCGATGTTCTTGCAAGTCTAAAATCAAGGGTAGCTGGAGAAACTGGTGAAATGGAGGAGCCAGAGCCAGGGGAAGTGCAAGTATTATTGAGGTCTGATCAGGATCCTGCTTCGATGCGTTCATTGGGGGTTAGTGATTTAATTTAATAACTTCTATGCCATTTTTATGAGATGGGTGTTCTTCAAAATGGTGCTCACTGTTTGCAAAATGTCTTGTAGGCACAATACATTTCAAAGCTTGTAAAAATATCTGGCATTGTCATCGCCGCTTCGAGGACCAAGGCAAAAGCTACATATGTTACTTTGTTGTGTAAGAATTGCAGGAATGTAAAGCTTGTACCGTGCCGACCAGGTCTTGGCGGAGCTATTGTACCCCGGTCTTGCGATCACGCACCTCAGGTTCCTAACAGATATATTTATTTAGATTTTGAGATTTCATATCCTTAAAGAACAAAAGAGTTAATCGTGATGTATTAACTAAAGTGCACACATTTTTAGCCTGGAGAAGATCCGTGCCCTATTGATCCATGGATGGTGGTTCCAGATAGAAGCAAATATGTTGATCAACAGACACTGAAATTACAGGAAAATCCTGAGGTGAGGATTTTCGAACATATTACTTATTCAGAAGGTTGTTCCACTTGCAATGAATCTTGCTGGCTCCTTTTCTTCATCTACATGATATCTTTTTCTAATTTAAGGATGTGCCCACTGGAGAGTTGCCTAGAAACATGCTTCTATCAGTTGATCGTCATCTTGTGCAAACAATTGTACCTGGAACTAGATTGACAATCATGGGGATCTACAGCATCTTTCAAGCTGCCAATTCATCAGCTTCGTAAGAATCTAAACAAATTTGTAGTTAAGAATCAGCAAAAACCACATAATCTGACTTTCTACTCTTTTGAGCAGTCACAAGGGAGCAGTAGCAGTTAGGCAGCCCTATATCAGGGTTATTGGATTAGAAATGACATCTGAAGCTAATTCTCGGGGTCCAACTGATTTCACCAGAGATGAGGTACTATGATTGGATTTTCTGATTAATTGTTGTTGTTGTTCGAGGTTGGGATTTTAGGTTTTCAGGATTATTGCTTGCCTATGGATATAAAATGCCTCATGTCAACTTGCTCTTACCATTCTCAGATTGAAGAATTCAAAAAATTCGCATCAGACAATAATGCCTATGAGCAGATATGTTCAAAGATTGCTCCATCAATATTTGGCCATAATGATGTCAAGAAGGCTATTGCCTGCCTTTTATTTGGAGGCTCAAGAAAGGCATGTTAAGCACTGTTTATCTTTCATTTTGATCTTCTGGTGTAATTTCCTGATTATAGTTCGTTTGGAGATGCAGAATTTGCCAGATGGTGTTAAATTAAGAGGTGACATCAACGTGCTACTCCTTGGAGATCCATCGACAGCTAAATCACAGGTTCGTTACTTTTGAGTTTGAATGATGCATATCACTCATACTAGAAAAGATCTCACTTTAGAATATGATGGCTGCAATCTTTGCTCTATGCATGATACATTCTGTGCAATTTATTCTACAGTTCCTTAAGTTTGTCGAGAAGACAGCTCCAATTGCTGTTTATACTTCTGGGAAAGGCTCATCTGCTGCTGGTCTTACTGCTTCCGTAATTCGAGATAATAGTTCTGTAAGTGCTTCACCTACTAAAGCTTTTGAGCAACTGTTATTCTCATTTTTATCTTTAACTATACCATTGAGAGCAGGCAGATAAATTCTCCTTGGACTTTGAATCGATTTCATGGTTTCTAAATATTCCAGCGGGAATTTTATCTGGAAGGAGGAGCCATGGTGTTGGCAGATGGAGGAGTTGTTTGCATTGATGAGTTTGACAAAATGAGGGCTGAAGACAGGTGATTGAATTGAAATTGAACTATGCCATAGTCATGTAAACTCTTCTCTTTTATATAATGTTACTGTTTGCTATGTGCTTATCTATGATGCCTGTGGTTCAGAGTTGCTATTCATGAAGCCATGGAGCAGCAAACAATTTCCATTGCCAAAGCAGGTATAACAACAGTTCTCAATTCAAGAACATCTGTGCTAGCAGCAGCCAATCCTCCATCCGGGCGTTACGATGATCTCAAGGTTTGTTAATTTCTGCACTATGTTTGTCTATGTTATTCCATTGGTACAGAGAAAGCTTAAAAGACTTCATTTTGCTTCTCAGACAGCTCAAGACAACATTGATTTACAGACAACCATTCTTTCAAGATTCGATTTAATCTTTATAGTGAAAGACATCAGAATGTATGCACAAGACAAGGTACAAAAACAATAATCGCTCATGATGGTATATACGATCAAATCCTACTTGTACTATGGTTCCATGTGAATAATCACAAAACGTTTTGGGTGATATTCGTTGCAGAACATCGCTAGCCACATTATCAAAGTTCATGCGTCTGCAGAAGCAGCATCAAGCGACACTAGGATCTCCAAACAGGATAACTGGTTGAAAAGGTCTGTAGAAGCTCCATATCGATGAAGTACAATGATGTTGGATGCATTTCTCTTGATGCTGTTTTGTGGTGCAGATACATCCACTACTGTCGAACTGAGTGCCATCCCCGTCTTTCAGAGGCCGCAGCATCTAGATTACAGGAGAACTATGTCAAGATTAGACAGGTATCCGTTATAAACTTCTAAATGTTAGAAATAACTATCTTAATTCAGTGAAAGCAATACGAAAACATGTTTTTTTGCGCAAGTAGTTTATTCTAGACCCAATCTAGGCTAATTTATTTATGTATTTCCTTTTAGGATATGAGGCGCCAAGCGAATGAAACAGGCGAAGCAACTGTAATACCGATTACAGTGAGGCAGTTAGAAGCTATTGTGAGGCTAAGTGAAGCGCTAGCTAGAATGACGTTGTAAGTTCATTTCTACGACACTATTGCATCTATTATGGTTGCTCTAGTTCCTTAAAACTTATCTTTTTCTGCTGCGTAAACATAGGTCTCACGTAGCGAATGACAACCATGTCGTGGAAGCCATCAGGCTCTTTAACAACTCGACAATGGATGCAGCCCGTTCTGGAATAAATCAACACATAAACCTAACCCCAGAATTAGCGAACGAAATAAAGGTAATAAGAACATTTCATTTGCCTGTTTTCTTGCGCCATGACTAATTTGAAATGAAAACGGACATTTGATGAACGCAGCAAGCGGAAACCCAAATTAAAAGGCGAATGGGGATTGGGAGCCATTTATCAGAGAGGCGACTAGTAGACGATCTCGCCAGAATGGGCATGAATGAATCCATTGTAAGTTCACACTATTTTTTATCGAATCTGGAATTATGTATTGATTACATACGGTTCGCTTGCAGGTTAGGAGAGCTCTTCTAATCATGCATCAAAGAGAAGAAGTCGAATACAAGAGGGAGCGCCGAGTAATCGTGCGTAAAGCTTAAGGAATGAATATAGTTTCTTAAGTGTTGAATTATACTCAACTTTGTTCTTATCATCTAAAAACTTCAGACTTAAGTACCAAACTAAGCTACTACTTCATTTTCATTTATATGATCAAAGAAGAGTAAGCAATTGTTCAATTAGCTATTATAAGCCAAAATCGAAGAGTTACAATTGTTCAACTACAACAGGCAACAAAACTTGCTTTTGAAGGATCATTATCGCCATTTCATCGTACAAAAAGTAACGGAAAAGTCCAACCTGGTTTATCCGGCTTTTGATGTTCTCGCAACGGGTGGCAATACAACCGTGTCAAGATTCCCGGGATAACGATCCCATAGGGCTAATCCTCCTCGGCTTTCTTTCAATTCAGGATGTTTCTTGAACTCGGCCAAGGTTTTCGCCCATTCGATTTTGGACGAGTGCTCCCGAGTGTGAGGGTGCAATATGAAGATCGAATTGTATTCGCAATTCGGAAACATGAAGAACTCAAATGCGTCTCCCAATCTGTAGACGACGTATCCAAAGCTCAGCTGATCCCTGGGCGTGAAGAGGTCGACCTCGTTGAACCATAAGCAACTGAACAAATTATTCATTGCAGTATGCTCGCGGATTATAATCGCGCCTTCCGGAACATCTGCATTTTCAGCATCATATTAAAGCCGTTAAAGATGGGAAAAAGCAATGCGAACCGATTTCCGAGTTCCTTGATAAACAATAAATACTTTTGGCGCTATCCATTAATGTCTGTCTTACCACTCGCGGTCTTTTTATGAGGACCCCAAGGCTTCATTCCCTCGTAAGAATATATTTTCATGTGTAGATCGATTAGGGGGCGAGCGTAACGCTTTCTCCGTTTGTTTGAATCAGCCTCTTCGTATATACTCCTGTGGTGCTTATGCTGTGCTATTGCAAATGTGTACTTCCCGCGCCATAAATACCTTAATGCATTTAACAAGTTATGTCGTAAAAATTCCAAAATCTCCCAAAACCAATAAAGCAACTGATGTGTAGAGATATAAACTACACATTACAAAAAAAACACTACGATTTTTGCAGAAGAGTTTAAAGAATTGGAGAAAGACAAAAAGTGTTGTTACCATACCTCTCCAATAGAAGCAGAGGATCCACAATAAGCTCCATTTTGCCGTCGATCCAAATGCTGTACTGGGCTTGAGGGAACAACCTATGCATTAATATCTTTGGGACCTTCCCGTTTCTTCTGGGCTCATCGTAAGGCTGATTTTTGAGTAGAATCAAGCGCCAAATACCTACCCACTGCCCACCGTCGTTATCCTCTCTGACACTAACATTATGCTTGATGAAATTAAGAGACACTTGATCGACAACCATTAGGAAACAAAACAAAGTCTGTGATCGCTTGCTAACATTGGATGGTTGGTTAGGAGTGTCATAAGCATCAAAGATACCCGATGCAACGACAAATCGGCATTTCTTCACATATTCGATGTCTTTTGGATCCATTTCATCGCCCCCACCTTGAACAAATCCACAATGCACCTGGAGGTATTACACATGTATTCTCTTTCACATCCGACAAATGAAGTGCTTTATATGCTAAGAATATACTAATCCATACTTTCACATTCCAAAAAAACAAGAACTGTTTTAACTACAAGACTCACTCTTTCCTCCTAATTAGCCTTATATATATATACACATATCAATTTGAGCCAAAAGGTGATTATATATATACGATTGTTGTTATTGCGCTGAATAGTACTGACAAACATAAAGGCAAACAACACACGATAGAGGAATATACAACACATGGTTTATGTTAACATAGTACAAAATCAACGTATGAACTGACAACACATGACATAATCCACACAGCACATAGTATCACTAATTTTAGTACAATAAATATTTTCATACAACACAGCTACAAATATGAACTGACGGCACATGTGTTAAATAAAAGCATGCGTTGTCTTTCGCTCAACACCGTATCTATCCATATATATATATATATAGTACCAAGAAATAACATCTCCAAGAAAAAATACGGCGCCTTGAAATTGACTGAACTACAATATTGCCTTGTGAATTCCATTGGGTGTGTTTATTTGATCGATTTTTGTTTTGAATAATAAAATTTTGAATTGAAATATATATTGATGTAATATTTTGAATGTAAAAATAAATTTTAGTGTAATTTAATAAATAAAAAGAAATATATTTGATTTGATTTCTTTAGAAAAAAAAAAGATTAGGACAATAAAACTATGATGAAAACCACACAAGTAAACACACCCATTGTGTTTCATAATAACAAATCAATTTCAACACGTGTCACATGAAAAGGTCTCGCATAAGAAAATCATCAAGGTATTGTATAATAATCCAAGAAGATAGACCAAGTTCATTGAATGTGAGTTAATTACCTTCATGACCGGCTTGATTTTGAAGCTTTCTTCCCTTTGCTTCCAGTTCTCGTGCCCACCAAAGAGAGGAGGAGATTTAGATTTATTGGTTGCATCATTGTCTTTCATAACGTAAGACAGTGTCTTGACCATTTTATCAGGTGTTCGTGTATCCGGAATGACTATTTTGTTTGGATCATCAGCAACAGGGATCTGGCAACCTAATTGTTAATTAGAGGCGGTAGTTCTTCAGCATCAATTGAATGAAAGCGGGATTAAGAGAAGTAAGAAGATTTTTCGATGATCTTACGGTGTGGGGGTGTCACAAGTCCCATCGTGTTCAACATGCCATTAACTCTGCTATTTTTGTTACAAAGAGCTGCAAATCGAACAAAGCAAATTAAATAAAGATAAATATTGTATTCTCTATCGAGGGGAAATAGTGGGTTTCAATTCAAATGACATCCTAACAACATATAAATTATGAATTAAGTAGCCCAATTTGTTAGCACACAATAGCAAACCGTATAACTTCAGCCACTACAACACGTATTAGGCAGCCGCAACATTTTAATGATTTATCCCTCTTAAAGGCATTAACCTAAGCTTATAAAAAGAAAAAAACACTTCAAGCATGTTAAAAGGCATTTGAGAATTCTTTAGCCCATCAAAGTATTTGGCAAAGGAAAATAGGAAAAATTAAGACGTTATGAAGCATAAAGACTATGGTTGTGTTCTTGTGTGGATTTTACCACAAATTTTTACTATTCAAATTCTTTTTTTCTCTCCAAAAATATCAAATCACACAATTATATTTCTTTTTTTATATTATACTATAAATCTATTTTACATTCAATACATTACATCAACATCTATTTATATCACATCAAACAACTATTTAAATTCAACATGTTACTATTCAAAATTCCAAACCCAAAAATCTAAACCCACAAACAAACACACCCTAAGTAAAAACTAAGTCAACTACCGTTTACATTTTCCCCCAAAACTTATAAAGTCTTCATTGCAACAAACACTACCAACATATTTTCTTCGATGTTCAAGTTGATGAACAATATTAATCTAAATATTTGGTTCCTACTTTTATGAAATGCCATATAAGATCGACCACTACAACTACTATGTAAACTTTAACCAAATACTCAAACAATTTTAAAGTGCATTGGCTTATAAACCATCTTAAATCAGTTGCGAAACAACATTCGACATTCAACTTTAGCTCAATAGCTATCATTATCAAAAATCTTCCCCAAGAAAAATTACATCATTGCAGATTGCAGCAATAGAACAAGTAGAGAAATATCATCGAAACGGTGTAATTATGTAGAAAACAAACTTCACATAAGAATTTGCTCACAGATGAACTAAAATTTCTTTCAATATACAAAACTTCTTCTAAGCCTATAAATCGAAAATTGGGCAAAATAGAAAGTTAAAGAACACTAAACAACCTGCAAAAAATGCATAGGAAGATTGGCAAGACAAAATGTGGAAAATCAAAGCAGTGAGTATTAACAACATCCAAATAATCCCTCCAGCAAGAACCAATCGAATGAAACCCTTTTTCCATAGAACCCTCATCGAACACTCCTGCGACAATTTCCCACCGGGCAGCAACCCTTCTTCCTCATCTGCACAAACATTTGCTTTCAAAATTTCGAACTCAGGCAAGAACACGATGTTATACTAAATCAAAATCGAAATTACACGTACGTTTGGTTTGGTGGGTCTGATTTCTTCGGGCTGCCCGTGAAGAAACGGACCTGTGATGTTCGTTCTCCATTTTATGGAAACCCTCAGCTAATCCTGCGGAAAGATTTAATGAATTTGCAATCGGCGGTCATCAACGGAGGAGCGACAAAAGATCCGATCTTTTGAGTCTGATTTTTCGAAAACATGAATGATGAATGTGGAAAGGTGTTGTGCTTAACAGGACATTTTGGGTGAAATTTATTTCAGAGAATTTGCCTGCAAATTAGAGAGTACGCAGTGCGCCATTGCCATTGCCGTTGAGGAGTAAGCTTTGCGGAGACGCTCCGGAGCAGTCGTCTTTCTCGATTTTCTTCGATCCGAACCCGACCCGTTTCAGGGGATTTGCATTTTCTTGGGTCTGTCTCTCACCTGGATCCTGATGTGGATGCAATTGAGTGGACGAATTTATTTAGGAAAGAAAATGGTCACATTGTAAAATAATTACATTGATTAAATTTGATCTTATTGATTTTTATTTTTTATTTTTTGATTAATTTTGATTTCATTGTACATAAATTTAATCAATTTTGTCTCATACTAACTCATATAGTGATATGAAGGTTGTGTTTGAATAACTAATATGTTTATTTAGCTGAGTTTTTTTAAATTTTACTATTTGAATTTTGTATTTATCTAAAAATATATATATATTACAAAATATCCTATCAAATATTATTTTCATATCAAACTTAAATCAATTTTTTTTTCAAATTCATCAAAAAAAAAAACATCCTAAGAAAATTGGCCTATTTTAATCATCCCATTCATGTAAAAAATGTTTCATTAAAAGGAGATTACACTTGCTTTGATTTTAAATTTATTTTCCATTAAAAATTTCCCTTCAAACTTGTGCCTGTATATAAAGTTCTCAACTCTACAATTCTCCATATATATTATTTTAAAAAATATAATATATACACATATTAATATAATATATATAATAATAATATATATTTTATCTATTCATAAAAATTAATTTTTTAACATAAAATATATTTTTTCGTGTATTTTTTTACGGAATTTTAAAAATATTAGTATTATATTAAAATTCAGTATAAATAAAGATAAAAAAAAATTAAACTAATTTTATTAATATTGTATGATATATAGGTAATGATATTTGTGTAATATATTATAAATTAGAAAGGATATTTGTAATGTTGAGTAGATATAGTAAAAAATTATTAAGGGTAGTAAATTCGTTAAAAAAAAACTTTTACGGAACAAACCCATGATTATACTAACGTTTTGTTACATTACACATTTATAATTACTTAAATAAACATGCTTTTTTATTTATTATTTTTATATTAAAATAATAACAATTTATAAAAATAAGAATAATAAAATAGATAATTAAAAATTACATAGAGTAACAATGAAACTACTATAATAAAAATAAAATTTTATATGTTAAAATTTATTATAATTTTATATATAAATTTCTTAAATATTTTTTCAAATAAAAAGACTTAAAATTCGAATACAATCTACAAAATTTTAAAAAATATATTAGTATATTATATTCAAAACTAAATCAATATAAAAAATATATATATAAAATTAATTAGTAAAACATAATAATAATAATAATAATAATAATAATAATAATAATAATAAAGTATATACACATAAAAATGAATGTACTAAAATAAATACTCACTCCGTCTCATTTTCTAATTTAGTAATTGTACTAAATTACACAAATGTCATTACTTTTATATTACAGCATACTAATAGTGGTATTTTTGTCTTTTTTACTACAATTCAATATAATACTAATATTAAAAAATCTACGTGCAAAAAGCAAACGCCACCCTTCCAACAGGACGAAGGGAGTATAAAATTTCTATATACTTCTCCGTCCCATATATATATATTCATTTGTTTTTTCACTGAGTTTTAGAAATATTAGTATTATATTGGGATAAAGTAGAAATAAAAGTAAAAATACTAAATTAATCATATTAATATTGTATAATACAAAGGTAATGACATTTGTATAATATATTGTAAATTGGAAGAGTATTTGTAATATTAGATAGATAGTACACTTACTAAAAAAAAAAATTGATACAGACCAAAATAAAAAATGGATATATTGTTAAGAAACGGAGGGAGTATTAAAATTTAGGTAAAACAAGTAAAACAATCCCAGGTTTGCTAAATTTGTTGAAGAAACTCATTGGTCTTAAACTTCATTTTTATCTATTGTAGTTCAAATAAAGATGCAACATATTTGGTACTGTTTCTTTGATCACAACGACAATAATGATCTTGTTTAAATTCACAAAGAATACAAAAATAGACTAGAGAATTCCTGTATTGTTTTTTACACGACTAAAAATACATCTCCGTAAGTACTTAACGGGGATTGTAGCAAACACAGTTAAGCTTAAAGTGCAAATATTATTACAAAATCATAGATAATAAAAAAGAATATTCTTCTTCAAAGCAAGTACAGAAATATTTGGATTATCGCTGATCATGTTGATTTTGTAATTGATAATCCTTCGTCCCACTTACCATGTTATGTTGCTGTTTCTGTCCGTCCCACGTCTCATGTTACTTTTTTTTTTTTGAAAAATGATTACCCATCTTAATCTTATTTAAAAATTTTTAATTTTAATTAAACTAATTAGTGTGATCTTAATCTTAATCTATAATGATTTATATTATAAATTAATTATTTTTACTAATATATTTTTAATTATCTATTAATTATATTTATCCTAAATTTTCGTGTTTACAGTGACCAAGACACCCAATATGATAAGAAGGTAGTACAATTTAAGCTTATCTGCTGCAATATTTGCTGAGTACTACAAATAGAGTATATTTTATTAAGTTACTTGAGCCATAAGTAGATAAAACTAATTGTAGGATAAAAAAATTTTCAGCAAATTTGAAGAATCACAAATATTTATTTTTGCTATTTTGTCAAAAAATTATTATATAAATTCTCAAAAATATTATTTAAAATTAAAATATTTAACATTTAAACATAATACAAAATTTACTTTCTCACTTGGGACAATCTTGGCTTTGGATTATTTGTTTAATCATTTTCCCAATATTTTTTATATGTATATATATATTATTATAACAATAAATTCTAATTATATTTAAAAAATTTTGAAAAAATAATTTTACAAATTATTCAAAATATAAAATAATTTTAGAAAAATAATGATCACCGAAATTAAATTCTTGTCAAATCACGGAGGGAGTATATGATAATGCTAAGTGGTTGCACGTGGTTCCACGCGCCACTTTTTCGTTGTGTAATTTTTTCTCCTCCGTCTGCCGGAAAGTTCTGCTGTCACTCTTTAATGGCTAGCTCTATCCGAATCGCCGTCGTCGGTGACGTTGTAATGTCACGTTTTCTCTTCTCAACACTTAAATTGTAGACCGAATATTAATTAACTTTTCCCCCTATCTCGTGTTGCAGCATGACGATTGGAATCTGGAAGAAGATACCAAAGCTTTGCAACTTTTAAAGGTCAACTTAAAGATGACAATTTTTAGGTTTTCTTTTATTATGCTAGGGCAACTTTGTTTTGTCCGATGAATTGACATTCTGATACACATGAAATTGAAGAAGCTTTGTTGTGATTGATGTCTTTGTTTAACAAGAAAGTAGTTTCTTTTAGTTGAATAAGGCATAATTCTGCATTCAAGGTTAGTTATAAGTACTATTGGAATGGTAGGTTGGATAATGCTCATACTAGCTTTGTTTGTTTCACCGTGGTTTTTTGGATGATTTGGGGATTTTGGATTTGTTGAATTAGAAATTAGGTTTCAAATGTGTTGTTCTAAATGTAAAATTTTGAATGGAAAATAGGATTTATATGTGATGTGCTAGGAAAATAGGCATTGGAATTTTTTTTTAGGAGAAAAAACTATTATATTGTAAATTGTGTTGTGTGAAAACAAGTTTGAAAACAAAACAGACACTATGTTTAGTACAATTGTGTAATTTTAACTTTTACTTATAAATTTGTGTAAAATTGATTGTATAATTCATGCTTCAATTATATAATCCCTATGGGTGTGTTTGTTTGTGTTTTGTGGTTAGATATGATGGAATAATGTACACATATATATATATATTTATTTGGGAGTATGGACTGTAGAGTAGTGAAAAAAAAAAAATGTAAAAAGCTAAAAGAACAAAACCTATATTAATACTTCCTTACAGTAGGGATTCTGTGCTGTGCTGGTGACACAAAGTTATATAGAATACTATGGGATGCCTTATGCCTTGAAACACAAGTACTATATACATGCCTTTTATCCCTTATCTTTTATTTTTTATTATTATTTTTTTTTTTTTGCTTTGTACTGTATGATTATCGTTTATGTTTCTTCTTGTCACATGTGTTTATGGGAAGTGCAGCCCGATCTAGTGTTGTTCACAGGCAAGTGCTCTGTTTCCCCAGCCTTTTATGTTTTTGATTTTGTTGTATCTTACATTTTTATTTTCATCATATATGACTACTAATTTCGTTGATCTCCTTGATGTTATCTATCCTTTGAGATTTCTCCAGGTGATTTTGGCAATGAGAATGTTGATGTAGTTAGAAGTATTTCAAGACTTGATTTTCCTAAAGCTGCTACCATGATGCCTGGAATACCCAGAAGTTCTCTGTGCGGTAATTTTTAATTCTTATGATATTTCACTCATCAGAATAGCAAATTACTATTTGTAAGAGAACGGCTTGTCGTCTCGTATAAACTTGTGCCAAGGCATGGCTTCTTGTTCTGGAATAGTGTTTTATTTTCCTGCCTCTTAATATTATTTTTTTTGCCCTTAACAAGAAAAAATTACTTATTCTATTTAATGCATATGATTTCTTTCTGTTTGTGAGTTGGATGTTTAACATACAAAGGTTTCTAAGTTGGTAAGTAAGATTTATAAAGGGATAGAGAGAATTGAAATCTGCTGATGCTTTAGGGTGTGTTTGGATGTTTTGGATTTGAAAGTTTTTAGTGGATAATAGGTTTTAAATGTGATGTTTTGTATACAAAATGGATATTGGATGTGATATATTTTAAGAGGAAAAACACACCAAACATACCCTTAGTGCTTGAAACTTGCAATGGGGATCAACTTTGTAAACATTTGAAATGATGTTTTATGTGGGTTAGATAGATCTGATTTGTGAAAAGGTTTTTGGTTATATATTTGATTTGACTGCTTTTATATTTGGTATACAATATTATATGATGATTGAGGATATAGTGGGGTAAATAATGATTAATTTTAATGATTATCCATCTTTAATTGTGTGTATGAGCTTATGCATATGGTTATATATATGTTATGTTTACATGTGAACTGTTATTGGTGTTGGTTGAATAAACTTTCAAATTTGATTGTGTTTATATAGGGTAAAAAGTTGTTTTCATACTGTCACACCAAATGCTTTTTGGTTGCTCAATGGTTCACTTTTATGTATTATTTTCATATTATATTCTCTAACTATTGCGACAAATCTATGCAGGGAAAAGGATGCTGTTCAACTTCAGCTTGATCTGTAAGTCTCTTCTAATCGTGTTTTATTATATAGCTGAGGGGTTTGCGGTTTCCGTTACATTTTTTTCTTGTGTACTTTAAAACCTTCCTTATTTGAATATTTGGCATATTTTCGGAGTTTGACATGTGAGCTCTTAAGTTACATTATTTTGCTAAATTTAGTTTTAGTTGTTCTGGTCAAATGCAAAACCTTGTACCTCATCTAAATTTTGCATGAAACCACAACTTAGTGCTTTTCATGAAAAGATGCTAGACTGTGTTGATTCACCTTCGCAGTTAGGTTGTCACCAGTGATTTATACCATTGCATTTCTTTATGAAATCCGCCTAAGTTGAAAGAATGCTATTAATGTGCTTGTGTCAATTATGGTGCTGAAAATGGAGCAGTTCTATATTACTCTTCAGTTCAAATTAGCAAAAGCACTGTCTTCTTCCATAACATGGTTGAAATTATACCCAGCTGGTAAATTATACCCTACTATTTTAATTTGTTTAGTTAGGGTGTGTTTGTTTCGGTGTTTGGATTTTGAGTTGGGATTTGAATATTAAAAATTTTGAATTTGAATAGTTGTATGATAGCGATATAAATAGGTGTTGATATTATATTTTGAATGTAATATTAATTTTTAGTATAATATAAAAAAAGAAAATTATGTATTTGATTTTATATTTTTTTAGGGGAAAAAAATTGGTGAATAGTAGAAATTTGGGAAAATCCGCCAAAAGATTATACCCTAAAGGTATTCGAATTTTCAATATGTTGAATAGTGGATGCTCAAAATGTTTTTAGCTTTCTATTCTGACTCTCTGTTCTGCTAATCTCACAGAAAATCTGTTACACGATTATGGTTAGATAAGAGATGTGTTCTTTTGTGTTTCTAATAATTAGTTCCAATGCCCGATCAAGGTTGAATTGAACGGCTAATCATGTAATATTTTTTTAGGAACTGTGAACTTATCTTTTCTTTATGCTATTCTCACATTCCTTCATTAGCTAACATTGTTATTTGTTCTCGGTGAAACAACTTTGTGATGTTTCTGGAACCCTTCTTGTAAGGGTGTGTTTGTTTGAGGGATTGGATTTTGAGCTGAAATTTAATAGTAAAAATTTTGAATTATAATAGTTGTATGATGTGATATAAATAAGTGTTGATATGATGTTTTGAATGTAAAATTAATTTTTAGTATAATATAAAAAATAAAAAATAAGTGTGTGATTTGATTTTTTGGAGGGAAAAAATTGGATGAATAGTAGAATTTTGTATTAAACCTTTAAACGAGCACAACCTAACATGATCCCCTTTGGTATTAATTGAATGAGAAATGCATACTGTTTGCGAATGTTGGTTGAAATGAAATGCGAAACCATCCTTTCTGAATTTTTTACTATACTGATGGATCTACACAACCTTTTGTGAAAATCAGCCTTGGTAATGAGCATGTTGGTTATCAGAGGATGGACTTCCCAAATTTGAAATTGAGCATTGTAGGTGGAAGGCCCTTTTCTTGCGGTGGTCAGCAATTATTTCGCAAGAAACTTCTTATTGCCCGGTTAGTAGCCGTGAAATAACTAATTATCATTACCATCAACATGTTCATCAGTTGTCATCCTAATGCTTAAAAAGACACTAGGAAGTTGCCCTAAAAGTTTTCAACATAATATTCTGTCAGCTTGTTAGTCTGCAGAAGAGAAACGACTAATTTTCTGTCATAAAACTTCATTTAATATTTGTCTCAGTGAAATCTTTGATAAGTAAAATTAATTATAGCTTTCTCTTCTCAATATATCCTTGTCGATATTTTCTCCAGATATAATGTCTGTGACATGGATGGAAGCGCAAAGAGAATTTATGAAGCTGCCTCTGGAACTCCAGCAGATAATTCAGTTGTATTTCTTGCTCATAACGGCCCTACGGGTATACAAAGATACTTTCTATTCGGTACTTCAGGGTGCTTTAGGTGATCACAAGTGTAATCATGCAGGTCTGGGTTCGAACATGGATGATATATGTGGAAGGGATTGGGTGCTCGGAGGAGGCGACCATGGAGATCCCGGTATGTATATCAAACCTTCTGATGGTGTGTTTGTTTGAAGGTTTGGATTTTGGGTTGAGATTTAAATAGTAAAAAATTTGAATTATAATAGTTGTATGATGTGATATAAATAAGTATTTGATTTTTAGTATAATATAAAAAATAAAAAATAAGTTTCGATTTGATATTTTTGTAGGTAAAATTTTGTGTGAATAGTAGAAATCTTCCAAAATCCTTGAAACAAACACATCTTCAGTTATTTTTCGAGTCTTTAGATAACTGAACTTGCGACTTGCCTTATAGATTTAGCGCATGCAATATCTCAACTAAAAGAAACAACCAAGTTGTCGATGAAGCTGGTTGTGTTTGGTCATATGCATAAAGGGCTGGCTTACGGACAAAATCTTCGAAAAATGATAGTGGTTGGGGATGATAACACTATATACCTCAACGGGGCCATTGTACCGAGGACTAAAAGGATCGGAAAAGCACAAGCCAAAGATAAAACTTCAGCCACAACATCTGATCTTGAAGAAACCGTAAGGGCATTCACCGTTGTTGATATCTTCGATGGAGCTATAGAGAAAATTGCTGAAACATGGATTTCTGTCATTGGAGACAAAGTCAAAATCGAGGATGAGATTGCATTATTTAACAAGGCAAATTAGAGTTCTCCAGACAATGTACATATCACGAACTCTTAATTTAATCGCTTTTCGACGAGAAAAGGTAATGTATTTTGCTAATTCTTATACAAATTAGCTTATTAAGTTTTGGAAACTTAGCAACAGATTAGTGAAGAACATACTTATATACTGTTTGTCTGCATTCTTGGTAATTCTGTTTTGTGATGTTACCAAATTTGATTTATTTTTTACTTGATGTCTTCTTGTCTTATTGGTTTTGTTGTTTTGTTATGACAGAGAGAGAGAGGAGAGAGAGAGTGTGTGTGTGTGGTTGTGTGTCATCTGGGATCTACTCTGGATCAAACATGAGATGGTTTATAAGCTGAAAAAGACACAAGGTATGACTGATTCTGATATGATTTGATTTGAGTGAGCTGTGCTTTTTTGGAAAGAAATGAGTTAATAGTATTTATGAAATGAACTGTGCAACTGCAACTTATATAACAGTTTGAATTGACTCCTTTATTAATCCATAGGGTGGGGTGGGGTGGGGGTGGGGTTGGTCCACTTTAGTTATGATATGCATCAACTCCTAAGCATACTTTTGTTTTTGACACAACCTTATACTTTAAGCTATGTCTTTTTTCTTCTTTAAGCTATATCTGTGTTTTTTTTAAACTCTCAAAAGGAGATACCATCATCCAAACACATAATATATATAAGAGATATAATTTGGATCCGAATATTTGATTCAATAAATTTTATGTGTGTAGTTACATTATTTAATTATTATTGAATTAGAGAGATTAATTAATTAATATGGGACAAGATGGAATATATATAAATGATAAATTTTTCACTTTTGAAGCTAAATTGAATATAATATTTTGACATGATTTATAATTTTATCTAGATTCTATAATAATTCCCAATTTCTCTCTTACCTAATACCAAACTTATTTAGATTATTTCATTTATTATTACTATTACCTCCGTCCCATAACAAAGTATCTATTTTTTTTTTTTTATTTTAATCCGTCCCATAATAAAGTATCCATTTACTTTTTAGTAACTGTACTTTCTACGTAACATTAGAAATACCCTTACAACTTACAATATATTACACAAATGCCATTACATTTATATCACACATACTAATAAGGTTATTTTAGTCATTTTTACTTTATTCCTACTATATCTCAATATAATACTAATATTTCTAAAACTACGTGCAAAAAACAAATGAATACTTAGTTTCGGGACGAAGGGAGTATTTGAGAACTAATTCGATCACCACATTTTTACAAAAATATATATATCTCAAATACATATTTTTATAGCATCTTATATAATTACATATAGTATAATATATTTTAATATTAACATAATAAAAATAGTACTCTCTCCGTCCCCAACACCTTGCAACATATGAATTGGAGAATTTAGGTTGGTAGTATTAAGTAGAATAGTTTGAGATAATTTGGAGATTAGGTTACGTGATTGGAGAGAGAAATATATATATATATATTTTTATTTGAGTGATGTGATGAGATAAAAGTGAATTGTATATTTATATATATAAACACAATAATTATTTCTAAATTTGAAAATATTGTAGTAAATTTAGGACAAACAAAAAAGACAATATTGCAATGTGTTTGAGACGGATGGAATATATAAGATATCCAACATAACACAATATATTGTGCTTTTAAGTATAATAACCATATTATACATAATACTGCAATATATAAATTATACTGTACAATATATATTTTTATATAACACAAATTTATAGTATTATGTATTTTATGATAAAATGTTGATTGCTTCGGGTTCTTGTATTGCTGGATAAAAAATATATAATATTATTTTTTATAGAAAGTGTGTTTTTTTTATGAGCTTGGAAAAAAATTGATTTGAGTTGACATAAAAATAATATTTAATGGAATGTTTCGTGAGAGAAAACTATGTATGTAAAATTTAAGGAAATTGCGGTAAAAAAAAAAAAGACCATTTGTAATTTTTGATTTTTATAATCAAAATATTTAAAATTATAAGCAAAAGAGTTATTAAAAATAAAAAATAAAATTTATAAGTAAATAAAGAAAAGAGGGAGGGGGAATGTCTTTCTGACAGACAAGTGTGTGATTCTGTCTTGTTACTTTTCAATGGATTTATAGCAGCCTTTGACCGAATCTTAGCCGTCCATTTCGTACACTTATTAATGATTTATTGGTATTTGTATTACCTATATATGTATGTATATATATAAGAGATATGTGGTTTCACTTCATCAAATTTATTATTATTATTTTTATCTTTTTAATAAAATAAATATATATTAAATGCTATTAAATATATTATAATTAATATATTTTTAAAGATAAAATTGTTAATTTAATTTTATGATTAAAATAAATTATAATATAATTTTATATCTATTTATACCCGTAATTAAACGTCGTGAAGATTCAATAATTTTGGAATCTGATTTTTATTATTTTTATAATTAATAATAATTATATTGATTATCAATAAAATTAAAAATAAGTGATTATATTTTCTAATCTTAATCATATATCATATATATATATATATAAAAGTCGCAACTCTGCAGTCTCAGAATTTTGATATTTTTTTATACAGTTTTTCGGAATTACAGTTTATTACTACATTATTTTCACTTATTAGTATTATAATTAACTATTTTTATTTTATAAATTTCTCATAAATTTTTTTATGTTTAATTACTTTTTTTTATTAAATTATAATCTATAAATAAATAAATAAAATTTTAGTAATAAACATATGATATCCTATATCTATTGTTTTAAATAATTTTATTTAAATTTAAAATTTTAATTAATTTTAGATTAATTTTGTTTGTATATTCATGTTTTCAATCTTGTTTATTTAATTTACTTCTTTTTCTTTATTAAGTATTATAGTTAATTATTTTCTATTTTAAAAATATTGAGACATAAAAAAAAATATATATATATATTATTACAGAGTGTTTGAGATATGAAGATATTAGTAAGCTAATTAATACTCCTATTCACTTCATCTAACACCTAATATTTATTTATTATATTACACTAAAATTCATTTTACATTCAAAATATCGCATCAGTACATATTTATACAAAATCAAATAACTATTTCAATTCAAAATTTTACTATTCAAAATCAAAATTTTACAAGTAAATACACACGTGAATTGTGCCGATTTGATCCAATAAACATATGTAATAAAAATATTATGTACAATATATATTATGCACTATATAAAAATTATATGACGTTGAATTAATCTAATCAACACCAGATTTGCGTTTACTAATTATAATATAATATAAATAATTATAAATTAAAAATAAGATTAATTAGTTAATTTAATTAAAATTAAAAATAGTACTTCATCCGTCTCATTGAAAGGTTACTATTTTCTATTTTCGTCTATTCCAAAACAAGGTTATAATTTTTTAATTTAATAATTGTACTATCTACCTAACATAATAAATACCCTTTCAACTTACAATATATTACACAAATGTTATTATTTTTATATAATAGGGGTATTTTTTTTTTTACTATAATTTAATATAATACTAATATTAAAAAATCTACTTGCAAAAAATATCACCCTTCCACTGGGACAAAGATAGTATAAAATTTAAAATTTATTTGTATGTTTGTGTGTGAGATTGTTAGAAATGAATTTTTTTTATATGAGATATTAAAAATTGTATAGAAAATATAAAAATAATGAATATGTTTAGTATATTAATTTTTTTATGAAAAAATGTATGGAAAAAAATAATAAAAAAACATAATAGAAAAACATATTTAAAAAAATGAACGAGATATGAGATGTTGAACGGATCCAAACAAACATAGATAACTTGTGGTTTTTTATTTTAAACTTATTATGTTACTCTCTTTCGTTCCACCTACCATGTCCATATTGCCGTTTATGTCTGTCCCACATTTCATGTCATTTTTCTTTTTTGGAAAATAATTTTACACTTTAATCTCATTTAAAATTTTTTAAATTTATTTTTTAGTTTTAATTAAACTAATTAGTTATCTAAACCTTAATTTATAATTATTTATATTATAAGATAATTATTTTCACTAATACATTCTTAATTATCTATTAATTATACTTGTCATAAATTTTCGTGTCATAAATTTTCGTGTCTACAGTGACCCAGACATCCAATGTGAGACGGAAGGAATATTTCATTATATTTTATTTTTTTTCCAAAAATAAAATTTTACTATACCAGCTCAAATATTGCTTATGTTTCATTGCAACCAAAATTACTGAATTTTATTTAGGTATTATATTTACAAAAGTGGCCAAATTTTCCATAATTTTATATCAACTTTATTGAGTTTTTTTCCATAAAAGTTTCTACTATTAGTTTTTCTTTTTTTTAAAAAAAATAAAATAAAAATGATACATAATACTTCAATCATTTCCCAAGTTTGTAATCAAAACTTTTCAGTATGATTTTTAATGTATGAAGTTTTAATTGATATTTTTTGTTATTTTTTGTCATCTATAACAAGGAAAATATTAAAAATTAAATACTCTCTCCGTCCCAAAAGAGTTGTCTTATTTTTTCATTTTTGTCTGTCCCAAAATAATTGTCTTATTTCGTTATTTAGTAATCGTGGTCCCTACTTTATAACAAAATTATTTATACTTTTTCAAACTACCCCTGATTATTACTCTAACTTACTTTTTAAAATTATTTAAAAAGCAATGGTATTTTAATCTTTTATTTTCTGTTTTATACCCACTTTTAATTAAATATTATTATTCCTTAATTATCGTGTTCACTCCCAATAAGACATCTTTTCTGGGATGAAATGAGCAATTTTTACTAAATAAAGAAATATATATATATTTTTTTAAGAAACAAATAAAAATAGAAAGTAGGCATAATTTTAAGAGAAGGTGGAAAAAAAAATATTAGATAATGTATTTATATATATATATATATTTATATATTGATGCTCAAGCACCTCAAAAATTCAATTCAACAATAATATATAAATAATTATAAATGGACAATTTAATATTCATATTGTTTACGAGTCAATGTAGCCATCCCTATGAGTATCGATCGTTGTATTTGAGAATATTATATATAATTTTATAATATGTAATTTAAATATATATATAAAAAAATTAATTTAATTTATTCACGCAAATACCATGAAAAGCTTGTACCTCTTTGTAAATAAAAATAAGTTAGAAATTTCTGCTATTGATCTATTTGTTTTATTATTTAATTTAATAATAAATTTATTATATTTACAAGAACATTTATTTATAGTCAAATCCACAATGAATATATTTATTTTACTACTTTAAATTATACACAACTAATCCTTTTATTTTTTTAATTTAATAAACATGACCCACACTCCCATCAACATTCAACATAAACTTTAGTACCACCTAATTACACGTCACAATAGTTTCTAAAAATTATTAATTAGGGTGTGTTTGTTTGGGGATTGGATTGGATTTACACTATTTATCCAATTTTTTTTTAAAAAAATATCAAATCAAATACCTATTTTTTATTTTTTATATTATATTAAAAATCAATTTTATATTCAAAACATTACATCTAACACCTATTTATATCACATCATACAACTATTCAAATTCAAAATTTTTACTATTTAAATCCCAACTCAAAATCCAAACCCCCAAACAAACACACCCTAAATACTCAATATTACTATACTCTTTTATTTTTACATCTATTTCTACTCAAAGTATGTATTTATTATTATTATTTTTTTTTTAGCATGTTAAAAGATAATACTGTGTTCATCCGAATTAAAGATATTTGTTTTATCATTTTTGTCTGTTCAAATCAAAGGTATATATATATATTTTTTAGTATAAGTATCTTCCAATTAAATATTAAAATTCTCTTTACTTTATTGTTTTTAATTTTTAAAATTTCATTAATATCAATTATAAAATAGATTTTACACTACTCTATTGCACTATATATCTATAAATATTAATATACATAAATTTACATGTAAAAGTCAAATGAATTATTGGTTAGTGGAATTGTGTAAAATAGTAATAACATTTTTACCCTCGCTGGTTTGTGTATGCATGTGTTGGGTGAAATTCCCATCGGGGATGTGCGTGTGTGGGGTAAAAAAAAAAAAAATTCTTATTTGTCATTTTAGTTTGTCCAAAATAAAAATATTTTATTTTTATTCTTTTTAAAAAGTATTCCATCAATCCCTTAACAATCTATCTATTTTTCGATTTTGGTCTGTCCATAACAAAGTATCTATTTTCCTTTTTAGTAATTGTACTATCTACCTAATATTACAAATACCCTTCTAATTTATAATATATTACATAAACGTCATTACCTTTATATATCATACAATATTAATAAAGTTAGTTTAGTCTTTTTACCTTTATTTCTACTACATCTCAATATAATACTCATATTTCTGAAATTCTGTACAAAAAGCAAACGGATAAATAGTTACGGGACGGAGGGAGTAACTCTCAACTAAATACCAAAATAATACTTCATTCGTCCCAAACAAGGTGCAACATTTGTTTCGGCACGGATTTTTAGGTAGATAGTATTAAGTAAGATAATTTAGAAATTATGTGATGTGATGGAGAGAGAAATGTATATTTATTTTATTTTATTCAGATGATGTGATGGGATAAAGTGTGAAATAAAGATTAAGTATAATTAATTATTTCCTATTTTGAAAATATTGCATAGTATTTGAGACATATAAAAAAAGAAATATAAAACGGTGTTTGGGACGGAGGGAGTATACTTTTTACTTTTCACGTTAATTTTCAAATGTAAAATGAATATTATATTACTTTATTACACTACATAACTATAAAATACTAATTTACCTTAATCCACATGCAAAAGTCGAATAAAAAATTTACCGGTGAAGGAAATTTTTTTTTTTTTTTTAAATTAAAAGTATTTAAATATTTATGTATGAATGACTTTTACTATAATAAGAAACTAATAATATTGAGTGTGACAAAACAAAAATAATAAGATGAGTTGAGAGAGAAAAGTAATTTATTGATTATAGTTTGTAAAATATTTTGTAGTTACATATTATACTAATTAAGTCAAATATATACATTTTTACATATTTTTTTGTAAAATAATAATTACCACGGTTTATTGAAACTAAGAATCCAGCACTCTATCCAAGCTGCTTCTAATTCAGCACCGGAGGTGCTTACGTAACACCTACGTAGCTCATCAAAGGACATGTGTCCGCCAAGTCAGCAAAATCATGCATGATATACTAAGGGTGTGTTTGTTTGGGGGTTTGGATTTTGGATTGAGATTTGAATAGTAAAAATTTTGAATTTGAATAGTTGTATGATGTGATATAAATAGGGTTTGATGTGATGTTTTGAACGTAAAATTGATTTTTAGTATAATATAAAAAATGAAAAATAGGTGTTTGATGTGATGTTTTTTGGGGAAAAAATTGGATGAATAGTAGAAATCCTTCAAAATCCTTCAAACAAACACACCCTAACTGTAAAGGCTGTGCCAAGTCACTTTATATAAAAGCTAACAACCAAGCGTGACCTCACTTTATATGTCTGCCAGGTTTGCTGATCTGGCGGACACGTGGATATATATTTTTAATTTTAATTTACTTATTGTCTTTTTAAAAACAATTAAAAATTTGAAAAACAAAAATTGAAAATTAATTTCTTTTAAAAATTCTAAAATAATAAAAATCTATCTGGCGGACACGTGTCCTACGGCTGAGTTATATGGGTGCCACGTAGGCATCTCCGGTGACAGAGTACTAAAATTGTAAAGATTTTTCACTTATGAGACTAGTTTGCGACATACTTCAGTTACAAGATTAAAATGATATATTACAATATATCATTTAGTAAGTGTACTACCTACCTAACATTATAAATACCCTTTCAACTTACAATATATTACACAAATGACATTACTTTTATATAACACAATACTAATAAGGTTATTTTAGTCATTTTTATTTTATTCTTACTACATCCCAATATAATACTAATATTTCTAAAACTCCGTGCAAAAAGTAAACGGATACATAGTTATGAGACGGAAGGAGTGGTAATTTTGTTAAAATAGAAGGACAAAAAAAAAAATACTCCCTCCGTCCACGGATAAAGTATACATTTACTTTTGACGCAGAGTTTAAGAAATAATAGTATTTTAATTATAGTGAGTAGGTAAAAGTAGTGTAATGACATTTTTGCCCTTGCTTTTTGGTATAAAAGTAATGATGTGATGTAAAATAAAGGTATTTGTGGAAAAAAATGGAGTATTTAATGAAATGATTAATTTGTAATTGGACGTCCCAAAATAGAAATATGTATACTTTATAGCTGGACGAAGAAAGTACTTATTAACTTACTATTGTTTTTAGAAAAACAAGTATAAATTTAAGTAAAAATAATAATACTCCATTTGTTTCGTTTTAATTGACACATTTGTTTTTGTTTGACATAATTTAAGGTAGCGAAATTTAATGAATTAATTATAGTGATTTGTGACATTATTTTATTTAATTTTATTTATTTTTTTATGTGAATAATGACGTTGAATTTAGAAATTTAATTAAATAAATTCTATATGTAAAAATTTAAAAATTTAATTAAATTAATTTATATTTATTAAATATATTTGATATTGATAAAATCACTAAAAAACAAATATAAAATAAAGTAGAAGAGACAAATAAAAATATGCCAATTAAAATTAAAATGAGAGAGAAAGTCCTACATTTCTTTGAATATAAATATATATATTTATTTACTTAAAATACCAAATTAAATACTCCTCCTACTATAGTATTATTACATAATATTCAAATAAAAAAAATCCGTGGATGTGATGTGGCGTCCATGACCATAGAACATACTACATCGTCCTTCACACCATTCTTGACCGATTTATTTATTATTTTTTAATTAATTTCTACTAATAAATTATTTTAAAAATAAAAATAAAAAATAAAAAAAGAAGGCAATGAAAGAAACATGCAACACACAAAATCAGAGACTTCCTTTCGATTATTCCTCTGGAACTTCTTCGTCTTCATTTTCATCTTCTTCCTCCACCGCTTGGAACTTCATTCCATCCCTATCTGCGCACAAACCCACCATTTCCCTTCCCTTCCCCTCCCCTCACAATCAATTAACCTACAAAAAATTTAAATACCTAATTACTCTTCTGTGCACCACATCGATCGTACAACAACAATTCCGAATCCCCCAAAAACATACATACATACATACATACATACATACATATATTGATGTTGAAATCGATCGAGAGCTGTTGGCCTGGGTTGAATTGATTAGCTAGATAGATAGATGGGCAATGTGACGTCCAACGTTGCTTCGAAGTTCGCGTTCTTCCCGCCCGACCCGCGGACGTATGAGGTGCACAGAAACGAGGAGGAGGGGCGATGGGTGATGAGGGGATTGTCCGCCGATAAGAACGTCGACGTGCATTTGCTCGATACCAAACCAGGAAATAAAGTTGTCGCCACGTTCTGGAAGCATCCTGCTGGGAGATTCACCCTCTTGTATTCCCATGGCAACGCCGCCGATTTAGGGCAGATGCACGATCTCTTCGTCGAGCTCAGAGCTCACCTTCGCGTCAACATCATGAGGTAGCTAGCTAGCTATTATAATACCTAACCGATTTCATGATTCAGTTAACGATTTATTATTGGAGGATAAGAATCGAGATTATATGAATCGTCATCATCATTCATTGTTTTGTGCCCTAGCTTGAATTTCTACAGATTGATTGATTGATTGATAGCTGCAATTGAATTCCATTCTATAGAGATCTGTTTGAATTATTTCAACATTTGTTTTGCATCTCATCTTCTTCGAGCAAAAACATTCCAAACAAATTTGATTCTACTGGTTAGTTAGATCATAGATGTCTTTGATCATGTTCTGCTTGCTCTGTTTGAAGGTGTTTATGAATTTGGTTGAATTTTAGTTTGATCGAATTCGATTCGTGTTAGGTAATTAAAGGTATGTCAAGTCACAAGAGATTTGTGGTTTAACAAACTCCGATCATACTAACTTTGTGAAGAAACAATGGCCTAGTCATCATGTTAGTTAACAAACATTTATTCGATTCATCCGTCGACATTTCTTGGCAATGCAAATTTTCATTGATGTCATATTCAAACGTAGTTGTTTGAATTGACCGAGCTTTTTCATCGAACATTTAATGGTGAAAAGGAGACCTGCAAATGCGAATGACACCGAATTTTCTTTGCCTTTATTGCAGCTACGATTATTCTGGATACGGTGCATCCACGGGAAAGGTAAGAAATTTTCGATTATTCAAAGTATTTTTATAGGGAATCGTTAATGTATTATACTGTGAAATTCAGCACAATAACAATTGTCGTTCTTGAAATGTGTCGATATGATGAATTACTTAGTCTAACGAGCGAATTATTTTCCATCACAGCCTTCCGAGTTGAACACTTACTACGACATCGAAGCCGTGTATAATTGTTTGAACACCGAGTATGGAATCAAGCAAGAAGATGTGATTTTGTATGGACAATCCGTCGGGAGCGGTCCTACGCTACACTTGGCTTCTCGTCTTCCACGGTTGAGAGCAGTCGTTCTTCACAGCGCAATTTTATCGGGCATACGAGTACTTTATAATGTAAAAGTCACCTTCTGGTTCGACATTTTCAAAGTAAGGTTACCTTTTTCTTTCAAGCTTTTAACTTTTTCGATGCTTCGATTATTCAACCCCTTGTGATCAAAATTTGAGATGTGTTGTTTTATTTTTTTCAGAACATCGACAAAATCAAGCATGTCAGATGCCCTGTTTTGGTCATACATGTAAGAAAAATTCTCCCCTTGGACACTTTTTAGCTTCTTAATCTGTCGTTTTATCGAATTTCATGCTCGATGGGTCGCGTGACCCCATTTTTAGACTCCCCTTCGACTTAAAACTTACGATAAGAGCGATGTGATCGACAAATAGTTACATCTTCTTCGATTTTTCGTGTCATTTCCTTTCTGCAGGGTACTAAAGATGAAATCGTCGACTTGTCCCATGGAAAGCGACTATGGGAGCTTTCGAAAGAGAAATACGATCCATTGTGGATTCAAGGAGGCGGGCATTGTAATCTCGAGACGTTTCCAGAATACATCAAGCACTTGAGGAAATTCGTGAACGCAATGGAGAAGATATCGATCAAAAGAAGCAAATCTAGCGCAGGATCGGATTCGAGTGCCACAGAAATCAAACACAGCAAGTGCTTGGGATTCGGGAGAAGATAACTAACTAAGTATCGATGTGTTGTTGTGTTGAATATCCAATGTTCGATCTTTGGGAGGACTCTGATGCTTAATTTGTTCTCTGACGGCTGGCTGCCGGGCAAAGGTGTGATCTTTTTATGTTTCGGTGTCGTTCGAGGTAAACTCAAATTTGTCGCGCTGTTGGCGCTGGATGTGAAGCTTATTTAGCCGCGCAAGTTGGTCGCCGTCTTCGTCGTCGTCGTCGAAATATAATGTAATTGTTGTGTTTCAACATTGTAATTTATGCATGCTATTTCTTTTATTGTACATATAACCATCAATATTGTTGATTTTACCTTATGTTTGCTTGAATTTGATTTCAATTTTTTTTACAACTCTTACTAGAATATAACCGGATTTTTTGTCAATTGAATCTGATCAGTTTATATAATAAAAATAAACAATGGTGTGTTGTTCGGAGGATTCTTTTCAAATTCCACTGGTCATTATTTTATTTTTTTTTAAAAAAAAACATCAAATTAAGCATATATATATATATATATATATATATTTTTATACTCTCTCCGTCCACCGTCGATCTATCCATTTTTCTATTTTAGTCTGTATGACAAATATATTCATTTTTTAAGTAAATGTACCTTCCATTAAAATATAAAATTATCTCACTCTTTATATAATATATTACACAAATATCATCAAATAACACCGGTTAATACCATAAATATTAAGGGGTATAATAGTCTTTATGTATATCAATTGTACCATATATCAATATAATACTAACACACTAAAATCTACGTGCAAAAAGTAAATGGATAGATAAGTGGTGGACGGAGGGGGTATTATATTAAAAATTAATTTTACATTCAAAACATCGAACATTTATTTATATAGCATCATACATTTATTCAAATTCAAAATTTTTACTATTCAAATCTCAACTCAAAATCAAAACCTCCAATCAAACACACCCATTTACATTATATATAGCATATAATATTTGCTCAAATCAACGTTATACTAATTTAAATGAGTTTAAGAAAAATAATATTGGTTTCTCTTTTAAACCATAATATCCAATGTAGTGTTGAATAGAAACCTCCAAATCAAACCAAAAATTAAGCCGTAAGCAAACCAACACTTTAATCTCTTGTTTTATGTAGTTGTATTTTTTTGTCCAAAAGACTTGAAAATAAAAATAAACAAACTCTTAAATTAATATATATATATTTGACCAAATCAACACATTTTTATAGAGAATATAACAATATGTGACAACATATCTTAATAAAATATATAACAAATAATTTGATAATATATTATAACATTTTATATGGTTAAATATACAGCGATTTCAGTGTCATAAGCATATTATACAATCTCACACAATATATAACTCATACAACACATGTTAATATAATATATAATATATATTTTAATAATATATTATATAATTATGTGTAGCACAATATATCGTGATTTCAGTACAACAAACAAATTATAATACAACATAACATAATACATAACTCATACAACATATGCTTCTATATAATATAACATATGTTGTTTGAGTACTTGTCATGAAATGTTAGTTATTTCACGTTAATGTGTTAATTTGATCAAATTTATATGAATCGCAATCGTAATAACAAACATAAAATTGATATGTTCAAGATTATATAATCATATCATTTTGTTTTCTGAAATATTTTGTTGTGTTTTTGTGTATTTGGAATAATAATAATAATAATAATAATAATAAAATTCTACTATTTATTTGATGTAATATAAATAAATATATTATGAGATGTTCTGAAAAAATAAAATATAATTTGTTGGGGTGCAAACCCGAGTTCCACATTGGAAGTGGTGAAGAAAATTACACATCTTATAAGTCCCAAGTAAACTCCACTAGTATGAGATTTTTTGGAGGATATCCAAAAACAAATTCGTGCGAGCTCAACCCAAAGCGAATAGTGAAACAGATACAAGAAAATAATACTAACTCTGTCCCATATTTAATTATTAATTAATTAAAACAAAGAAATTCATGCATTAGGTTAGGACTAGGTTGTACACATTAAGCTTATTGGTATGATCGTATGGGACAAACACAAATTACACACACCATTTTGTGACATTTGGCAGCTCTACAAATTTCTTACCATAATTAAATCATTGTAATGTTTTCTATTGTCGTTGAATATTTCTACATAACATATACATAAGTAGGGTTTGTTCTATTGTGATTTTAAATTAAAATTAGAATTAAAGTGATTTATTATGTACAGTTTTTTTAATAAAAATATATTATTTATTTTTATGAAATATAACGTTAAAATACTATTTTAAAAATATTTAAATCAATATTTAATTTCAAGTCAATTTTAAAATCATAATCAAATAAATTCTCGTGGAGAACCCCAGCATGTCAAAATTTACACCCATTAAATTTATTATTACCTCTGTTCCAAAAGAAGAATTTCGTTGGACTTTTGTGTGTAAATTTTTAAATATTAATAATTCTATCAACATATAATACAAATTAAAAAAAAAAATACTTATATTAGTGTCTTATACTATAAATACGATGATATTTGTGGAGTAAGTTATATAAATGTAAATATATTTTTAATGTTAAATATAATAACACAAAAAATAAACGAGGTTCTTCTTATGAGACTGAAGTAGTATTATTTTTTTTTTCTCTCGTTTATTAAATTTACTTTATTATTATATTTGAAAAAGTAAAAAATCAATTATTACTCTTCATTTAATATTTATTTACAACAAATGTCATTAATTTTTATTATATCATGTCTATATTCTCTTTAATTACTAACTGGATTTCAAAAAATACAACTAGTTACTTATTTATTTTTATTATTATTTTCAATAAAGTACTTATTATCTAAATATGATAAGGGTGTGTTTGACAATTACTGTTAGCTGATCCGATTAGCTGGTTTGACTAGTTTATTCGATTAGCAATTTGTATTAAAGCGTTTGGTAAAATAGGAGTTTGATATTAGTTGTTTATACGTAAAATGACAATTATTGATATTTTGTATTTTATTTTTTAAATATTTAGTTGTGTTATTCGTTACACAGGATCTTTTAGAATTTTTATTATTACTTATTGAAAATTATAAAAATTTTATTAAAATTACTTTTTTGTTATTTTTTAAATATTTTGTAGAAAAAATGTATATATATTTTTTATTAAGTTATTTTTACATTTTTTTTATTTATAATTTTAAATAAATTTATTCTAATACATTTATCACTAATAAAAAAAAATTTATGTGACAAACAATAGATAATATATAAAAATAAATTAACAATAATTTCAATTATATCCAATTTATAAAAGTAAATCTAAAAGTTAACTAAAAATATATATTAACATAATTAATAAATACTACTATGGTAAATATATTATTATGTATAAAATAAATGATGATATTTACATCGTTTCAAAAATTAGCTTTTTGGGGTCAATAAATTATTTTAAAAATTAATTTAGCAAACACTGAAATTAATTTTTTTAATTGGTTAAACAACTTAAAAGCTCTAAAAAAAAGTATTTTCCAAACACCCCTAAATATAGCAAACTTAGTCTTATTACGTTGGACACGACATTTAAGAAATATTGATATTATATTGGTAGTTGGTAAAATCTAAAAGTAAATGACTTTTTTGTCCTTGTGAATATATTAGTGTAAAAAGTAGTGGTAATTGTGTAATAATAATAAAAAAGTAGGGATAATTTTATTGTAATATGATTATTTATGGAAATGAGACTATTGTTTTGGGATGGACAAAAATGGTAAACAAAACTATTGTATTGGGACGAAGACAGTATATTTTATATCAGAAATATTTTTTAATAGTATTACATCTAATGTTGATATTAACTTACTACTTTGGATGTAATACGATTAAAAGAATTAGTTGCAGTGATGTTTAACGTTTAGTTGTAATATGATTAAAAAACTATTTACTTTTAAAGTTTAGATTTAATTTAAAATTTTGAATTGAAATAAAAATTTTTAACATAATTTATTAAATAGAAATAAATATTTAATTTAATTATTTTTAATGAAGAAAATGATGCATAGTATGAAATGTAATATAAACATATGTATATGTTTGTTTTAATATTGTAAATAAAAAGTTTCATATAATATTTGATAAAAAAAATATCTTTAAATATGATATTAAAAATAATTATTCCTTTTGGAGATATTTATGCTAGTTTTTATTTTTTGATTGCCCATTAAATACATAGTCTATATAATTTTAGTCATATTACTACTATTTTAATATTCTCTCTGCCCAGTTAAAGTGTCTACGTTACTATAGACACGAGAATTTATGTAAAATATAATTAAGATAAATAATATTTTAATTAAGATTAAAAAATTATAAATTATAAAATTTAAAAATTGATTAAAGTGTATATTTATATTTAAAAAAATTATGTAAAACAAACATAAATAGAAAAAATAGATATTTTATACGGGAAGGAGAAAGTAATTTTTTTACACAATATATAACTCTATTTTTTTTTATCAACCTTGTTTATAAACTATTATTCCATCCGTCTTGTAAAAAAGTAGGTTTATTTTACTCCATCCGTCCCACATAATTTGTTCATATTTTTTATTTTTGTCCGTTCCACATAATTTATTATTTCTTTCTTTGAAAAACTGATTATACACATTAATCATATTTTAAAATTTTTTAAATTTTAATTAAACTATTTAATTATCTAATCTTAATATATAATTATTTTTAGTATATAATAATTATTTTTACTAATATATTTTTTAATTACTTATTAATTATATTTTACCTAAATTCTCGTATCTACAGGCTCCATATTATCTAAGTAAGGAGATAATACTATTTTAGTATATCTATGAAAATAGTGTCATATTAAATTTAGTAAAAAACAATAATTTTTAAAACTGTTTTACCTACTGTTGTTTTTTTTTTTTTAATCTATTTATACAATTGTCATTAGTCAACCTCTCTAAAAATTTACATTACCAAACTTATAAAAATCCCAATTATATCTTTATAAAAAGTATAAAAGTTATATTAGTATACTATTATATATATATATATATTTTTCATGCCAAAATTCTTTTAGCATTGTTTATATGAGGAGAGAGTATTTCTTAACCTTTCATAAAGAGATATAAAAAAATTCACATTAAAGAAGCAATTTTATAATTCTATGTAGTAATTTTATTACTATCTCCATCCACCGTCAATCAATTCATTTGTATTTGACGTTATTATTTTTAATATAAAAAAAATATTATTATATTTGTATACTCCATCCGTCCTATTGAAAGATTACTATTTTTCATTTTCGTCCGTCCCAAAACAACGTTATCATTTACTAATTTAGTAATTGTAGTACCTACCTAATATGATAAATACCTTTTCAACTTACACTATATTAAACAAATGTCATTATTTTTATATTACGCAATACTAATAGCGGTATTTTCATCTTTTTACTACAACCTATTATAATATTAATATTAAAAAATTTACGTACAAAAAGTAACGACAACCTTTCACTGGGATTGAGGGAGTATTTTTTTTGTACAAATATAATACATTAGGGTTGTGTTTGGTATAGAGAAATGAAGACAAAAAAATGAAAATTGTCTCATTTCTCTTGTTCATTCGAGTAAGATAAATGAAACTTCAAATAAATTATTTTTATTTGTCTGTTTTTATTTCTCTCCTATATGCATAGAAATAAAAAGAAATGATGTTGCAGTATATTTTATTATTATTATTTTTTTAATACTATTTAATTTTTTTAAAATTATATTATTTCAATTTTACAAAAATCAAATTTAATTTATTGTTAAAGTATTTAATTTTTACGATTTTTTAAAAAATTTTACTAAAATATAATATTAAAAAACATCGTATATAATTTATAATTTTTTTAAAAAAAATCACCAAAAATATTTTTCATAAATTTTCATTCATTAAAACTATTTTTTTTTATCCCGTTAATTATTTATTATTGTTTGATCAATTCGTGTAATTGCATTTTTTTTTTCAATATTTCTCAACTGAATTTTCAGTTTTACCAAACAAAATAATTAATTTTCATTCTCTACTCAATTTCATTTATTTTAACTTTCATTCTTTGCTCTTGTTTATCGCAATTTCATTATCTGTACCAAACGCTCATAGTATTATAAAATATTAATAAAAATATTTTCGTCATTTTTCAGTACTATTTTTTCTAAAATAATTAATGAAATATTAAAAAATTATCATGCAAAAAAGTAAATAAGTAAATTGACGAAAATAATGTTATTATTATTGTTTTCACTTCGAGATAATTATACTAGTTTTTTTAACTATCTGACTAAACTTATGTTAGTAAAAAAACTTTATCCAAATTTTATTATAATTACTTTAACTTAATAATTACCTATTTATCATTATTTTTTAACTTACTTTACTATTTTATTAATTCCTTAAAAAGTTTATCATGATATCCACTTTATATTTTATTTATTTAATTTTCATATTAATTTATCATTTATACAATCATGCAAATATTCTATATACATTAGGGGTACTAATGATTCCATTATTTACCAACAAATATTTGAAACTATAAACTATATTCGCACTGAAAATTTCAGTTAATAAAAAATATTTGAAAAATTTGCAATAATTCGAATCAAACTAAATTTAAAAGTAAAAATACATTAAAATAAATAAAAATATTTGTAATATTTCAAATTGAATTTACCGAATCAAGCCGAATTAATTTAAATAAAATATAATTGTTACTATAAAATTTTAAAATATAATAATATAAATACATTCAATTCCATTCCATTAACAAAAGAAAAAAAAACTAAAAATTAAAATTAAATTTGATCAAACAAATATCAAATATATAGTATTTATATTATAAGTATTTTGTTCGATTAACAAAGAATTCGATTAAGTTTGAACTATTTTGCCCACCCTTAAATTATATTCCATTCGTCCCACTTTTTATTTTTGTTCGTTCAATTTATTTTGTCCCTTTTTTTTAAAAAAAAAAATTTATTTAATTTATATTTTTTAAAATTTTAATTATACTAATAAATTATTTTAATATTAATATATAATTATTTTTATTATAAAATAATTATTTTTATTAATATATTTTTAATTATTTATTAATTATATTCTTCTTAAATTTGAATGTCTACACGAAAGCGGACAAAATATCATTATATATAGACGTATAGCATAGCGAAGCTCCTTCCCCACCTAAAAAATGGCGGCCTTCTTCAAATTTCTCTCCGCAGCACTCTTCACCAGTCTGACGATCTCTGCAACTAATTCCGCCATGGCTGCAGCAGCATCAAGCTCTGGTACGTCTCCACCAATCAAAGGCGCCTATTACCCTTCCTGGCTACAATCCTCCTTCCCAATTTCTTCCATCAGACCTCGCCTCTTCACCCACCTCTACTACGCTTTCCTCTCGCCGGAAACCGCCACATTCCGCTTCCAAATCGACCCCCAAACCGCCGCCTCCCTCCTCAACTTCACCTCCTCCGTCCACTCCATCTCCCCTCCCGTAAAAGCCCTCTTCGCCGTCGGCGGCGCCGGCGCCGGCGCCACCGCCCTCCTCTCCGCCATGGCCGCCGACTCCTCTTCCCGCGCAAACTTCATCCTCTCCGCCATAGAACTTTCCAGAAAGTTCCAATTCGACGGAATCGATTTAGATTGGGAATACCCTCAGAACCCCGCCGAAATGACCAATTTAGCCTCCCTACTCCGGGAGTGGCGCGTGGCGATTGCCGCGGAGGCCGCCGCCACTTCCCGGCCGCCGCTCCTCCTCACCGCAGCCGTCTACTTCTCCTCCCAACTCTCCCTCTCCGGCCCCCTCCGCGCCTACCCGGCCCCCGCCATCGCCGGCAATTTGGATTGGATCAACGTCATGAATTACGACTACCACGGAGGGTGGGACCCGACGGCGACGGGCGCCCACGCGGCGCTGTTTGATCCGACTTCGGGAAATCTCAGCACGAGCTCCGGCCTCCGGTCGTGGATCGAGGCCGGAGTTCCGGCGAGCAAGGTGTGCATGGGGATGCCCTTGTATGGGAGGACGTGGCAGCTCAAGGACCCTCGATTGTCCGGGATCGGGGCCCCTGCCGTCGATGTGGGCCCCGGGGAGAATCGGTCCGGCGTGCTTACTTACGCCGAGATAGTAAAGTTCAATCGGGAGCACAAGGCCAAAGAAATTTACGATCCGAAAACCGTGTCGGTTTATTCTGTTGCGGGAAATTCGTGGATCGGGTACGACGATGCTATGTCAGTTTCTGTTAAAGTTTGGTATGCTCGGGGGCTTAAACTTCGAGGATACTTTTTTTGGGACGTGACTGGAGATTATAAATGGAAAATTTCGAAGACGGGTATTTTTAATTTTTTTTAAAATTTTTTTGACTAGATATATAATTATATTTGGTTGGTTTTAATTTTAATTTATTTTGGTTCTAATCATTTGATGGTTTTATTTTTATTTTGGCAGCTTCGAAGATTTTGTCTACGTGAGGACATACATATTGGAGCATTAGTCGTCGCATTGTCCCTTTTTTATTGATATATATGCTTTTTTTATTTAGTGAAATGTTCATTGAATAAACTTTCGATTAAAAGTATAATAGTACTACGCAAATTACATTACATTACATTAGGCGAGTAAGTCGATGTTTTTCAATAAAAATAATTACTTCTTTTGTCTCATACGCGTTTTTCATAAGGGTGTGTTTGTTTAGGGTTTTGAATTTTGAGTTAGAATTTGAATAGTAAAAATTTTGAATTAAAATAGTTATATGATATTGTTGGATCCTAAAATTCGGAGGTCCCAAAGTGATTCGTCGATTCTTCGTTGTGGGTTCCGAAAGTACTCCAAAGAGTCTGTCCGTCGTCGGATTGGAGGCGGCTCATGCGATGGAGCCTGCACAACTTCGATCTTAAACGAGGCTTCGTGCCTAAACGATCAATTTCGATGGATTTAAACTAACATCTACTAAAATTTGGATAAATCTACTGGAAAGCGGATAAAAAAAACATGTAATTCGAATTAAAATGCATAAAATGAAACTAAAACATGAAAAGAAAATAGAGAAAAATACGATTTCATCTTCTTGTTCGTATGTGTGATGTGTTTTTTCCTAGCTTTAATTCTAAGATAGAACAACCGCCTCTTCCCACTAAAAGGGGCAATTCTAATTGTTCCTCCACCACTCTCAACCATCTGGTAACCTCCCACTACTACCTCCAACTGCCTGGTAACCTCCTTCCATCAGTTCCTTGGTAACCTCCTTCCATCAGTTCGTTGTAACATCCTTCCATCAGCTCCTAAGAGTCTGGTAACCTTCTTTCAGCAGTTTCCAACCGCTTTCATTGCCTCTGGACCAGGTTTCACTTGCTCTGAACTTATTCCATTGCCTTTGGACCAGATCTACCGCTTACTCCAACTTGTTTCCATCGTACTCCTAGCCGGTCCACGGGGATGTGTCCCCAATAGCATTGAGTTAAATGGAATCTTCGGTTTTCCTCTTGTTGGGTTGTTTCATGGAGCTTTTTGAATAAAGTATGAAAGTGCATAAGCTCTCCACTAATGTTCAGTAAAAAATTATTAACTCAGGGCCAACGAAGGTAGTTATCCCATGATCTGTGAAAGCTGTTGTTTTCTATCTTGTGGAGGCAACCTTCCTCTGCTTTGTGGAAGCACCGCAGTCCAATGGAGGTAGTTGTTTTCAACCCAATGGAGGCAGCAATTTTCGAACTTATGAAAACATTGTTCCGGGATGGAGGTGCCATAGTCCAAGGAGTTGCTGTCCTAAGGTCCATGAAGGCTCCTACTTTCGGCCCTTTGGAGGCACCACAATTCACTGGAAGTTGTTGCCTTCGGCTCTATAGAGGTAGCAGTCTTTGGCTCCGAGGCTTGAAGCTCCATTGCTGTTAAACAACTTCATGGCCAATGAGCTCTGCCTCCACTTTTGTCTTTAAGTCTCCTTCTCGTTCAGGTACTTTTGGACCCATATCCAACAATGCCCTTTTCAAAAGGGTTGGACGATTGCTTCGATTGAGCCCATATCCTTTTGCTTTGAGCCGTTCACTTGAACGTGATGTTAGATAAAAGATTTTTGATGTAATATTTTAAATGAAACTAGATATACCCTATCTCCACTTTAGCTATTAGTGCTCGTGTGATATAACACAAGCTGGTGTAAACCCCACCCTTCACACCCACCCCGGTGTTATAAGAAACATATTACTCAGTTTTACTTTCACAATCTAAAGTGTATGCCAACTTATTGCTTCCTCATATATCCTTCCAACAACATATGTTTTTATGATTGTAGATTTGGTGTCAAAAGTTTTTTTGTTTAGTCAATATTGGAAACGTACCTGGAATTGAATCGTGTCAGATTTATGATTTGTAGGGAGGTGTAGCTTACATTATTAATTTTCTCTTCATCATGCTTGAGATATTTCATATTTTTTCGGTTGTTCCAAAATTCTGACTCCCTACCGGCTATTTCTATCTGATTGAATATTTAAACATATGATAGTTGAAAAGAAACTTCTCGAGGAGGTTAGCAATAATGATACAATAATGACAGTTTTGGTATTTTAGAAATAGATGAAGGTTGAATTGTAATAGTGTTAATACTATAGTATTAGGTGTTTCTTAATGTAATATTTGAAGTTAAGAATAGGTGTTTGATGTTTTTGAAAGGGAAAAACTTCCATGAATATTTTGAAAACACTGTTGAAAATGAAATAAAACAAAATCTTGGTATCTTCAAATTTTACAAATTTATTTGGATTTTTCTGGTGAAAATCAAGCAGGCTAAAACAGGACCTTTGTACCCTCTTTTCAACTTCTGTGTCTTTGAAGATTTTTTTGTTGAAAGTGTGCAGTAATGGTGTTTGAACTGAATGATTTAATGATGAAAGAAAGAGAATACATCCTGCTGAATAATTGTACAAAGACCCATTACTGAATGCTAACTTTTACAATGAAGTGGAATCTATTTAAGTGGCACATGTTTAGAAGATGTTAGGATACACTTTTTTTAAACTTCTAATTCTGGTTGCACACTGCCATGGAATTGCAGTTTTTTATAGCTTTTTGTTTCTTGCCTATGTTCAACTAGATTCACCTGGAAGATCAACCTGGTGATATACTTGTGTTCTTAACTGGCCAAGAAGAAATAGAATCTATCCAGAGATTAGTCCAAGAGCGTTTCCCAAAGTTACCTGAGAGTAAACGGAATCTTTTAGTTGTTCCTATATTTGCATTTCTCCCATCAGAGAAACAGATGAAAATTTTCATGCCAGCTCCAACTGGATTTCGTAAGGTTGATCACTATCTTCTAATTTCAACTTTCATGTTATATCTATATGTAACTTCTTTATTCAGACGTGGGGGGCCATTTGTCTATGTTGACAATTACATGTGGATTTTCAAAATGTTCGAAAAAAGCTAATGCTCATAGTTCTTCTGATAAGAAAACTTTCAACAATGGATCAATACATTGCTGAATAATTTGCTGGTATTAATTTTATGATATTATCGTGGTTTGTAATATTTATGTTTAGATAAGCATAAGGGGGAAATCTTTTTGGCAAGTCCAATATTATGTTTACTTAATTATTATGCTGGAGCTCTCTGGTACACTGTTAGCGAGCCTTCCTAGCAGTGACGGCGGTCGGTGATGCGTGAGTGACGAGGCAGAAGGGAAAGAAGTAGGGGTGAGCATTTGGATTTTCAGGTCGGATTTTGCCAAATCCGAACTGATTCGAAAATTTGAAATTTTTTAAAAAATTAATCTAAACCGAACCGAAATAACCGAAATCCGAAAATCCGTAATCCGAACCAAACCGAAAAATCCGAAATTCTAAATATTTTTATTATTATTTTTTAAAATTTTAAATTCTTTTATATTTTATTATTATTTTATAATATTAAATATATATAATATATAAAAATGAAATATATTAAAATATAATTAATAAATTTGAGTTTTTTATATTAAAATATAATATTTTTTAATAAAATATTAAATATATATAATAAAAAAATATATTAAAATATTATATTTCGGATTTCGGATTAGTTCGAATTTTAAGTATACCGATCCGATCCGATCCGAAAATTCAAAAAATCCGAACCAAATTTTAAATTTCGGTTTGATTCGGATTGAATTTTCGAATTTCGGATATTTTCCTCATCCCTAAAAAAAAGAATGGGGAAGGAAGAAGATGGATGGGCGGCTGCAGTAGATTTTTGTGTTAACGTTGATTTTTTTAAAAACAACAGATGTTCTTGGAAAGTTTTGGTGTATTTTTTTTACTTTAAAAATAAATAAAAAATAAAATCTCAACATATATTTTTTTTTAAAAAAATAAAAAATAATATCTTATACATATTTATTATTTTTATATTTTTTATAAAAATTTACTATAATTTATATAAAAAATGTTTTTTAAAGTCATTTTACAAAATATATACACAATTTATAAATAATAAAAAAATACTAATATATATTTGATACTATTTTAAATTTGTAACAGAAGAATATATATTTAAAAAATTGAAATGATGTCAAATTTTTAAAATTATAGTCGATACTAAAGAGTTTTGTGAACTATAAAGAAAATATTTTAAATTATCCCTAATTTTTGTATTTTTAATAACATGGGGCATGTCATGTGGTATAACGTGATAGATAAAATCTGAAGAATATAAAATATAATATACATATATATATATATATATATCCTTTCCAAAATAAATAAATCAAATTAATTTTATTAATAATACTTATAAATTTTATATAAATAAATATATAATACTCCCTATAATTAAAAATTATGATTATACTTATGTTAAAAGAAAAAAAAAATGCAAATACTATTCGTCCAAGAAAATGACTAAATCCAATAGAAAAACTTCACAAAATCAGAGACGAAAATGCAAATACAATATTCATCCAAGAAAATGACTAAATCCAATGACAAAGATTCACAAAATCAGACATGAAAATGCAAACACAATATTCATCCAAGAAAATGACTACATCAAATAAAAAAATTTACAAAATCAGAGATGAAAATACAAACACAATATTCATCCAAGAAAATGAATAAATCCAATAGATAAATTCACAAAATCAAAGATGAAAATTGCCTACTCTGTATCTGTATGTATGCAGTTCCAATTCCAAATTCAATTTCAATTTCAATCCTCTTCGTCACTGAAATATCCTTTCCTCTTCTCCTTCTTCCCCTTCTTAACCTCTCCCCTATCACTGCAACTGCCCAACAATCTCGCCTCCGCCGCCCCGCCACCATCAAAATTGTACTAACATATACATTGAACAATATCAAAACAAGCTTACCTTCAAATAGCTATTGCATTCCATCGTCTTTTTCCGAATAATTATTTTTCGACCATAAAAGAATAATTCGCCCCAAAAAAGTAGCAACGCGTACCTTCAAAATCTTTGGTAAGTTTCCCGGACTTATCCTCCTCTTCAGCCCAGAGAGACGAAGTATTTTGTAATAAGAGTTGTTGCCAAATATGCTGCACAACAAAGTATTTCTACATATAGTTTCGAATTTTAGTGATCAAGGTTAATGGGAGGTTGAGAAGACATACCCGGCGACGGAACCTATTAATTCTCACTCCTGCAGGCTATAAAATTGAGGCGCCAGCTCGGCTAACCACAAGTAATCTATGACTGAAACATTTCGGATATAATTTTGATTTGTCTTCACTAATTCATTGAAAATGATGCACTCCGGTTTCATCCGAAACAGGACAGATGAAGGATGTATCTTAACCGTCAGACCACTTGACAAAGCCCTGTCGCCAAGGAGAATGAACATAGCTTACTAAAAGTATTGCTGTTAAAAAGAGTCGCGAAAAATGAATTTGTTTGGGGAATTTTCATTATTCAACTCATTTTTATTTTTCCCTCAACATAAAATCAAACACTTATTTTTTTGTATTATGTTCATTCAGTCCAGAATACTTATGTCAGTTTTTCTTTTTTGACTATCCACTAAACTTATGCATAGTGTATTTATAGTAAATAAATTTATCTTTGAATAATATTTTTACACTTATAATAACCAATTTGACATTACTTTTTTCAGGGCGCGGATCATATTTGACCCAATCAAATCAGGATAATCAGGTCAACATATCACATAAAGGTAATCAGCATATAGTTTTGCATAACACAATAACAAAACATATTACATAAAGATAATCAGCATATAGTTTTGCATAACACAACAAATGTTATGTTATAGGATATCGTATGTTGAATTATAACATAACATATGTTATATCATAAATATGTTGTTATAATATATAATATATATGCTAGATTACCTTTATGTGATATATTAACCAGATCAAATCAACATTATACTGATTTGATTAGGTTAGCACTGGATTCGCAGCCCTTTTTTCAACTTATCCTATTACATTTTTTTTTTTTATCAACTTTTTAATAAATTTTTCATGCAAAATTGCATAACAAGCTTGGACGCAGTGAGCAGTAAAAATCAATTTAACATTCAAAATATCACATCAACATATATTTATATCACATTAAACAACTATTTAAATTCAAATTTTACTATATCAAATCCAAACAAACACACTATATTACCTGTAAGTTCCATCCGGCTGTTTCAATGCCGCGTTGAGAAAATATGAAGCAGCTAAGCATCTACGGAGTGGAAACATGTCGTCTCCACAAGAAGTTCCAGCCAAACCCATTTGCTCGGCATTCCTTTGTATTTGGCTATATATAGAAGACAAATATAATCAATAAAAACGGTTGTAAGGAACTATTCTAAACGGTAATTAATAAAACTATCTTTAAGACCTGTGTATATCCTGTGCGTGCTTTAGGGAACGGTAATTAATAAAATTGTCTTTGCACCATTTCTTGAGATTCTTTGCAGCTTTCTCTTCGCTGCTGCTAACGAGCTTAGCCTTCTCGGAGAATTCATCAAAGGCACGGTACACATTTAGTAAGGTTAGATGATCTCCATCTTGGCTCGAGAAACTTCTCAATGCAATCCGTGACTGCATAAATAATGGGATTTTAGTATTGGTTCACATGATCACATCTGGCAATGCAAGATTGAATCATTCAAGCCGACATTCATTTTTATGTTGATGGTTCTTCATAAGGCATACATGAATGAATATATTTATCGACTGCTAGTAACCTATTCCTGTTTCCTAAATACTAAAATATATGAAAAAGCAAAACCCCATACAAAAAAAGACAGAAATATAAATCAAAAGGTCAGATTTACTTCTCATAAGAGATTCCTAAGTGCATTCACTATGGTACATCATTCTTTGCACCCGTTACGGGTGTGTTTGTTTGGGGGATTGGATTTCCAATCCACTATTCATTCCGTTTTTTTCCCCAAAAATATCAAATCAAACACCTATTATTTATTTTTTATATTATATTAAAAATTAATTTTACATTCAAAACATCACATCAACACCTATTTATATCACATCATACAACTATTCAAATTCAAAATTTTTACAATTCAAATTCCAACTCAAAATCCAAACCCCCAAACAAACACACCCTACATGTTTTTTATTATTTAATTTTTTTTTTCTCTTTAAAAAATATCAAATTAAACAATTACTCTTTTTTTTTATATTGCACTACAAATTTATTTTACTTTTAAAATATCACATTAACTTCTATTTATATCTATCACATCAAACAATTATTCAAATTCAATTTTTTACTATTAAAAAATTCAAACAAAAAAACTCAAAGCCACAAACAAACACACCCAAATGTTTATTATCTACTACTCCAACTAAGACTGACATTGTACTTACCTCTTCTAATCTTTCACGGGGTGCGTAGAATATGGATTCAACAGATAGCATTGCGACAATTATCAGCATTTCTTGAAAGCAATTAAACTGACTAGCAACAATGAGCGCCTTAGAATAAACAGGATCCAACGGAAGTCTCGCCATTTGGTGACCAACTGGGTCTGATAATTTACTTTCGTCTGTTAGAGCACCTAACAAGAATAGCATTTCCATTGACTTGATGATAGCCATACTGTAAGGATAAAAGTAAACGAATTTCAGAAAGATGAAAACAGCATAAAACCGGGTAAAATAAGTAAAAAATATAAGAGGATTACATGGTAAGTGAAACCAACAATATTAAAGGCAGTATGAAAAGCAAATAAAATGTTTGCAGAACCTCTCATTTTTAAGTCATTTCACAAAATAAAATAAAATAAATCACCCCAATATAACTGCCACAACTGATTAGATCACCAAATTCAGTGATCTAGACCGAACAATCAATAGAATCGGAATGATTCTGAGTAAAATATACTACCTCTGTACCACATAAGATATCCCCATTTTCTATTTCGATCCGTCCCATATAATTTATACTTTCTTTTCTTTGGAAATATGATTATACACTTTAATCACACATTTTAAATTCATAATTTATAATTTTCTTAAATTTTAATTAATCTATTTATTTATCTTAATCTTAACATATAATTATTATTTTTACTAATACACTTTCTTAATTACTTATTAATTATACTTTATCTAAATTTTCGTATATACACTGATATGAACAATTTAGATGGAACGAAGAGAGTATTAATCTAAAAATGCATAAGCTAATTGTATAATAGGAGACACATACTCCATCTAGCTAAAAAAAAATAATGGCTTGCAAAGGTCGATGCATGAGCTTGATGAGAAATCAGCATATCAATGACAAATTAAACACAAGAAACACAACATTTTCAGAGCTGCATAGTGCATAGAGAACAATATGCCACAAGCCACATACCTGTCTGGTTTTTCAATGAACTCAAAACCAACAATATCATCGATTCCCAAAGCTTTCAGCTGCAAAATAACATTTGCAAGATTGCATCTTTTAATTTCTGGTGTTGTGGAATCTTTCAGCTTGTAAAAGTCATTCTCTGGATAAAGACGAAAGCATTTCCCAGGTGCTTCACGACCAGCTCGCCCTCTGCATTAAATATAGATCATTTTTAAAAACTCAATTCATTGTAACTGTACTTAGATGCGCGTAGAACCTACCTCCTCTGAAGTGCCTGTGCTTTCGAGGTTGTAACTATAATCAAAGGCTCGATTCCAGTAGAAGCATCATATGTGCGTACTTTAACCATTCCCGGGTCAATGACATACTTGATTCCAGGTATTGTCACAGATGTCTCAGCAATATTTGTTGCCAAAATTACCTACATAGCGTACAAAAGCAACCAACGTCTAGTAATCAATATTGATCCAAGAAATTCCAATGCAGAAAAACATATTATAAATGGGAAAAGCTAGCAGTTGCAAATAGATCAAACAGCTTATTTTTTCGAATTATCATGCAGTAGGAAGGCTCGCTAACAGTGTACCAGAGAGCTCCAGCATAATAATTAAGTAAACATAATATTGGACTTGCCAAAAAGATTTCCCCCTTATGCTTATCTAAACATAAATATTACAAACCACGATAATATCATAAAATTAATACCAGCAAATTATTCAGCAATGTATTGATCCATTGTTGAAAGTTTTCTTATCAGAAGAACTATGAGCATTAGCTTTTTTTGAACATTTTGAAAATCCACATGTAATTGTCAACATAGACAAATGGCCCCCCACATCTGAATAAAGAAATTACATATAGATATAACATGAAAGTTGAAATTAGAAGATAGTGATCAACCTTACGAAATCCAGTTGGAGCTGGCATGAAAACTTTCATCTGTTTCTCTGATGGGAGAGATGCAAATATAGGAACAACTAAAAGATTCCGTTTACTCTCAGGTAACTTTGGGAAACGCTCTTGGACTAATCTCTGGATAGATTCTATTTCTTCTTGGCCAGTTAAGAACACAAGTATATCACCGGGTTGATCCTCCAGGTGAATCTAGTTGAACATAGGCAAGAAACAAAAAGCTATAAAAAACTGCAATTCCATGGCAGTGTGCAACCAGAATTAGAAGTTTAAAAATAGTGTATCCTAAAATCTTCTAAACCTGTGCCACTTAAATAGATTCCACTTCATTGTTAAAGTTAGCATTCAGTAATGGGCCTTTGTACAAATATTCAGCAGGATGTATTCTCTTTCTTTCATCATTAAATCATTCAGTTCAAACACCATTACCGCACACTTTTAACAAAAAAATCTTCAAAGACACCGAAGTTGAAAGGAGGGTACCGAGGTCCTGTTTTAGCCTGCTTGATTTTCACCAAAAAATCCAAATAAATTTGTAAAATTTGAAGATACCAAGGTTTTGTTTTATTTCATTTTCAACAGTGTTTTCAAAATATTCATGGAAGTTTTTCCCTTTCAAAAACATACACCTATTCTTAACTTAAAATATTACATTAAGAAACACCTAATACTATATCATTAACACTCTATTAGAATTCAACCTTCATCTATTTCTAAAATACCAAAACACCCTAAACAAAACATCTAAACAAACACTAAAATAGGTTAAGCCTGTTAGAGTTGAATGCATTGAATAGTTTTTTGAATTAATCCTAGGTTGCCTATAAACAAGTTTTAAGGTCAGTATTTCAGGATATTGAGAATTTCATTATTGGAGTCAGCCTTTCTGGATTGGGACGAAGGAGAGTATCCCTATACAAAAGAAAGAAATTCTTGTATTTCATTCCTCTAGTTTAACTTCTTTTAGAATAAAATTTTTCTACTACGTAACAATAGCTCAAGCCAAGGAGGAGTTATTGAGTCAAACCTGAAAAATGGTAATCATTGTTGCATCTAGGTAATCGGTCTCAGGTTGATAGGTGTACAATGTTTCAACAGGATATTGGCGCCCCTGGACATGAACAGCCCTTGCACCACCAAAAAACTCCGAAAAGATTGCAAAGTCTAGACTTGCAGACATGATAATCAACTTCAAAGGAGGCAACTTTTTTCCTTGGCCATGCTTCAAATTGCTGGTGGGATGGCCATTATACCCTTTTACCAACGGTAAGCCATTCTGATCTTTTGTTTGATCGTTACTAATTGTTTCAAGAGCACCCTGAGACCTAGCTTTTTGCACACTCTTCAACAGGCCAAGCAATACATCAGTGTGTACAGTTCTTTCATGAGCCTCGTCCACAATAATAACCGAATACTTGGAGAGATATTGATCCAACAATGCTTCCCTGTAATGTAATTCAAACATCATTTTGGCAATTGCCTTTCAAGAATAGCTATTTCCAAACAAGAACCATATGAGTAGATATCGCGTAAACCCAACTTTTTGACAAATGAGAACAGTTTCTACATGATATTAAAATTAAATAACTAGCATGAAGAAGACACCGTAAACGGGAATGTGCATACACCTCAACAACAAGCCGTCTGTCATGTACTTAATCCTTGTTGAGCTGGAAGTCATATCTTCAAATCGGATGGCATATCCAACCTTTTGTCCCAGAGTAACTCCACATTCCTCGGCAACCCTTTTAGCAACAGTTACAGCCGCAACACGTCGAGGTTGAGTTATCCCAATGGTTCCACCATTTCGGCAAAACCCACCATTGAATAGATATTGTGGTAGCTCTGCAGAGTATTTTATATCAAGTGGATTAAATGTGCTAATTAAAATAAATAAACAAGAATTACAGGTAAGTGCATGGATGAATCAAACGGAAAAATATTGAAGCTAAGATAATCAATAATAAAAGCCTAGGGAGAAAATTTGTAGATTAACATTTATCAAATTGAAGAACAAAAAGGATGAAAATTCAAGTCACTGCACATGTGAAGTTCACTTTAGGAAACTTCAAGGATCATAAAATCATGTTATTATCTCACCAAACCACCTTGTCTAGAAAATGCAATTCACATTGGGTAAATATCATCCAATTCCTACTGAGAAAATTCACTGCAATTTTTAAATTTCTCATAAGAGCCAACAAAAGAAAAAAAAAGCTTACATTTTCATAGAAAGTAATATAGCATACAATGCCTAGAAGTGATGCCACAATGTACTCAGTAATTGAACTGGGCAAATGTTTAATCAAAGCATTTGATTGTATTTTAGAAATACTAGTAAGAGGAGGATGCCTTCTGCACATAAACTTGTTGCTTTTATGAATATACATTAGAAACAAAGAAAAGTAGATTGAGTAGGAAATATTGAATAAAAAAAAAATAGAGCAAATTATAGTGAGAATGAAGCAAGAGAAAATATACGAATAAAACTCATAGCCATACAAGACTTACGTGTTGTCTTCCCACTCCCAGTTTCTCCAACAATAATCAGTGTATCATTATTGCTAACCTCCTCGAGAAGTTTCTTTTCAACTGTCATATGTTTGAATATTCAATCAGATAGAAATAGCCGGTAGGGAGTCAGAATTTTGGAACAGCCAAAAAAATATGAAATATCTCAAGCATGATGAAGAGAAAATTAATAATGTAAGCTAGACCTCCCTACAAATCATAAATCTGACACTATTCAATTTCAGGTACGTTTCCAATATCAACTAAACAAAAACACTTTTAACACCAAATCTACAATCATAAAAACATATGTTGTTGGAAGGATATATGAGGGAGCAATAAGTTGGCATATATATGAGGGAGCAATAAGTTGGCATACACTCTAGATTGTGAAAGTAAAACTGAGTAATATGTTTCTTATAACACCAGGGTGGGTGTGAAGGGTGGGGTTTACACCAGCTTGTGTTATATCACACGAGCACTAATAGCTAAAGTGGAGATAGGGAAGACCTAGTTTCATTTAAAATATTACATCAAAAACCTTTTATCTAACATCACATTCAACACAAATTTTCCATTTTAAATATCATATTCAACGTTGATTTTCATTGAAATTTATAATTCCGAAACAGCAAAATACTTGCAAAACACAAAACTACATGCATGAATTTCATATATATTTTGCATAATGAAGATCAATCAAGTGACTGTAATCATGCAAAACTCACACTTTAAATCTCATAGAAAAAGCAATAAAAATCACTTCCATGTATAACGGAATGAATTACTCCCATAATTAAAAAGTTGTAGCAATTACAGCCAATTATATGTATAGCTTATCCCATGACTCTCCTACAAAATGCAACTATGTTTAGGGGGGCATACAAAGTATTATTATTGACTTTTTGTAGGACAAATACGGTGTGTTTGTTTATGGGTTTCAGTTTGTGAGTTTGGATTTTTGAATAGAAAAAAGTTGAATTTGAATAGTTGTCTGATGTGATATAAATAGAGATTGATGTGATGTTTTGAATGTAAAATAAATTTGTAGTATAGTAGTATAAAAAAAATAATAATAATTATTTGATGTGATATTTTTTTTTTAGGAAAAAAAGAATGTGAATAGTAAAAACATGTTGTAAAACCCACAAAAGAACACAACCATAGAAATGGACACTCTTGTGTATTAAGGGCGTGTTCATTTGAAAGATTTCCCCTGATTTTTACTATTCCCCAAATTTTTTCCTCCAAAAAACATCAAATCAAATAACTATTTTTTATTTTTTATATTGTACTAAAAAGTAATTTTACATTCAAAACATCACATCAACGTCTATTTATGTCACATCTTACAACTATTCCGATTCAAATTTTTAACTATTCGTATCCTAACTCAAAATCCAAACCCCCCAAACAAGCAAACCCTAAATTACAATCCAAACATTTGTTCAAACACAAGAAAAAAAAAATCTTAATATTAACTTCACCAGAATTCGTTAACACATAAGCAAAAAGGCATTCAACCTACACATTTTTTTCATATCAATCAATTCTCCAACTACCCGACGCCATAATAGATTAAAAATATAAATTTGCTGTCTTAGAAAACGTTAAGCTGCCATACCACAAAAGCACACACCCTCGAACAAACAGATGATTGCATAAATGATCAAGTGGAAACTACCTGTTGCAATGGGCAAAGATTTCCTGTGCTGCTCAATGTTCTGTCTCCTACAAAAATAATACAACATTGATTAAGCAACAAAAACAAAAGCAATTCACACAAATCAATCCCATGTATATGTGCGTATCAAAACCTGATGTAGCTATCGGATTTTTGCCGCTTGGGTTGACTGATTTCCGCTGCAGTGTTGGACTTATTGGAAGTCATTGCAGCCATGGAAACGTAATGACTTGTCGAGTAAGTTCAAACTTCGATCAACTCAACAATTGAGTTTGTCCAATAACTCGAATTTCAAAAAGCATTTCAACAATTGTTCATAGAGACTCCATTACAATACTTTCCACGATATGAATCCAGAACTCCATCACTTTTTGAATAACAAATTTCTACAGATCTTTCGTTTCCTTTCCACCGAAGAAAATCACTTCACTAATTCAACTTTGCACCATAAACTCCAAAGATAAACACAACAAAATCCAACTTCAACGCAAGCATACAAATTAAACCACGAATCGACTTGAATAAACTGTCAGATTTCACCCAAACTCAAGAACAAACGCAGCATTCCACTAACGATCAACCATAGATCAGCCTAATATACCCTAACTGCGACTTCAAATTTTCAAAAATAAAAAATAAAATCCGATAAACTCCTCCAAAAACCGATCTGCACATCAGTCCACTGACAGGGAAAAAAACATACACACACACACAAAAAGGATAATCTTACCAAAACTAAGTTCCCGAACAGATTAAAATCTCTCCTTCAGGCGATCGAATGATTCCAAATTCACGCGTATAAAAAAAGTAAAGAAATCCCTAAATATTAACAACGTCAAGCAATTTATGATCGGAATACGAACCTTAGGTTCGGACATGACCGAGCCTAGACTATGATCGACTTTTAACACGGTTGCAGGAATTTGTTATGTGTGTGCGACGCGCAAATAATACTGACATTGTACGTTTCCTATTTATGTTTTCTTTTTTTTCATTGAATTGATGCATTCTCTTATTTTTATCAGATTTATATTTATTTTATAAATATGATGCTTTCTCAATCCAGATCTAATACTACCTCCCTCCCGTAAAATTGGTACATGTAAATTTTTTTTTTAATATTATTACTCTCTCCGTTCTAAAACTATAGTCTTAATTTGGGTTGAACACAAAATTTTAAAAATATTAATATTATATTAATAATCAGTAAAAAGTATAGGTAAAAAACTTTTTTGCCCTGTTAGTGTATTAATGTAAAATACAGTGGCAATTATGTAATAAAAATAAAAAATTATGGGTAGTTTTATAGTGATATTGTTATTTATGGAAACAAGACTATTGTTTTGGGATGGACAAAAATGATAAACAAGACTGTTGTATTGAGACGGATGGAGTATTATATTGGTTTATAGTGAAAATGGCAAAAAATATCCTTAATAAATTGTGTGATATAAAAGTCATAGCATGTGTAATATATTGAAAGTTGTAAGAGTATTAATTATGTTAAGTAAACGGTACAATTACTGAATTAGAAAATGATACTCTTGTTTTGAAATGAAAAAAAAATAGAAAATAGTATCGTTGTTGTGGGACGGATGAAATATTTACATTCTTTTAAAGAATATTATTATTTTTGTCTCACTTATCGTGTCTATTTTTTTATTTTTTTATTTTTGCACTTATTTTGTTACTCTCTTAGTCTCAACTAAATTGTCCTATTTAGTTTAGGTATGAAGTTTTAAATATTATGCAATTAATAAGTAATAAAAAAATATATTAGTGAAAATAACGATGATCTAATAAAAATAATTATAAATTAAAATTGAGATGACTAAATAATTTAATTAAAATAAAAAATTATATATATATGAATTATAAACTTTAAAATGTGATTAAAGTGTATAATTATATTTTTACATTCTTTTAAAGAATATTAGTATTATTTTTGTCTCACTTATAGTGTTTATTTTTTTTATTTTCTTATTTTTGCACTTATTTTGTTACTCTCTCCGTCTCAGCTAAATTGTCCTATTTAGTTTAGGTACGAAGTTTTAGATATTTTGTAATTAATAAGTAATTATGAAAATAATGATGATCTAATAAAAATAATTATAAATTAAGATTGAGATGACTAAATAATTTAATTAAAAAAATATATACATAAATTATAAACTTTAAAATGTGATTAAAGTGTATAATTATATTTTAAAAAATTACAAATTATGTGGAATTGACCGAAATAAAAATATTGGACAAATTAAGTATGACGGATAATTTTTTTTTTAAAAAAAAAAATTATACACTTTTTTGAATTGTCCACCCTTTGTTTTTTTTTTTTTAAGAAGAAAAAACACCCCTTTTTTTAATATATACTAATGTTGTACGTATTTTATTGGTTATAAATAAAGACCTAAATTACGGAGAAAAATATCTTAAATAATTTTTTTAATAAATAAGTAAATAAATAATTGTTTAGTCCTTCAATTTATAGTTTTTGAAGACAAATTGTTATTCGATTTTTATAAAAACTATAAAATAAATTATTGATCAATTATTTATTTATCTATTTTTTTCAATAAAAAATTATTTAAAATATTTTTTATTTTTTATTTGTATAAAACTTGTGTAATTTAGATATTTATTTAGAACCAAAATAGTTTTGAATAAGGAGGGTATTTCATGCAAACTTTACATTAACAAATGGGGTTTCACGCGATAAATAAAACATAAGATGTTTTGTGATTTTTACTAAAAACACAATGAGTGTTATATAATTTACCCTTATTTAAAATCAATATTTTAATTTCAAACATACATGTATTTATGACTACATAGTGCATATTAAGAAATGAGTCCAAATGGACGACAAATTACTACGAATCATCTTATAACATGGTAAAGTTCAAAACAGACAAAAACAACTGAAGACGGTGGTTATTTATGTTCGTATTCGACGACATCATACTTTGACGGAAATGATCCAACTTCTTCTACTCGTCATTTGGTATAAAAGTAAGTAAGAATAAGGGAAATAAGAGTAAAATGAGGTATTCAAAAGTACTACTGTAATATAAAAACACTACTGTAAGATAAAAGATTGGATAAAATGGTAGGGAATGTTGATAGTAAAATTAAACAAATAAAACTTTTTTCAAAAAAGATGAAAATACTCATAATGTTAATGACCAATTGTGGATAATCGGACTGAATTTGAAGAAGGGATGAAATAAATCGGACTTAAATTTCATTTTTTACTTTTCTTAGTGACATGGAAATTGCAGCTGTTATTTGAAAATACGATGAGTGTTTGAATCCATAAACCAATTTTTCTTATTTTTATATTTGGAGAGGGCTCTTCAAATAGCATTTTTTTTGTATATATATATATTATAAGTTGAATGTTTTTAGTATTTAGTAATGTTACATATATGTTGGGTGTGTTTTTTTTTTTTTTTTAGTGAAAATTATAAATTTTCAAAAGTATATTTTATTAAAAAAATTAATATAGTATTCACATACTCATTATTTTTATATAATTTATATAATTTTTCACATAAAAATATATGTTTTTCAAATTATTTCACTAAAAAACAAATTTGTTATTTTTTTATGAAATAAACTTTTATTGATAGAACATATTAAGTGTGTTGTGCAGTTTCTGTCTGATTTTACTATTTTAATTTTTTTTTTAAAAATCAAATACTTATTATTTATTTATTATATTATATTATATTACATTGTAATTTTATTTTATTTTAAAAATATCACCTTAATTTCAATCAAAATTTTATCATTCAAAACTCAAATTGAAAACCAAAAACGGCAAACAAACACACCAATTATTTGGTGAACTATGGCAGTTTCTGTCTGATTTTACTATTTTAATTTTTTTTAAAAATCAAATACTTATTATTTATTTATTATATTATATTATATTACATTGTAATTTTATTTTATTTTAAAAATATCACCTTAATTTCAATCAAAATTTTATCATTTAAAACTCAAATTGAAAACCAAAAACTGCAAACAAACACACCAATTATTTGGTGAACTATGGCAGTTTCTGTCTGATTTTACTATTTTAATTTTTTTTAAAAATCAAATACTTATTATTTATTTATTATATTATATTATATTACATTGTAATTTTATTTTATTTTAAAAATATCACCTTAATTTCAATCAAAATTTTATCATTTAAAACTCAAATTGAAAACCAAAAACGGCAAACAAACACACCAATTATTTGGTGAACTATGGCATTAAATATTTATTTTTAATTTAATATTTTATTATAATGAAAATTTTGCAAAACCTCAAAATACTTTGCGTATATTATTTTATGAAATTTTACCATATTTTTATAAATCAAAATTTCATACTAAAAAATATTAAATTAAATATCTATTTTTTTTATTTTTTATATTATACTAAAAAATTAATTTTATATTAAAAAAATATCATATTAATATCTATTTATATCAAATAATATAATATTTTTAATTAAAAAATTTTACTGTTGAAATACCAAATCCAAAATCCAAATCTCAAGATATACACACAATCTTTAAATTTTATTTGAATTATAAAATTATACGGATGACAATGAGTCGGGTTTAGTCGGAATTGAGATTCGTCCATATAATATATTGTTAGATTCGAGACCCAAATTATACCAGATACGATCAAAACTATACCCGGTAAGACCTGATAGAACCGAAAAATCCTTATTTTTTTACAATTCTTAAATTTTAATTTAAAATTGCAAATGTACTGTACTCAACATATACTAAAATTTAATGTATTTTTTTAAAAAATATTAGAATAAAATAATGAATAAATTAAACTCAAAAAATATTTTTAATATAATTATATTATTAGAAATTATTTTTTCATATATATAGTTGATATATTATTAATATATTACCCCGATCATGACTCAAACTCAAACCTAATACTAAAATAATTGGACTCAACTTCAAATAAATAGGTCGGATCTGGTAAGATCTCGAGTTTACGCGAATCTATTGTCATCCCTGTAAAATTATTGACATAATTTTAATTTATATTAATAATGAAATAGAAATTTAATTTATAAAAATAAATAAAATCCATACGAAAATAATTATGTAATTAAAAATATAAAAAATTTAAAATTTTTAACTTATATAAAAAACAAAATGTAAAAATTATAAATCCCACATAATTTATCAACTAAACATAAGAATAGAATTATATAAATTATAATGAAATATCAATGGACAAAAAATTCTATGAACCAAACTGCCCTTTAATCTATAAAATTTTGGATTAAATGTTAGACACCCGATTCGAGTTATTTGACCCGGCCCAGGTTTAGAAAAAAGTTGGGCCCATTATATTCTATGAGGCCCAAAATAGCGATAAACGGCCAGGAACGTGCCACGTAATCAACTTACCGATTGCGCGCGAATTGAGATCTCTCCCGCTTCGTATTATTGGTATTAATAATAAATAAGGCGCGGCGCCGACTACAGAGCATTCAAAATATCTCGATCTCTGAAGATCGGAAAATTGCGTGCGAATGGGGAGCGACGGCGGAATGACAGCGTACGAGCGGCGGAGGCTGGAGAACATTAAGCGGAATGAAGAAATGCTGGCGGCGCTCAATGTCCACTCCAGGCTCAAGGATCTCTCCGGCGTCGGTGCCGATAGGAAGAGGTGTGTATTTCTTATTGTTATTTTTCGGTTTTATATTATTCTGATTTTGATGTTTTTTGTGCAATACAAGAAATTACTGGTCATTGTTAGATGAATTTTTGTTTCTGGAAAATATTTGATCTGCGGATTGAAGTTAATGCTCCTTCGGTAGGGTTGCAACTGCTGGATTCTACTGATTGCTATAGCATTGAGATATTCTAGATATTCAAATTGGTTTTGATTGGTTTAGTAGATTCGGTTGGTTTAGATCTGAATTGGTTATATATTATTTGAATATCACGCTGCGATTCTGAAAATTCTGTAAAATGTAACTTTATGAGTGTATGATTTGTTAGGGCACAGAGTAAATCTTACAAACGCAGTCCTGTAAAGAAGCCTAAAGTTGAAACCCCTGTGGTTCTCCGCCGGTCACTAAGGACTCGTGGAGTGCCGCCGGATGCTTCTACAGCCGGTGGTCTACACGATGATTTCAACGATGAAAAGCAGATTAAGAAAATTCCGCAGTTGAAATCTGAGAAATCCTTTCCAGAGCCGAAGCCTATTGCAATGAAGGATGCTTACATGGGGAATGATGCATCGGATCAGAAACTCATCGAAACCATCAACCAGTGTGCTAATGAAGTTAAAAAGAGCGAAGGTGAATCAAGTTACTGTGATTCTATTCATAACTTGGAGAAAAGAAAGGGCTTCGAGGTTAGTGTCGAGTCATTCGAGTTGAAGCCTGAGAATGTGGCAAGATTGGTGCCGGGAAGGATTATGAGTGTGCGATTTTTTCCCACTATAAATATGCAAATGGTGGTGGCTGGAAACAAGTATGGGAATATCGGGTTATGGAATGTTAATGGCGGGGAAGGAGACAGCGACGGGATTTATTTGTATCACCCTCATCCAGCGCCTATTTCCGGAATCGCCATAGATCGATGTTCCATAAATAAGGTATGAATATGAAAGGTTAGCACATTGGTTTAGTAATAACATCAGAATCAGCCGAGTGAGCTTGAAGAGGTTTTAGTATTATTATTAGCTATTCTTCGAGTGCTTACCGAATAAACTTAACACATTGCTTTTTTTACTTACTTAAAGAGGTTTTAGCATTATTATTGGTGTATAAATTTATTTTAACCGTCACCGCTGTTCTTCGAGTATACATTGAGTAAATTAACACATTGCTTTTTATGCTTATTTGAAGAGGTTTTAGCATTCTTAACTGTCTATAAATTCATTTAACAATCACTATTATTCTGAGTGTCCACTGAGTAAATTTAGTACATTGCTTTTTATGCTTATTTGAAGAGGTTTTTAGCATTGTTATTTGTGTATAAATTCATTGAGGTGCCCAAGGATGCTGATTATCATACTATAGTAGTCATATGTCTTTGTATAGACCACCAGGGGATCTTCCCCACGGTCGTAATTCAATACGCATTACATTGTTAAAATCTGTTTGTGTTGTTTGTTATGCAGATGTACACTTCCTGCTACGATGGGTTTATCCGGTTGATGGATGTGGAGAGAGAGATATTCGATCTGATTTACTCCAGCGAATCGACTATATACTCGATGTCCTTAGGTCTGCACAACACAAAAGCCTTATACTTGGGCGAGGGTAAGGGAGGAATCAAGGCATTGGATTTGAGAGCAGGAAAGCCATTGCTAACTTGTGATGCACACGGAGATCGAATCAACACCATAGACTTCACTTCAAAGAACGACAACATCATGGCCACGGGCTCCACAGACGGCACTGCTTCTATTTGGGACCTACGATGCTTGAATGCAAACAAACCGACGCCATTGGGGACCGTTGCGCATAAACGAGCCGTCCACTCTGCTTATTTTTCGCCCTCCGGGAAATTTCTGGCAACAACAAGGTTGGTTCTCCATGGAAATTGCAGTAAATGTTGATCAAAGTTTTTTTTTTTTTTTTTGTTCCACATTTTTGTACCTTTTCTGCAGTCTTGATGACAATGTAGGCCTGGCAAGTGGAGCCAATTATGAAGATGTATCTATGGTACATCACAACAACCAAACAGGCAGATGGATATCTACATTCAGGTAAGCCTTTATCTCCTTTATTCATGAAATATTTGCGCGGCATGGATGACATTTTGATGCATTCTTTGATGAACCAGAGGTATATGGGGTTGGGATGATTCGGCCATCTTCATCGGTAACATGAAGAGAGGAGTCGACGTCATTTCTGTTGCTGGAAGAAAAACTGTTGCTACTTTGGAAAGTGATCTTGTGTCTGCCATTCCTTCACGGTTCGACGCGCACCCTTGCAGCATTGGGACGCTTGCAGGCGCCACTGCCGGAGGGCAGGTTTATATCTGGACTCAGTCGTGAAGAAGAATCGACGTGAATTCTGCAGTCTGTGAGTGTAACATAACTTTACAGTAGAAACTGGTTAATGTTAGAATGAGTTTGCGCCTACTTACGCTGAATCTACTCTAGAATTGGATTTTTGAACTAAGACAACATATTTAAGGGTAATAAGCGAGAATTAATTAAGACGTAAAACTTTTCGATACATGTGCTGATACATATGTACATATTTCAACAAAAGAGAGAATAAGGGAAGAAAAAAGAACAACCCGAGTGAGTACCTTCAATATGCCACGAATGGCTGTGGCTGTTTGTTCAATTCGACCTTCAAATGTACAATGTCTCGATCGAACACAACCTTAGCTTCAATACTATGTATGTGCCTTGCTATTTAACTACTTTTCTTGATTTCCTTTTCAAAAAATGCTACTCAAGAATCCCCTGCATCAAAGATGACGTTCATACTCGCCAATGTCGACAAAATTAAATGTTGCAAATGCAATCATATGAATGATAATATGATGTTTTCTTACCATATTCCAGTCGGATTCTTGGCTTTGTCTCTGCAAGAAACAATTGTAAGATGGTCGGGAATTAGTAAAGACTACGACGACTATACGGAGCCACTATCCAACAGATTACCTCGGCTTTCCTACAAATGCATCATTAATTTCGTCGCCTGTAGGTCTTCCGGAGAACTTCGATAGGAGGACATATTTCTCCTTCTTACGACCCTCGTCGACTCTCTTGTACAGCTCATACTCATTAGGATAAGACATCCTGTCATGGAAAGACTTCCTTAGGAGATTTAGCTAGAAAGACAAATCCATGTTACAAAACTAAAATAATCGCACTTCTCTCTTACACCATTGAACATATACACAAAATAAAGAGTCAGATTAAAATCGAAGTAAACTTGGAGCAACACCAATAAACCGAATATTAAACAATAGGATGCGATTGCAAATAACAACTAAACATGAAATCAAAATCGGGAAAGGGGATGGAGAGGAGCAAAATGAACAGCAAACGGCATTAGTGATCTCACCGGAGGGCTCCCATGATAGGATATTGGGTCCCGCAATAGTAGAGTAACCGAAAGAGATAGCACATCTCGAAGGAAGCAGCATATTCCAATCTCTTATCTCGACCCATTGTCTTTGAGGATAAAATATAGTTAGAAAGAAATTCATGAGATAATACAGTATATGCTAAGAGTGTAACTATAGTTTGCTTACTTGCATTATGCCCCCTGAAGCTGGTAAATCCTAAGGATATCGAAAATGAAATTGTATCAGTGTTTCCCCTAAAAAGCCACCACAGATAAAAAGGGAAGCAGAAAATAATAATAACAATAATACTATAGCCATGCTCGGTGTTGTGCCCCGTTACATGTGTTTTACTGGATAACTATTCCTATAATTTATGAACCTGACTTTTTTTTTTTTGAGATGGAATTTCATGTCACTTCAGACAAAGTTCGATCATTTACCGGTGATATTTACCTACAGTTGAAGGAATTTTCCGGTAAAAATAACTGGCGAAAGGAAAATGTCTTGAGATTTTTTCATTTCAAACTTTTTTCTTAGATGCACAACAGAGTGGCATTCATTGTAAGTTTTGAGTGAAAACAGACCCCTAGCCTGGGATTCACAAGAATTACGGGACGATCGCCAGCAGCGTCAGTCATAGCTCTTAGGTCCTGCATTGAGAGACAAAGGACAATTGTGAAACACTATCAAGCCTGCATAAGATGTACTGATATAAGTGAAAGCGCCTTACACCAATAATACAATTTCCTACTGCATTCTGGGGAGCCACTAAGATAAACATGTCGTCTTCCTCTTCAACCTGGTCGCCGCCTGGAGAACAAATTAATGCAGGTTCACTTTGACAAGATACATATCAAGAAAGTAGCTGGATTGTAATAGCAAAGATTCATTGCGATTAACTAAAACTGCAAAGGTAGGTACTAACAAAATCTTTTGCGCACAGAAGGTTTAAGTTTTTTGTAAAATGGTAGCTTGTTAAGTTTGTCATTCAAAGAGCTCAGCAATGGAATAAATGAGGGAAAGAAACTAAGTATGCAACTAGTTAAGGGAATGGTAAAAACCAACACCAGAATAATAAGCTTTATAGCCATTTCATTTACATAGATGAAATTAGTAATAAGGCTTTGTTCTTTTGGTGTTAGGTTTCAATTTTTTTACTATGTAACTATCGTGATTTCCTATAAAAAAATAGATTATTTCGTCTAATAAAACATATCATCCAAACCAACCACCATTCTAACAAAAAACCAAAACAAAATTCCAAAAAAACATAAGATTTTATGATTCAAATAACTTCATTTATCTTAATACAGTAAAAGCTATTCATAATTCATGTCAACCTAATGGGACAGAATATACATCACAAAAGTTTCAAGTTTTGTGTGAAGAAGCAGGGACTAAACATCTCTCTTTTCATAACAACAGTATAGCACAAAATCCAACCATAGAAGAAACACAACTCTTATAAGTATAAAATTCTGAATAAGTGCCAAAATGCTTAGATTAGCTAAAAATATAATAGTTTACATGTACATCTTTATTTAATCACTGTTATGTAATCAACAACTTATAGGAGACATATAATAGTTTTTTTTTTTAGCATAAGGGAAATAAAGTATAATAATCAAAAGTCAATAATGCATCAGATATTAACAAATAGAGACAGTATAAACTCACTTACCTATGGACCCAATCCGGATAAAGGTACCCAAAGCACCGTAATCACCCCAATCCATGAACTCCATAATCTTCCGACTTCCAGCTAGCTGTAATGGTATTCCAGCCAGTGCTCCTTCTCCCATAGATCCTTGCACACAAACCTATGAGAACTTGGATGATCAATTCGAACCTCTGTTAAACAAATAAGTATATTAGAAATGGAGAGCTTGTTAGAACCTTGACCCGCTTTCCATCGTCGGCAAAGGAAAGAGCAAGGATGCGGACAAGTTCCAATAAGGTACCTATTCGGTAAACATCCTGATCAAGAAATCATTGGCCACATAAAGTTTGAGAAGATCCCAAGCATATAATATGTGCACACATAAACATATATATATATATACACATATACATAAGAATGTATATAATGAAGCTTCTCACCATTTCTGGGTTGAGCTCTGGAATATTGATCTCCACCTTGAGTTCAAAATAGCAATGACACAATTCATTAACATGGAATAGAATTTCAGGTAAAGGATGTAAAACAGTGCTTTAATATTTTTAATCAAATATTGCATATCAAAATCTCTCTCTCTCATGCACGCAGACACATATTGGTTTTATAAAAATCTCACTCAAACACAAGTTGCTGACCAAAAACTTTGGCATCTACCTCAAACTAGGGATCTATACAAAACATGCAGAGAATATAATTTGGGTGATGTCACCAGAAATGAATCAGGAATAAAGAATGAAACCTCATCAACAGCATCGCTTCAGATCAAAATTGGAAATTAAAAATATAAGGGTACAACCTACCTTCAATCGAGATTTTCTATCTTGTACAGCTCTTTTGGTTGCTTGCAACACATCCTCATAGAAATATTGCCTTATTTCTCTCGAATGGGGAATATTGTTTAATCTTGTTGGTATTCCTCTCCACTGTTTCTGTTGATGTTTAAAACATTAGAAATAAGAATGTAAACCAAAAAGTATCCTTTGCGCGTATTCCTCCTATAACCATGATGTAAGAAAACAATCAAAACAGGTTTTATTAAAAGAACCTCATGTGAAGAACTATCAAGCAGGCTGTCACTTCTTGCCAGTTTACCTATAATCAAATAGAATTAGCCAATTTTCAACATCAGACACCAACAAATATAGATTTTTGAAAATATATAACTAATATAAGGTTCAAGATTAATGTTTGAAACAATAGGAAACCACATAAAATTATCAGAACCCCTGCCTCCATTTTCTCTGCGGAAAAGGTAAAAAATATCCAAGCCAAATAAATTTACTCACATTAAAAAATAAAAATAAAACTACATAACAGAAGATCCACATGTAGTATGCTTCTGAAAACTAAGAGATATGCGTAGAAGAAGAAATAAGGCAGAACAAATGATGAAAGGAACTACTTAGAAAATAAAGAAACTGAACCTGTTTTAGATTTCTCTGCTTTATCTTTCTGCAATGTCAACAGTAAGGACTCTATTTCGTTGAAAATCTCTTGTTTAGGGCGGTTCCCATCAATCTGTATCACAACCAACAAATAAATTAACAAAAAGGGTTAACCTTCAGGAGTTCAAAGGAGAGCAAGTATTAGTAATGCACAGCCCCAAACTACCTTCTTTATTACATCTGTGTACATTGATGAAATTGAATCTGTGTTTTGTTTATATATTTGTAGGCGTGCTTTCACCTGAGAAATTAATTGCACAATTAGAAATGGACATGACTACAATAATTAGCAAGTAGCTCCAGGTAAAAACTAATGCTAACAGCATTTCTCCATCTTACTCAAATTTTGTAGAGGTTTTACTTTACTGTGTGCTAAATGAGCAACTAGAGAAGTGCATGTAATCCTCAACCCTGATTACGATTATGAAAATGATGACACTTGACAAGTATCAACTTGACACAAAGGTTCTATGATTATTTCATATCCATGTTGATCTTTTTAATGAAGTTATCATGTTGCCATTTCAAATCACTGGAATAATTCTTGTATTTCACAGTGCAACTCAACCAACATTATAAATTTGAACTCTCCTTGTAATAAGTCATAAAAAATCTGCCAAATTATAAAAAAATATCATCGTTATACTGTTGAATTGAAATACCTTTTCCTCAGTATCATCAGGGCGTATAATAAGCCTTCCACTTATTTCCTCATTCTCTGGTGGAAAATTTTTGATATGATAAATCTTTCCTGTCAAAGGGTCCAACCTTCTACCAACACATCGATCAACTAAAATGTCATCCGGTACCTGAGAAATGGCACATCTTTCAGTCAAGATAATACCCAAATATGCAAGAATAAAATACTGCAATGCTACATTATAACTCTATACTACCTCACCCACAGGTTGCTGGCTATCTAATTATACATACATATATATATATATGTTGATATTTACATTTGGTAATGAGTTTGAAAAGCATCGATTCTTCCATGTTTCAAGAGAAAACCAAAAACTTATTTAGAGAGACATAGCTTCAGACAGCTTTGTGCATAGGCTACAAACAGATAAATAGGCAAAATTCCATATTAATAACAAAAAAAAAGTATGTTTTCCATGGCTGGCCATTTAAATTGACATCAATCAGGGAATTTTCAATGCTGAAGCAATATAGAATCTGTAATTTTCAGCCATGTTCAAATAATTTTTGAAGTCGAAAACTTGAAATATCAGTTTCAATCCTTAGCACACATTGACATACATCAAGGATAATAAATATGTCAGGCCTAATATTCTGTTTCTCCAAACCCTCTGCTTGGGCAGAACTTCGCGGGAATCCATCTAACAGCCAACCTTTCTCCTTCACATCTTCAAGAGAAAGCCGAGCTGTCACCATCTATATAAGGAAGTGTTAGTGTAGCACATTCACAAAGTGGAAAAGGAAACATAGTTACGTCAATTCATACAGCTGTCACAATTTCATCCGGAACTAATCGACCAGTATTCATGTACTCCTTTGCTACGTTTCCAATTTCTGTACCAGCTGATACTTCAGCTCGCAGAATGTCTCCAGTTGATATGTGTACCACCCCAAACTGAAGAAGCCACCGAGTGGAGTCATTGAAAAAGGTTAAAAAATGAAACAAGGTAAAAGACTACATTAGTGGAAAACACTTTGTAGTTCATATAATGCAACTTCATTTCTTAAGGCAATCGAAATGTCTAATCTAACACGATAATGGATAACATACAACTTAATGAAATCGATAACAAAAAGCACAAAAGAAAGCAGGGTAATAGCTTAAAGAAATATAAATCTATCAATCCCAGGCATAACATCTACGAACCATAGCTTATGCAAGATGGAGCCATCGAAATATATATATATATATATATCCAACAATTTAATCTTAAGAAAATTATTTAACAACGCACATTTTAAACCCATATGCTCTTAACAGTTGATGCACAGACGATTAGTTGTAATCGACTAATCGCTTCAGTTCCTTTGTTCTCATGTATTCAAATTAAGGCTGTGAAAATGAACATCAAGAATTTGACAGGAACTATTAGCAATACATGATTCAAATTTATGGTGGCTCACCTTCTGAGCAATCATCTCACATTGAGTCCCTTTTCCTGAAGCTGGAGCCCCAGAAATCATTAACTTCAATGGCTCACTTTTTGAGCTCACAATCTTCAGTCCCTGGCCAACATATATCTCTATACGTCAAAGAACTGAGGTAGATTAGAACACGTATTTATTCTTTCTTAGCTTCATTAGATAATCCCAACCGAAACCTAAGCCCTAACAATTATGATTCAAAAATTGAACTACATATCCACAATTTCAAAATCGTTTATCCAGGTAAAATTCCACCACTGAACCGCAGCACAAGACTCAAACGAGAACATTTGAAGTTCAAATTTCAGGAAACTGTAAAGTGTAATAAGAGAAGCAAACAGACCTTTTGCAGGGGGTGAGTGTTGATGCGGGGAGAGGCATGGGGTAGGAGGTGCAGTCGCAGAGAGGTGGAAGAAGGAGAAGAGAGGAGGAAGGAAGAAGTGAAAGGGAAATGGAATTGGAGTTTGAGTGGAGAAGAGAGTGAGGGTTGTTTGGGAAGCGAAGGGACATTAGTGCGGTGAGTTGCAGTTGCAGTGAGATTGGCCATGGCTGGTGGGAGTGATCAGAGTGTGACGAAGGAAGGTTGGGGAAGAGGCCAATATCCGCCATAGCCATAGGCATAGCCATAGCCATACGATGATGATAGTAGTTGATAGCAAATGCCAATTATCCATTTCCATCAAATCCCATTCCACTCTTTAATTACACGACACTTAACCATTTTTATAAAAATATAACATAAAAAATATATTTTGAGCTAGAAAGTTAAAATTGAAAAATATATTATTACAAATTTTTCTTTATTTTAGATTAAATTTATTGGATTATACTTTAAAGAGTAAATTATATAACATTAGACAATTTTAATAAAAATATATAAAATATTATATTTTATTTATGACGTTAAATTTTTTGTGTTAATATTTATTTATTTAATAACTTATTTAAAATATTTTACTATCAGCTTTGGACATCATGCAAATTTTATATTAACGCAAAAGAGGATTTGATGCAATAAATAAAATGCAATGTCATATAATTTACTTTAATTTAAAATTGATTTAAAGTTACATTTTTATTTATATAATATTTCACTATGATATTTTATTAAAAAATATATACTCTCCCTGTCCTAACTCAAATTACATTTTTTATAATTTTCGTTCATCTTACTCCAAAGTATATATTTTTTTTAGTAAAAGTAATCATATATCAATACCTAAATACAATTAATTTTCACATAAATTAGAAACATATCGTTACACATACAATTACTTTTTACATAAAGTCAAAAGGCAAAAATATCAAAAACCTCTTACATACTTCTATTGACCGATAAAATACTACTCCCTCCGTCCCAATTGAGTTGTCTTGTTTTTTCATTTTCGTCCGCAAAAAATAATTGTCTTGTTTCCTTATTTAGTAATCGTGATCTCACTTTATAAAAAAATTATTCCTAATTTTTCAAACTACTCATAATTATTACTCTAACATACTTGAAAAAAATAAGGGTATTTGAGTCTTTTTACTTTCTAGTTTATATCTAATTCAGTTAAATACTATTATTCATTAATTCGTTTGTGACTCCCAATAAGATATTTTTTTGTGACGGAGGAAGTATCAATTTTTTAATTTACTATAAAATCCAAATGAGCAATTAGGACCAAAACCAAAAAATATATATTTTTTATTATTATTAATAATAGTATGAATTGAACAATAATATTTTATATTTGAAATAAATCTTATATCTTCTATAAATTGGATGAAATGCAGACAAATTCCGGTTTAGAAATGTCAAGTGTGTTTATTTAGTAATTTTGTTAGTATCCAATCTTCACAAATATTTACAAAAATAGGAAAAAAAAAAAAACAATTTTGGTTTTTGTATAACCAAAATGTATCAATTTTAGTCTCAATATAAAAAAATTATATCAATTTTAGTTCAATTATAAACAATTTCAATCAACTTTGGTCTCACTGTTTATAAATGAATGAAAATTGTTGACGTGGATACAGCGGGGCTGAAGTAGCAATAGCCTGGAAAGCAACATAATTATGTCCAATTATACACGATCATGTTGTCACACGGCAGTATACAATTATACATGGCAGCGTATCTTTTTGCCTTTGTCTAAAATTTCTTTATATATATATATATATAAATTTAGAATAATTGCTATAATTAAAATGAAAAAAAAAAACAATAATAGTAATATCAATACAATTAAAATGTATCAATTTTAGTTTCAATGTAAAAGATTTATCGGATATGTTTATTTGATTGGATGTTTGTAAGATGAATTTTTTCATAAATAATAAAATTTTAGGCAAAATCTTCCAAAAGAAACATACCTGACGAATTTTTTATATTGAAACCAAAATTGATACATTTTAATTATATTGAGATTACTATTATTTTTATTTTTATTTTAACTATATCAATTATTCTAAATTCAATTTTAAAAACAAAAAAAAAACAAATAATGAAAATTTAGGCCGAAACATAAAGATACTCGGCCGTGTAGAATTAAACATGACAATGTGACTACATGATCGTGTATAATTCTACATTATCGTGTTGTTTTCAGGTCAACTGTTGCGTCAATCCGTTATGTTCACGTCAGCAATTTTCGTTAATTTTTTAACGGTGAAATCAAAATTGATTAAAATTGTTTATAATTAAAGTAAAATTAATAAAATTTTTATATTTGAACCAAAATCAACAAATTTTAATTATATTGTAACCAAAATTAATTTTTTTCCATAAAATTATAATAATATTTTATATTACAAAATATAGTATTTAAACATATTATAATTTTTTTCAGCAATTTTTATCTTCTCCTCAATTTAATTTAATGTGTCCTTGTTTACCAGTTGAGATTAGAATGATATTTTATCAAATTTAATTTTATATTTATTTTAATATATTTGGGCCCAATATATGAATGGATGATAATTGATCTAACTCTTTCACCAAATACTCTCTCCGTCCACGGATAACGTATGCATTTACTTTTAGCACGGTATTTAAAAAATAATAGTATTTTAATTATAGTGGGTAGTTAAAAATAGTGTAATGATATTTTTGCCCTTACTTTTTGGTATAAAAGTAATGATGTGATGTAAAGTAAGGGTATTTGTGAAAAAAAAATGAAGTATTTAATAAAATGTTTACTTTATAGTTGGACGTCCCAAAATAGAAATGTGTATACTTTCTAGCCAGACGGAGAGAGTATTATTTTAATAAAATATCTAAATTATATTTCCTTAAATAATAAGAATAAAATATAATATATTTTTAAAAATTCATTTATAATTTTGATTTTTAAATATATTTAATAAATAATTAAAGTATTATATCAAATTATATATCATGATAATAAAAATAGATTTTAATATATTTTATATGTTAAAAAAATGTATAAAATAATTATATGATTTAAAATAAAATTATGAAGGATATTTCAAATAAAAAGATAATTATATTATATAATTAAATAAATTAAATACAATATAACTTCATATAATATATAATTAAATAAAAATAAATATTATATTAATTAATCTATTGATTAACAATATATCAAAATAATTCTAAAATTATAATTCTAAATTATAACGCAATCCTTCGTAAGTAAATACACATTCAAAATATTATTATTATTATTATTATTATTATTATTATTATTATTATTATTATTATATTAGTTCTACTGGATCCTTCTCGTCTATATTATTGGGTGTGTTCGGTTACTGAGTATACTCAAAATCTATTATTTATTTAAATTTTTTCTTCCAAAAAAATCAAATAAAATATTTTTTTTATTATGTTAAAAATTAATTTTATATTCAAAAGATCGCATAAAAATTTATTTATATTATATCGTACAATTATTTCAATTCAAAATTTTTACTATTCAAATTTCAATTCAAAATTCTATCCCTAAACAAAGACACCCATTCTATATTATAGTATTTCACAATTTTATTTTATTTTATTATTATTATTTTTTTTAACCAATAGAAAAATTAATTCTTATGTTTTTTGTTGTATTTATTTTCTCTATACTTCTATACAATACTATTATTTTCTTTCTCATTCATTCTTTATACCAAAAATAAAAAATAAAAATTGTTATAATAAAAGTATATCACATAATAATAATAAAATATGCTTTTGACTTTTAAAAATTACAAACATGTGATTAATTTGTGAGAAAAATCAATTTTCATTATGTGATGTCTTTCAATGCAATTATATTCATCATAATTATTTTTCTACTTATTCATTATTTGTAGTAAACCCACTTTTAGGTGCTTTCTAACTCATTATTTTATTTTTCAGTAGTTACAGTAAAAATATAATTGATCTATAGTAATTTTACTTCAATTATAAATTTTACTTTTAATTCTAAAAAGTATATTTCTTATATATTCATCTTTTATATTCATTTCATCCCGACAAAGATGAGTCACTTGGTTATAAACACGGTATTTTAGATAGTTTAGATTTGTAAGTTATTAATAATAAATTATGATACTATTTTATTGATTTTTATATGAGTAGTGTTGTTGATATTTTAAATATTTTTAGTATTATATCTCAATAAGATATATGCAATATGAATATTATTTTATAAACAATAAAATTTTATGTTATAATACAAATAAATAAATAAAATATTTATTTTATTGAGGACATTGACATAATAAATAAAGACGTTTTGAGTGGACCATACATATAAAAAGTTATTGATTTATATTGGTTGAATATGTTTAACATGAATAAATTTACTAAAAAATAGAAAACGGTCATCTTTTGTGGACAGACAAAAAAGAAAGGAGATCATATGTGGCGGGATGGAAGATGTATTATTTTATATAACTTTTCATATTTTTAAATTACTCATCAACTTTAATTTATTTTTACATTGTCACTCAAATATATATAATTTAAATTTTATTTAAAAATTAAACATAACATTTTATAAAGTAAAATGTTACTTTAAAAAAAATAAAATTATATATTACTTTCAAAAAATTAAAATTATATATCACTTTTAAAAATTAAATTACACATTATTTTTTTTTTAAAAAAAACTATATACCACTTTAAAAAAAATAATAAAATTATATACTCCATCCGTTCTACTTTTCGTGTCCACCTTTCTATTTCCTTCTTTCTCACATATCCTATCACTTTTCGTTTTTTAAAAAGAATTATATATTTTAATATCATTTTAAATTTTAAATTTTAATTAGACTAATGCCATGAGAAGGAGAAGAAGCGCAAATATTAATAAAATCGTGAACTATGTAAACACATTTCTTTCTAATTTTGCAATTTAGGTTGTACTTGACAAGTATAAATACATGTATTGAACTAATATGGGCATAATGAAAACTCTAACCGAATTACTTGTCTTCTTTTTCTCCAACCTCTCTGATCTCGCTCACGCTGTTGCTGGAGACATGACAATTTGATATCAAAAGCTGGATTTCGCTACTCTCTCTTGATGATGCGATCTCAAACACAAAGGCTAGATGTTCTGGAACAACAAGTGGCGGAGGTTGTAGATAGCAAACTACTATATTCCAAAGTCAGATTCAAATGGAAACTAGGTTGTAATCTAAGCTGGATGCGAAGCTTAAGAATCTAGGAGACTTGTTGAAGGCTTAATTTTTGAATTTTATGAAGGAACAACAAGTTGGACCTTCATTTAGAGGTAAAGAGCCTCTAGATCCTCCTGTTTCACATATGGATCTTGACTCTGCTGCTAAACCTAAGGAATGAAGGGGAATGCTGTCTCCAACTCCCAAAACTAGGTTAAATGAGTCTCACTCCACTTTACATTACGATTGGACTTTCCAAAATTTAATGAAGATAACCCTAGGTTGTGGCTTAGGAAGTGCACTAGGTATTTTGCTTATAATCGAATGTCTGATTATGATAAACTCAACCTTGTTGCTATGAATTTAGAAGGAATAGCTGATGGTTGGTTTGTGGACTATATTGAGGAGAATATCAATTTTTCATGGGCTGAATTCTCTGCATTAGTATTGGAAAGGTTTCTGAATCTCGCTGAAGGGAGTCTAGTTGCTCAATTTAATAAATTGAGGCAAAGCACCACTATGCAGAATTATGTCCAGGAGTTTGAAGAAATGAGAGCTTTAATAAGAGAGAATAATAAAGCTTTGAGAGAAAAATATTTTGTAGAAAGCTTCATTGGTGGATTAGGGGAGGAGATTGGAAAGTTTGTTACAATGTAGAAGCCTAAAACTTTTGATGAATGCTATTCAACAAGCCATCCGAAGTGAGGATATACTTAACCTTCTCACTAAGGGACAAAAAGATTTGAACAGGGGTAGTAGCCCTTAACCAGCAGTGCCGATAACTAAAATTGGTTCAGATGTTGTTAAACCAAAATTACCTCATATTAGGAGGTTGTTCTCTGAGGAAATAACGCTAAAAGAGAAAAAAAAAATTGCGTTTCAATTGTGATGAGGTGTTCCATATAGGAAACAAGTGCACAAGAGTATATTTGATTAGGGATAAGAGGATAAGGAAAGTGAGATTGACATTGGAACTTTGGAGTTGGGAGAATGCCAACAAGGGGCGAAGAACCCCAAATCTATTTGAATGTTGTGGCTGCTCAGGTCCCTTCCAACACAATTAAGTTGTTAGGAAAGTCCAACAGCTATGAACTTGTTGGTTTACTAGACTCAGACAACACTCACATTTTTTGGGACCCATTAACAACCTCAAAGTTAGGATGCAAAGTGGAGTTTGCTAATCCTTGGTTAATAACCTGAATGCACATCTAAGTCACCTATGTTTGCTTGGGAAACGAAAGGCCACAGGTTCAGTGCTCCTGTGAGATTATTGAAGTTGGGGGTTGCGATATGGTTATTAGAGTGCTTGCTAAGTCAATTTGAAAAGGTGACTATGGACTTTTCATAACATACTGTTCAAATTTGTTTTAAAGGAAATATGATTAAACTTCAAGGAATCCAACCTGGAATTGCATTAAACATGGTAACTATGAACCAATTTAGTACGGAGTTGGAAATGGAAGACACGGGAGGTTTCTTATGCATTATATTTGGACAAACAACAGAGGCATCTGTTTATGATCCTAAAATTGCGACATTGCTTCAAGAATCAACATCTATTTGAAGTCCCTCCAAGTTTACCCTCTAAGAGGAGCATGGACTATAAAATTTCCACCAAGCCCAATATAGGATGATAACTCTTGCTTTTGCCATAATTTATAACTTATATTTATTTATTTAATTATTTATTTATGTCGAATTTTGATATTATTTATATTAATTTATTCTAATATTTGTATTTTTTTTCATCTTGTGTGTAAAATATTAATTTACTAGGTTTTAGGTGTAATTTATAATTTATTTAGTGTATAAATTAAATTAATTGATGAGTTCCATGAATTATATTTTTAAGCATTATTTATGTATTATTTAAGTATTTAATTTTGGCTAAATTAAATTTATTTAGTAAGTATATTTATTTAAATAAATATAAGGTGTTTATTATATAGTATTGATCATAAAAAGGGAACTGAAAACAGAGTGGTTGATGCATTGTTTAGAGTTCACCCTTCAAATGAGGAATTGATGGAAAAGAAGTGTGCAGCTATTACTATCTTTAAGCCTATGTGGATGGGTGAAATTCTTTGCAGCTATGGCACTGATCTATTCCTACATAATATAATAGTTGAGCTGGTTACCTTACCGTAAAATATGTCTTTGTATAACTATTGTGAAGGACTATTGAGACATAAAAGGAAAATTGGTTGTGGGTTGTTCCGGAGATCTGAGGGATTAGATCCTACATCAATTCCACACATCTAGTGTTGGTGGTCATTTGGACATTAATGCCACATTTCAGAAAGTGTCCAGTGTTTTTTGGTGGCCAATGATAAAGCAACATGTACAAACTTTTGTTGCTTCTTGTCAGGTGTGCCAAGTGAGCAAGCATGGGAATGTGCATAATCCATGGTTGTTGCAACCCCTACCAGTTCCAGACCAAGCTTAGACTCATATCTCTATGGATTTTATTGAGCAATTACCTAAATAAACCAACAAAGATACCATCTGGGTGATTGTTGACAGATTTACCAAATAAGTTCATTTCATTGTCATTGCTCACCCATTTACAGCCTCTAGTCTTGCTCAATTATTCCTACAACCAATCTAAAAATTACATGGCTTACCTCACAGTGTCATTTCCGACAGAGATAAAGTATTCACCAGTCAATTTTGACAACAATTGTTTAAGGTGTTGGGGATTGAGTAACTATTAAGCACGGCCTATCATCCACAAACCGATGGATAGACTGAGAGAGTGAATCAACGCTTAGAATCTTACCTCAGGTGTATGTACAGTGCTAATCCTAAGCACTGGTTCAATTGGCTCCCTATGACAAAACTATAGTACAACACTTCATATCACACCTCATTAGGTACGACTCTATTTCATGCATTATATGATTTCCATCCTACACCATGGTTTTTTTAGCCCTATACCTTACACCAATGTGGAAGGGGTTCAAGAGTTGGTCTCCAATCGACAACAAGCCCAACACCTACTTAAACAAGCTCTATTGGCAGCTCAATCTCGTATGAAGTATTATGCAAATTCTCATCGTCGTGAACGCAAATTTAAAGAAGGAGAGTGGGTTTACCTCAAGCTTAAGCCTTATCACTAACTTTCACTTAACTTCAAAGATGTCTAGAAGTTGAGCCCCAAGTATGTTGACCCATTCAAGATTTTAGCTCGTGTTGGTCTTGTTGCCAATCGCTTGGAGTTGCCCACGTCTGCTCGCATCCACCCAGTTTTCCATATTTCTCTTCTGAAGAAACATGTTGGCCCACTGTTCACTGTCACTGCCTCTTTGCCTTCTTTTGATGATGATGGAAAGATTATACTGCAACCAATAAAAATTTTGGCTCGTCGTCTGGTCAAGCGAGGATCCTCGCCGGCGACCCAACTCCTGGTTCAATGGGCTCACCTTCCTGAAGAAGAGGCCATATGGGAGTTCTTTAAGGATTTCAACACCCGGTTCCTTGGTTTTGCGACTTGATGACAAGTCATGTCTGAAGGGGGAGGTATTGTCATGAAGAAGAAGAAGAAATGCAGATATTAATAAAAGCGTGACCTATGTAAACGCCTTTCTTTCTAATTCAATTTAGGCTGTAAATACATGTATTGAACTAATATTGGGCATAATGAAAAATCTAACAGAATTACCTGTCTTCTTCTCCGATCTCTCTTATCTCGCTCACGTTGTTACTAGAGACGTAATAGCTAATTAGTTATTTTAATCTTAATAAAAAATTAATAAATTCTATTATACGATTATTCTTAATTATTTACTAAATTATATCATTCTAAATTATCGTATCTACAGTAAAGGAGACAAGCGAAAAATTGTATTTATTTTTCTTTTTGGCTTGTCATTAAAATTCTCATTTTTTAAGAAAATAATAACAATTATGATCAAATTTTATTAAAATTCATGCTTCAAATGTGTGTTTTTTTTGTTTTTTTTTCAACTTTTTTTCAAAAAAATTTAATATAATACATATTTATTATTTTTATATATTAATTACATAATTTTTTATACATTATATTAAAAAAAATATCCTTCAAATTATTTTACAAAACAAACAAATATACAAATAAATAATAGAGAAAACATTTTTTACATTAGCTATATAATTTCTCGAATCTTACCTATAAAAATATCTTAATCTCAGGACACAAAACAAGCCCATCCTACCAAAAACAGAGTCTACTAATTAAAGCATAACCCATAACTATTAGTATAAAATTAATCGATTATAAATATTGTTAAAAATATATATATATAAAAAAATAGTTCCGCCGATAGTCGTGCCCATGTGCCACAAATAATTTTCGACCGCCCACTTGGAGCCCCCCCTGCAGCACGTGTCTTCCACGTGTGACCATCACGCGCTGTACCCAACTCAGCACTCATATATATATATATATATACACACAATAACAACTATATAAAAAAATTAAAAGTACCATTTTACCAAACGCGTTCCTAAAATCCGGTCAGGTCCGGTCAGATCCGAAATGGCGACGGGGGCAGCTGGAGATGCGTTTCTCCGGGGAATCTTCGAAGGCTGCATTTCCGGCGGAGATATGGGCGTTCAGCGCCGCCCCTACCACCGCAACTGCGGTTGCGCACTCCACGATTCCCGCGGCCGGTGCCCCCATGAATCGCGCTCGAATTCCGTCTCCTACCCCATCCGGAGGTCCTGGAGCGAGACCTGCCTCGCGGTCATCGGACAATCGCCGTCTCCGAGCTGCTCCACCTCTCCATCTGCGGCGGCGGACATCCGGCGGACGTCGTCGCAGCAGTTGCTGTGTAAATCGACGGAAGAAGAAGAAGACGCCGCCTAGGCCTAGGGTTTAGGTTTTCTACCTATTTTTATTTTTACTTTTAGGAATAATTAATTGGTTAATTAATTGTTGCTGCCTGCTATCAAAAATTTGAATTGATTTTTTTTGCGTATCGCTCTTTGCTTCGTAAGATATTTTGTTCATACCCCTTATATATATATATATATATAATATATATTTAAGACAATTAAGACAAGTAGCGGGATATTTTAATTTTATAACAAAATTGATTAAAAAATTAGTATTATGAAAATAATATAAGTTAATTATTATTATCAAAATAAAATTGTAGAGAAAATATATTTATTAGGGTATGTTCGGGTCTGAAAAAAGTTTGGTTTGTATTTGGTATTAAAATAACGATCGAGATGTAAAAAACGGTGTATTTTTTTTTTTTGGTAAATTTTTTATCAGAATCCAAATAATATATGTTTGTGAGTGAAAAAAAATGTACTCCTTCCTTCCCGTAAGTAAATATCTATTTGCTTTTTGCAAATATTTTAGAAATATTAGTTTATATTAGGAATTTGAATAATAAAAATTTTAAATTTGAATATTTGTATGATGTGATATAAACAGGTGTTAATGTTTTGAATGTAAAATTTATTTTTAGTATAATATAATAAAAAATAGGTGTTTAATTTAATATTTTTATGAAAATAAATAAGATGAATATGTAATCCAATCATCCAGACAAACACACCCTAAAAATAAAACTGAAAATATCTGAAACCAAATCAAACAACTAAGCGATATTTGTCGTTTACGTCTTCGTTCAATGAACCGCATTAATTAATATAAAAACAATATATACTCTCTAAAATAAATGATAATGTTTTAATATACATAAATATATATTTAAAGAAATCAAAATAACAAATTTCACATGAATCGGTATTTGACACCTAAAAATTGGTTAATAAAATAGACATTCGATCATTGTACAACTGTGCTCCAGGTTGTACGAAAATGTTATAAAAACTTGTTTATATGTATATATTATATTATTATTTTATAATGTTAATCCAAAATATACTTAAAAAAATAATACTCATAATAATAATAATTGGATTGTGAAATCACAACTAATATTTTTGGTCTCTCTAAGGCCCAAATTTTACCATTTAATATACAATCCAATTCAAGTCCAATCCAAGGTCAAGTTGACCTAAATCTAATTCTTTTGCCAATCAATTCACTTACGATAATTGAGGTCCAAGAACTTTAATATAATACGGAGTCATATTAATACAAATGAATATAAAATTAAAGTTTCATATTTACTAAAAATATTAAAATTTAATATTTACTAAAAAGATTGATATTTTGTATATAAACAATTAAAATTGCAAAATAAATATATTTACAACCGAAGAGTAAAGTAGTAATGTAAAGGTGATATTTTATGTGTTATCTTCAAATATAAAAGATACTCAGTAAATATACATTTCAACATAAGTTAAACTCTAAAATTTATATTTAGTTAGAGTGTGTTTCTCCAAAGGGTTAAAAAAAATAAATTAAATTTATAAAAACATATGGCACGGCCAGTTATAGAAAGATGAATAAGTCCATTTATTTAGTTCTACATTTTCTACATTATTAGATTTCTTCTACCTACCAAAACAATTATATGATAATTAAAATAAAATATATATATATATAATATATATGTTATTTTGTAAATAATAAAAATTTTCATAATACAAAAATATAAAAATACATATGTAGATATAATATAAATAGATATTCAAATTGTACCATTATTAATTTTAATAATTCAAATTTAATATACGTTTATATTATTATATTTATTATCAATACTTTTCAAAACCCTCAAACTCATACCAAACCTATTAACCTAAAAGAGCATATAAATCCAAATATATTTTAAAATTCAAACTCAACCCAAACTCGAACCAAATTTCCCCAAACTTACCAAAAGAAACATACCCTTATATTGATACTATTGAAAGATAGAAGAATCAATCAATGCTTTATTTATTTATTTGTAAAGATGGTATGGTATGTCTCTAGGAAGAAGAATCATCTAATAGCAATGCTTAGCATACTATACTATACTATACTTCCTCTGAATATAATAACCAAGCAAGCTTACCTGGCTGGTTTCAAAGTGATTTATCTATTGCGATCTCCAATGCTTCACCAAATGTACCCTTGAGGAAAGCATTCGAAGCACCTACTCTCCCAGAGCTGATATCAAATTCTACACCATAACTGTAAACAAAACATTACATAAGAACCACAACATTATTCTTTTTCTTATCAAGTTCAAATCAAGTTCAAGAGCACGATACGATGATGATGATGATGATACTCACGGATCAAACACAACACCTCCCGCTTCACTAACAATAAGCACTCCGGCTGCTACCTCCCTGAAAACACAACCAAATATATATATATATATATATGAGATGAAATCCTATAAGCTTATTATATATGTATATGAAATCCTCCTACCAAGCGCCTCCCAAACCCGTTTCATAGGTTAAATCAAGTCTTCCACATGCAACTCCACACAGATTTAACGCACAGGATCCACCTATTCTTACTGACCAAACCTGATCAAATCAGAGTCCCTTTCAGCTGAGGATGAAGAAGTTTCCAATATTCTATTATCAGATCACACTGCCTTGGTTACCTTTAAGAGTAGACGCTTGATCCTATAAGTAACAGCATCTATAGTACGCTCGTCGCGTTTTGTTCCCACCTGCAAATTTCAGTTTACATTGTTAAGAATATCTAGCTGGTTGCATATATGCAGATTAATCACTTTTGCATTAATATGTAGAGGTGAGGTGAGTACCTCTGTGCCAAGAAGGGACTTCCTAAGCTGGGTTTGACTACTGACTGTAGGATTCAAGATCTAAATAAATGCATTGTTCACAGAACTTCTAACTAAAAAATCTCAAAATGAAGTAACTAACCTTTGATAGGATTCCCATTAAGGAAAGCACCTTTTTGACGAATAGCAGTAAAAAGCTGCAAAGACAAAACACAATATTTGTAATACTATTTGCAGCACTTGATATCATGTTGAGTTGAGGAAGGAACTTCTAAGTGATCAATTTGGTGATCTTAAACATCAACATCAAAACAAATGTTGCAATATGTTGCAGAAGTTAAGCTTAAGGATATATGATCATTGAGAAGCTGTAACAATTTTACCTCACCCATTATAGGATTGTAGACAACTGCAACCGATGGAGTTTTTCCAAGTGTAAATGCAATGGACACACATACAAATGGAAATCTGCAAATGGGCATTCAGTTATAGCCATGAGTTCAATGTGAGAACAAAACGAAGATAATATAAGAAACTTACGAATGCAGAAAGTTGGTTGTTCCACCCAAAGGATCAACAATCCAAGTCGGGTCCTTAGTCAATTGTTTGTGAACAAAAGATGTAGGTGATTCTTTCCTTATGAACTACCGAAAAAATAAACGACGAAGAAGCATTTTAACTCAATCATGTCAAGCAAAGATACAGCATAGCAATCCAAAACGGGAAGCATGACTAAATCGTAGGGCTAACCTTATGTTGAGGGAATTTCTGATTCAGAATATTGAATATTAGTTCGTCACAGCGTTTATGAGTTTCAATCACTAAAGGCACCTACGCCATTAAAACAAATGGATGATCAACATGCAAAATAAAATAGCATATCTAGATCGATGCAAAGAAAAGAATGCAGTGATTTAGCTATTCAATATTGCATACATTCCTAAAAGGATAAATAACAAACTCAGAAACTGTTGAAAATCCAGCCACTAAATCACACAAAATCTACATCTAAAGAATATCCACTTGGAAGTGATTCATTAACATACTGTTCCGTTCGAGATGTATTTCGGATACAAAATATATTAACAAATAAATACAACGAAGGTCAGACTAATAATAGGATCAAACATGCTTCTCTCAAAACTTCCAGAATCAACAGAACTGAAACATAGCATCTTACCTCGCCTTTGTGCTCACCTTTCTCCATGTAAAAAGCAGAACGGATTATCTGCAAACCAAAACAAAATTCTGAAATAAATTAATCAAAACCAAAACCACACATTAAGCGGGAAAATGGAGATAGTTTTCAGTGCGGCGCGAAAGCGCCAATACAAGAGTGCTCAATGATAAGGAATTTGGAGATTCAGGCAAGAGCTCCACCTCTCCAGCTTTACGCGCAGCTTCCACCGCCGCGTCCAAGAATTTATCCGACGTACCTGAAATCAAAAACAACACTAAACTACTATGGCACAAAAAAAAAAAAAAACTACACGCACAATGTTCACGGCTGAACTAATCTCGGTACTGCTCGAGTTTTGCTCAGTGAATGCCAATAAGAAAAAAATTTCGAGACCGCCATGCCTTTTTGGGGTGTGCTTGTATCTGGAAGTTCTGGAAATTCAGAGAAGAGCGTCTCCATCTCATCTTCGGCATTAACCTCCACCGAACCTGAAATCCAAACTCAACTGTAATCGCACCAAAAAAAAAAAAATACAACGCGCACAATGTTCACAGCTGAACTAATCTCTGTAGTGCTCGAGTTTTGCTCAGTAAATCCCTATGTGAAAATTTTTTCGAGGCCTCCTACCTCTTTCCGCCATTTCTGGATGCTTCGGGATTGGTTAGTAGTTTTAGAATCTGAATTGTTGTTCATAGTGCTCTGCGACTACGCGGACCATTTATATACTCCGTACATAAACAAAAAAAGTGTGGCGGGGTATAGACTTGCTCAGCCGGTTCCGAACCGGACCGGAACTGCCGTTAAACCAGAACCGTTTCAAAACTCGAACCGGCAGTTCGTTAGGTTGTGTTTATTTGAACGTTTGAATTCTGAGTTCGTGATTTGAATAGTAAAAGATTTGAATTTAAACAGTTGTATGGAGTCCGATAATAAGTGTTGATGTGATGTTTTAAATGTAAAATTAATTTTTAGTATAATATAAAAAATAAAAAATAAGTATTTGATTTGATATTTTTTAAGTAAAAAAATAGAATGAATAATATATTTAAAATTCATTCCCAAACAAACACACCCATATTAGGATATTCTTTTTACTATCTTTTTCTGCCGTGAGTCGAGAGATGGCGTACAACATACATAGCGTACACAAATAGATACAAATACATACATATATAGAGATATTGAGATGGAGGTACGCCCTATGGGTGTGTTTGTTTTGGGGGTTTTGGATTTTGAGTTGAGATTTGAATAGTAAAACTTTTAAATTTGAATAATTATTTGATCTGGTATAAAGAGGTGTTAATGTGATGTTTTGAATGTAAAATTGATTTATAGTATAATATAAAAAAATGAAAAATAGGTGTTTGATTTGATATTTTTTGGGGAAAAAAATGGTATGAATAGTGGAAATAAAATTCAATCCCCCAAACAAACACACCCATATGTCGGATTCAATGATGTAGAACCGTCATGACTCATATTAGTATACACTTAATGAATGATGTTGGACTTGTACCAATAAAGTTTATTATTTTATTTAAACCATGAAGACATGTTATGTCACTCGGCTAAGTGGGAGAATATAAGATGTGACATCATCTCACTTATTAATTAATAGTTTAAATATAATAAAATTAATAATAGTGATAATAATATACTTGGTCTAGTCAAATTAAAAGTGGATCATTATCTCACGTTCTATTTAACGTGGGATAAAGATTTTTTAACGTAAGGATTCTGATCCTCCATTTGCCTATAAACGGTCAAAACAAATTCATTCTATCACATACAAAATAAATTTCGTGTTCTGGCATTGAGGCTAAAAGGGATAAACCAGAAGATTCAACTCAATGTCCTAACCAGAAGATCCAACTTATCATTCTGTATACGAGAATGGTTTTCAACCAAGGTCAGTATATAACATATACATATTTCATTGATTTTTGTGAGAATCATAAAGTTCAAGGTCAAATGAATTAATTTTATTATATTTGATTTTAAACTTACACGTGGTATCAGAGTATGATTTTGAACTTGTGAATTCTTCGATTAAAAATTTCATGCAACATTTTTTAAAATATAAGAGGACGTTATGCAATTTTTAAAGTAAACGAGAGATTTACGCTAAATTTCGAAACCACAAGAACAATTTTGCTTAATAATATATTTAATTTTTTATGTAGATATTTTTAAATTAACTGTTCATGTTAGTAATTTTTATAAAATAAATATGTATATATGAATATTTATATCAAATAAATAATTCTAAAAAATTTCGTGGTCTTCTATATTAGTTTTATCCTCATAAAAAAATACGTTTTAATTATTATAATTTTTCATAAAAAATAATAATTTACATTAAAGATTTTTCACAAATTGCATAAAATATTTTTAAAACCAAAAATTCAAAAATTATGTAAATTTTTATTAAAAAAAATACTCTTTAGATATAAAAGTATTTAATTATTATAATTTTTCATAAAAAGTAATAATTTACATTTATTTTAAAAATAATTACTAACTTCCATGGTCTTCTAAATTAATTTTATCCTCATAAAAAAATACTTTTTAATTATTATAAATTTTCATAAAAAATAATAACTTAAATTAACAATTTTCCAAAAATTATGTAAAATATTTTTTAAAAAGTTTTCATAAAAAGTTCTCTTTAGATATAAAAGCCTTTAATTATTATAAATTTTCATAATAATTTACATTAAAAAATTTTCAAAAATTGTGTAAAATATTTTTAAAACAAAAAATTTCAAAATTATGTAAGTTTCTGTAAAAATAAAATAAAATAAAATTCTTTACATATAAAAGTCTTTAATTATTATAATTTTTCATAATAAATAATTATTACATTTATTCTAAAAACTAATTAATAACTTTCTTTTTTATTATAAAAAGTCCCAAAAATTTCTTAGTCTTCTAATTAGTTTTATCCTAAAAAAAGAAGAAGAAACATTTTAATTATTAGAATTTTTCATAAAAAATAATAATTTATATATCTTTTTAAAAAAGATAATTACTTTAGGGTGTGTTTGTTTGGAAGATTGAAGTTTGAATACACTATTTATTCTATTTTTCTCCAAAAAAATATCAAATCAAACACTTATTTTTTATATTATACTAAAAATTAATTTTACATTCAAAATATCACATCAACACCTATTTATATCACATGATACAACTATTCAAATTCAAAATTTTTACTGTTCAAATACCAACTCAACATCCAAATCCCCAAACAATTCCAACTCAACATCCAAACTCCCAAACAAATACACCCGAATCCTTTTAATTCTAAAAAGTTTCAAAAATTTCATGTCCTTCTAAATTGGTTTTATCCTTATAATTTTTTTTAATTATTATAAATTTCAATGAAAAATAATAATTTACATTAACAATTTTCCAAAAATAAATATTTTTAAAATAAAAATTCCAAAATTATGTAAATTTTATTTTTTTAAAAAAATACTCTTTAGATATAAAAATCTTTAATTATTATAAATTTTCATAATGAAATAATTTTTTACATTAATTCTGAAAAATCAAATACTAATTTTTTTTTAATTCTAAAAAAGTCTCTAGAACTTTAATTATTTCCTAAATTAGTTTTATCCTCGTAAAAAAAGAAATACTTTTTAAATATAAAATTCTATAATTACTATAATTTTTTCCTTTTTACTAATTTATATCAATGTCAATTATGACTTGATTACTGTATTTTTCTATAATTTTTGGTGTATAATTTATTAATATAATCTTTAAATTACAATTTCGTCTAAAAATATAGTAGAAAATATTTTAAAGTAAAATATTCCAAAATTACCTAAATTCCCAAAATTACGCGAGTTTTATTTAAAAAAGATCTTGAAATATAAATTTTTTTACTGTATGACTATTTATAAACAGTAATAATTTATATTAATTCTAAATAATAATTACTAACTTTTTTTTTTTTAATTTAAAAACAAATCTCAAACAATTGTGGGGGAATGAATGGAGAATAATACTCCATTCGTCTCAAATACTGTGTAATATTTGTGTTTGACACATAAATTTACTTGGGGAGTATTAAATATGATAATTTGAAATAATTTGGATACTGAGTGACGTGATTGGAGAGAAAAATGATTATTTATTTTTTTTATTTGAGTGATGTGATGGGATAAAAGTGAAATGTATATTAATATATGCATATAAATATTATTAATTATTTCTAAATCTGAAAATGTTGCAGTAAGTCTGGGACAAACAAAAAAAAAATTTGCAGGGTGTTTGGGACGGAGAGAGTATTATTTATTCATCGATTTATAACATAAATAGATAAAAATAATAATAATAAAAATGTTAGAAGAACAATAATTTTCTGAATAAACTTTTTATTTTAGATGAAAATATTAAATTAAAATAAATCACAAGTAGATATGCATTTATCTTACTATTTTTTATGCTTGTGTGAAAGTTGGTCTCATCTGAAAATTATTCGTCAAAGTGTTAGAAATTGCATAAGAGATCTTCTATATTTACATTAATTCTAAAATATAATTACTAACTTTTTTTAATTAAAAAAAAACTCAAAGAATTATGGGCGAAGAAATTGAGAATGATATTATTCATCTGTTTATGATATAAATAGATAAAAAAAAAATGTATAAATAGATAAAAAATAAAAAATAAAAAATGCTCGAAGAATAATCATTAGAAGAATAATAATTTTTTAAAATACTTTTTGTTTTAGATTGAAAGATTACATTAAAATACACCACAAGTAAATATGTATTCATCTTATTATTTTCTTTAGATTGCACCAATGTTGATCTTACAGGGAAGATGCCCTAAAAGTGTTAGAGAAACTGCATCAACAATCTTCTAGCTTTTAGAATTGAAACAATAGACTTTTTATATCATCTAAAATATTTTTACACTATTTTTTAAAAGTAAATATCCCTAAACATAAATTTTCAAAATTATGTAAAACTAAAATTCTTTAATTATATAATTTTTTATAAACAATAATAATTTACATTAATTTGAAAAAATAATTACTAACATTCTTAAAAAAATAATAAACCCTAAACCATTCTCAAATATATATATATATATATAAAAGATAAGATAAGATAAGATACATATTCACTCTACATACTTATACACACATACATATATACTCATCATATCTCAAAACAAGAGGAACATTTGAGATAAATATCGACAATTAAAAAATATTAGTATTATATTACATTGGATATAAAAATATTTTTAAAAAATTAAAATATTCATATCTTACTGTGAAAAAAGTGAGAATAATTTTTTTAAAAAATAGATAATTAGTTAAAAAAATAAAAAAAAATAAAATAAGACAATTATTTCAAGACACACAATTATACAATTAGATATGACCGTGTGCTGCTTGTATACTGTGTTGTGTTTGATTTTTTTGAAAATTAATTGAAATTATTTATAATAAAACTAAAATTAATAAATTTTTTATATTAAAACTAAAATTAATATATTTTGATTATATAGAATCAAAATTAATCTTTTCTCTTGTTATTTCATCCTTTTGCCCTAATTATTTTTTTTCCCTTTTTAATTTTTTCCTTTGTTATTTCATCCTTTTGTGAGAAGTACCGTCGGATCGGAAGCCCTAGAAGCCATGAAAACAAAGCGCGAGGAATCAGGAAATGCTATGGACGAAGAAGAGGGGACTGCGAAGAGGCGAAGACTGGAGGAACAATCCTCTCCTAACGGCGCGTTTGAAAATCCGCTTCCACTAGCCTACGATGAAGATGATGAAGAAGAAGAGGAAAGCAGGATAAACAGAGGTGGAAATGGACTTGTCAACAACGGCGTAAGCACAGGGCGAAACGGCCGTGATTACTACGAGGACGACGAGGATTCCGAGGAAGAGCGTATAGAAGGGCAAGGGAGGCGCAGTCGCTCTACTGAAGTAAGAAGGGACTGTCCGTATCTTGATACTGTCAACAGACAGGTATTGTACTCCCATTTCTGTTCTTAGAGTTTTTCAGTGTATGCTTTCTTGCTTTATCCTTCTGGGAATGAATTTTAAAATCCTTCCCTTTGCAGTAGTCGTTCACTTGTTCAATCTCCACCAGTTAACTGATAAGGTTTTAATTTCTGTGTAAAGAAAATTCACTACAAATGAATGATTTAATTGCTAGGTGCTCATTTCTGAGGGTTACAATTAACTTGGTATCACCTTCTTTCAGTGAGTTTGTTGTTGGTTTCTTACTACTTTGTTCTTCCAAATTCTTTCCTATCGTAGAATTGCCCATATGGAGATTATGGAAAGAAAATTAAGCAGATATGATCAACCAAGAAAACCTGTTTCTGTGATATTGAACCATAATTGGTGAACTTTCTAAGATGTTTTAGGATACTTCACAATTGATTATGTCTTGCTAATATATATATATATATACATCATGAATTTGTTAGAATAACTAAAAACATATATCTTTATATGTGTGTACAATAATTGGTCATGACTAATATCAGTGTGGTTGCTGGCATAAGAGTTTACCAACTTTAAAATATCTATCACTGACAAAGTAGCCTGTAACCCTCTGCAGATTTGTTATTCAATGTAATAACTGCTATATCAATGTAATATCTATCACTCCCAACCCCCTTCCCACCTTTTGTTGCAATAATATGTTTTATAATGTTCACAGTTGACAATAATAATTTTGATGATAGATTATTACTATCTAAGTTCTATTTCTCAGTTGATATTTTGTACCTTCGCAGGTTTTGGATTTTGACTTTGAGAAGTTTTGCTCAGTATCTCTTTCAAACTTAAATGTGTATGCCTGTTTGGTTTGTGGGAAGTATTATCAAGGAAGAGGACCTAAATCTCACGCATATACGCATAGTCTTGAAGCAGGGCATCACGTCTACATTAATCTTCGAACTGAGAAAGTTTACTGCCTTCCTGATGGATATGAGATTATTGATCCATCACTTGAGGACATTCGGCATGTTCTCAATCCAAGGTATGTTTGATATAGAAATTTAAATTTCCCATTGTGCTAGCACCCTTAATTGTATTTACTTGCATCACTTTGTTCCATCTTGACATTTTTTTTTTTTTTCTTGACTGGTTGATACATGCATCACTTTGTTCCATCTTTCTATTTTAGTGTCTCCTACTTCGCTATCTTATGTATTTTAATTTTATCATTTGATCTTATTGTAAATTGCACAGGTTTACACGAGAGCAAGTTGAGCAGCTAGATCGGAATAGGCAATGGTCGAGAGCACTTGATGGCTCGGATTATCTTCCTGGAATGGTATTCACACGTCTTCTTTTTTTAAATTATTTTAATCACAAGCATTGTTGTCATGGCGTCGCCGTGGCATCCTGGCGGCTTTTAAGGGGCGCCGCAACTCTTCGCCTCGCCTTACCAAAGAATGTTGTTTGGAGATGCTTTAGCAACGCTGTGGCGACGCTTCAACGCCGCCACGGCGATGCCATGGCACGGGGAAGGCTAGCCCAGAGCCTCCGAAGCCCAACCCAAGCCCCAAAACCACATCGACATCAACTTTGAAACCGAACCCTTAACTTCTCATCCTCTCTCTCCCCCTGTCATCTCTCTCCCTGCTCTCTGGTCTAGTCGCTAATGGCCGCTGCATTGTGCAGCCCCTCCCCTTCACATATCTCTCCCCTCTCCTCTGGTCTAGTAGTTAATAATCGCATCATAGAGTTCTTTTCCACTATTTCTTATATTTTTTAATTTGTTATCTACTTTATTACTCTTGAAGTGCTATTACATTATTACTTATTTTAAAATTTCAAATTAATTAATTATTTTTATTTGTTAGTTATTTTGTATTTTCTTGACATGTTACTATAAAATTAACAATTATAGGCATTAGTTTCTTATAACATATAATATATATAAGTTTTTTATATACGTGCGCCGTGTTCGCCATTTTGTCGCCATGGCGGGCGCCATGTCGCCATGGCGGGCGCCATGTCGCCATGGCGGTATGGCGGTTCACAGGCGTCGCTCCGCAAAAGGACGCTGTGACAACCTTGATCACAAGCATGTCAGAGTAAGCATCCACTGAAGTTTTAGGTACATGAAATAAGCACTTTTGTGTCCGAAGATATGGACAGAATGAAGTATTTTTGTAAGACTATAATTTAATGATTAACATCTATTATATAGTAAATGTTAATTGTTAGTTTAGGATATGCATGTGCACATTATATATAAAAATGCAAGAATATTCAGTAATTCATTTGTAGGTTTTGACTTTGTTTTTAAACTGAAGAAATAATCAAATTTTTTACTATTTGTGATAAAGTGCTGCAGCAGGACGTGAGATTGTGTCCATGTAAAACAACCAGAGTGTTAATGTTTTCTTTCATTTCTTCTGTTTGAAATGTTTGCAGGTGGGGCTTAATAACATCAAAGAGACCGACTTTGTTAATGTCACTATTCAGTCTTTGATGCGTGTTACTCCCTTGCGGAACTTTTTTCTTATCCCTGAGAACTACATCCACTGCAAATCTCAACTTGTTCTTAGGTTTGGAGAGCTCACACGTAAAATATGGCATGCAAGGAACTTCAAAGGACAGGTTGAATCCTTCTTCTGTTTGTAAATTATAATTGTCATCCTTTTAATATGGCTCTTCACATGCTGATAGTCAGGATTTGGCAGGTGAGTCCACATGAATTCCTGCAGGCAGTTATGAAAGCTAGCAAAAAACGTTTTCGAATAGGTGCACAATCAGATCCAGTTGAATTTATGTCATGGCTTCTTAATACACTGCATGGAGATCTTAAAACTTCAAAAAAGGGCAGTAGCATCATTCACCAATGCTTTCAGGTTTGCTCTGTTAACCACAACCACGTGGCTCTGCTCTCTTTAAGCCTACTGCTTTATGTGATATATATATATATATTACTATCTTTCTGTTGCTAAATGTTTACATGATATGCTTTTCACAGGGTGAATTGGAAGTGGTGAAAGAGATCCATGGCAAGTCAATCGCAGAGAGAAAGCAAAGTGGAGACAACCAGGATAATGGTGATGATAATGTCACTCTAGTGGACAATGTACTCATGGAAACCAGTAAAATGCCTTTCATAATGCTTGGGCTGGACTTGCCTCCTCCTCCTCTATTTAAGGATATCATGGAGAAAAATATCATTCCACAGGTTTATATATTTATATATATTTACACTTGAAATTAAGTTCACATTATTGATTCCCACATAATGTTTGACTTGTTAGTTGTTATTCTTTGTATTAGATTGTTGGTGTGTGTTTATATTTGAATTAGATATCTAAGTTCATTCAGGACTACTTTAGTATTTTCTCTGCATTTTGATCTTCTTATTATTGCCCTTATGGTAGAAGAGATCATTATGAACGTTATAAAGTGCTATCTTTCGTTCTTATTATCTTGTTCGCTAGCTAAAATTTCTTTGTTCGCATAGTCTAGTATCACTCATGGATGGGATGTCTACCTGGTTTTATTATTTGTTGAATGTAGGAGATGGTTTGGGTATTGTTTTAGTGTTTTAGATTCACATGCTACTCAACAGTGTTCTAAATTGCATAAGGGGATTTGCTTGTATTGTATTTAACAATTTTTTTGTTGTTTCCTGACTTCCTCTTGATCACTAACCAAGTTTTCTTCTGCTCTAAAGATAAAATGTCTTCCCCAATCTGATTCTCCAGTTAGTATATGGGGGATATGTTGGAAATTATTTCTGTTTTTGAGTCATGCTGCTCAAATACTGTTCTGGTTTGTGTAAATGGACTTGCATTAAAAGTAAGAGAAACATATATGATGCATAACTTAGAAATGCCTACTAGACTAGTTGGTGTTTTAATATAATTAGCTGTGAGTCCCTATATGAATTGTAATTTTACAAGCTCGACAAAGGTTGGCTAGTTAATCAAGTCAATATATATATATATATATCAGGTTCCACTTTTCAACATACTGAAGAAGTTTGATGGAGAGATGGTGACTGAAGTTGTGCGCCCTCGTATAGCAAGGATGAGATATCGTGTCACAAAGTTGCCCCAGTATCTTATCCTCCATATGCGCCGATTTACAAAGAACAACTTTTTTGTGGAGAAAAATCCTACCCTAGGTAAGTAATTATATTGAGCATGAAGTAATATGGAATGTTTTCATGTTTAGTTTTACAGTGCCTGCATTTTGATCTGAGATTCATCTTCCAACTTGGATTGTTATGTTATTGTATATGAGTCCTTGTGTTGTGTTTTTTGCCTCGGACCTTTAGTTATCTGTTGTTGGGTATTCTTAACTTTTCTTATCATTGCTTTGGGCTTCGATTTTTTCTTAGTTAATTTCCCTGTGAAGAATCTTGAGCTGAAGGATTACATCCCACTGCCTGTGCCGAATGAGAATGAAAAGTTGCGATCGAAGTATGATCTAATTGCTAATATAGTTCATGATGGTAAGCCGGGCGAAGGATCCTATAGAGCCTTTGTGCAGCGGAAGTCAGAAGAGCTATGGTAATAATATTTAGACAGTCGTTCTGCTTTAATAATGTTAATGTATTCCAAGCAAGCATTGTTGTGGTGTTTAAGGTATGAGTATGTGGTGAACTTGTTAGGTACGAAATGCAAGACCTTCACGTATCAGAAACTTTGCCACAGATGGTTGCCCTTTCCGAGGCATACATGCAGATATACGAGCAGCAGCATTGATTGTATACTTTGCTGAAAGCTGAGGTTTCCTTCTTTGAGCCCGATCAGAGGTATCAATATTATTATCATTCTATCATTTACTGTTATAAATTTCACTTAATGACCAAAAGCAGCATTCAGATTCTGATGCTCATGCATGCCAAGAAGAGTTTAAAGGAATTTACTTGGAATTTTTGTGAGTGATATTTGATATTCGATGCTTTATAGGTTCTGTTCTCCAGAATGAGTAGCTGCTTCATGCAGTAGTATTTGTATTTAAAGAAAAATAGACATTATATGAGTTAGTTTGTTTGATCAATACATGTCGTTTGATTTACCTGTGTCCAAAAGTTTTATTTCATCATGAGGGAGGGATATTTTTGTGTTCTGTTTAAGGTTTGGTCATTTTATATATCTTGAAGATGCAAGAACAATATTCTTGATTTTGTGTTGGAAAGGGGGTTGGACTTGTGACTGTGAGGTTATGGGTTTAAACCCCCGACGCCTCAGGTCATCTGTTACATATGATTCGCATAGTGTAACTTGCCTGTCAGACCTAGTTTGTAGGGTATTAGGTTCGGCCGGGAGTTTACCGGTGCGTACTTTCGAGTAGCAGTTGCGGGTTCTACGTCAATAAAAAAAAAAAAACCATGTTACAATTATTATTATTAAAAACCTTTGTAATCCACATATATAATGATATCTGTAAAAAGAACAACCAAATATGATAGATCCATATTACTTTAAAATTTGGATTTTAATGGCTAATCTATTATACATAACGATAAATTACAAATGGCCCAATATAACATGCAATTGCAATCTCTTGTGAATATATGTTCTCATTGAATTTTGCGGTTTCTTATTATACACTTCTCTCGTAATTTTTTTACTATTTTATTAAATATAAATATAAATAAAAAATAACTAAAACACACCATAGAATATTCCATATGTTTCATATAACCGATAATCCAGTTTCATATATAGACTATAGTTTGAAAATTTGGAGTCATTTTTTATTTTATACTAACTTTTAAGGATAATAATTTTCAAAGTGTTGATAAATAATAATAATAAAATAATAATTTTATTTTTAAGAAAAAAAAATAGGTACAAGCCTAGGATGCTGGAGCATATGCTTTGGAATACAAAATACGCAATTAATTAATTAATAAATTAATTAAACCTCCTTAAATCCATCCACCATTTTTGGGAATCTTGATTGCGACCATATTCTCTCTCTCTCTCTCTATATATATATATATATATATTTATTATTTATCTACATACATGATACATATAATCAAATAATATTTATATATACCCGATGGTTTAGGTCACTTGCCACACATAGTTCGCATAATGTGATTTTTTCGTCTGACTTGATTTACAGGGTATTAAGTTCGGCCGGGGGTTTACCCAGTGTGCACTTTCGGGTATCGGCTGCGAATTCCCACGTCATCAAAAAATTAAAAAAAATAAAAAATATTTATATATAAATGATCCCAGAATTCAAAGAGATAGTTACCATACGTGCAAGCATGAACCACACCTAAGCTTAGCTTTCAATTCTTTTCTCTCTCTCTCTATATGTAGATATATATAAATATATATATATCTCTATATAATTTGAGAATTATAAATGGGGGCAGAGAAAGAGAGGAGAAGAGAAGAGGAGAGAATGGTCCAAGAAAGCTGGAGTAACTGCATTATCTATGTACTATCTATAATACATTCACAATTTAAGCAACCTCGATCCCAATAATAACTTAGGGCTTTATTATTATTATTATTATTATTATTTTCACTATACAATGTACACAATTACTTATACAAGATTTTCCCTTCCGTCCCGAAACTAAGTATCTATTTACTTTTTGCGCGTAGTTTTAGAAATATTAGTATTATACTGAGATATAGTAAGAATAAAGTAGAAATGACTAAAATAACCTTATTAGTATATGTGATATAAAGGTAATAACATTTGTGTAATATATGGTAAGTTGTAAGGGTATTTGTAATGTTAGATAAAAAGTAAAATTACTAAAAAAAGAAATGGATACTTTGTTATGTGACGGTCTAAAATGGGAAAATGGATACTTTGTTATGAGACGAAGGGAGTATTTATTTTTACATACTTATAAAATATCACATTCAATTATTATTTAAATAAAAAATAATTTTTTTTTTTTTTAAAAAAAACATCTAGAATACAGTTAGTATAAGAAAAATCAAAGCATCTCGTGTGTATTATATATATATATAAGAGAGAGAGAGAGAGAGAGAGAGAGAGAGAGAGAGAGAGAGAGAGAGAGAGAGAATTGAGGTCCAAGAAAGAATCTTTAACGTGGGAACTAACAAATATTCATCATCTTAATTGGCACTCTCATCTTGTTCGTCATTAAATAAATGATATATATATATATATTAAATAAGGAGAAGAACGGTGCATTTGGTTGCAAGTTTAGAAATTCGAATTTATTTTAAGTAACGAAATAAATGTAAATGGAAGTATAATATTATATATATTTGATTTAAATTGAATTTTAAAAATCACACTTCAATAAAAATATATTAATATGAAATTTTAATTTTTAAGGGTAAAAATAAATAAATAAATAAATAAAAGTGAGAATTTTAATTCTTAAGGGAAAAAACCAACAATTTAGGCCTTATGAACTATTTTAATAAATTAGCTTTTTGAATGACCAACAATTAGAAAGTTTAATTTTTTAAAAAGTAAAATTTATTTTTCAAATACCCTCTAAATTTTTTTACAAATTTGAAACTTTTAACATTATTCCTCAATATTAACCTTTTAAAAAATGTAAGATAAATATATTTTTTTCTCCAATAAATATCACATCAAATATACAATTTTTTTTATATGTTTTAAAAAAATTTCAAAACTCTAAAATTTTCAATGTTAAATGTAACTAATGAACTCAATCATAAAACTATTGCAGATTTTTATTTTAGGACAATTAAAAGTCACAAATAGCAATTTCGTCACAAATTTATGACACGATTTTTTTGCCATTACTGTTTCATGAGTAATATTTGCAGAAACGTCACAAATAAATTTCCGAGACTATTAAAAGTAGCAGATTAAGTAATGAAATTGTCTAAGACATTTATATTCCGTGTCTTTTATTATTTCGTTAAAAATATTATTAAGTTGTGACTAATTTAAACTACGGTACAAATAGTTAAAGTATTCACAACATTTTAAATTGTTACGAACATTGATATGGTATAATTTTTGTGACTTTTAAAGTTACATCATAAGTAAAAAAAAGTATCCGCAATATTTTCAATACCATAAAATACTAAACAACTATTTCAATTAATAACAAAAATAATAAAATTATCGTCAATATCTTTTTTTTTTTAATGAATATTTATGATTATTTTAAATCATGGCATAAATTCAAAAATATTCATAAAATTGTAGTTCTACGTATGTATTCATAAAAAAATTACTTGTGGTTACATTATAAATAATTTTATTTATTTTTTATTCTATTTAATTAATATATGTTAATTTAATTTATTACAAAAATTTATGTGACTAAATATGTAACTATTTATAATACTATCTTCGTCCGACTCTAAGGTCTCATTTATTTTTTACATGTTGATATTTGAATATTAATTATTATATCAAAACATAGTACATAATAAGAAAAAATTGCAAAACTATTTCCATTTGTATCTTATAATACTAATAGAAGGACTTTTGTAAAAAAAAATAAAAAAATATACAAATATAAGAATTTTTTTAATGTTAAATACAATGACGCAAAATATAAATTTGACCCTTAGAGGCGGACGAATGGAGTAATATATAAACAATAGATTTAAATGTATTGCTAATTTTGAAATTTTATATGCGATATTTCAAATCCTGGCAACACGTTCCGACTTGCAGAGTTTTGATGGTAGTTAGAACTTAAGACTTGCAGAATAATTCGAAAAATAGTATGGTATCATAGTGTGTGCTTGCATTGAATAATAATTACTAATATAATCATATTATATATATAATCACAGAATTATTGCAATTTCTGTTGATATAAAGTCACTGAAAGATAATGATATCATTTTGTAACTTATTGTCACAGAAATATTACTATTTTAAAAAAATAGCAAAACTTTTGCAGGTTCTGTTGCAAAATAAAATCACAGAAGTCTTATAGTATTATCTTATAACTTATTGTCAAAGAAATATCACAAATTTAAAAAAAGTCACTAGCGAAATTCTACGAAAGTAGTTCCGTATATTTTTTCGTGACTTTTGAGTCCCAAAAATCACAAACTTGTATTGAAATCGTGATTGCCCCCCCGCCCCCCCAACTTTTATCTAATCTTCTAGTAGTGAATGCAATAAATAAAGAAATCGAGACATACATTTACAACCAAGAATGTTAGAAATACACATCAACATAAGTTCCTACATTCTAAGCAAATTACCACGAAAGGGATCATGTCAAATTAAAACCAAACTAAGCTAACAAATTTCCTAAAAAATATGAATCAAATCAGCCCTAACAAATTAGTCCTAATCAATATGTACATCTCAAAGTATATAAATTTTACACGATCGATCAATAGTTCCACAAGGAGTCGAAATCCCCGAATCCGAGGCCCTCGAGTTCTTGATCGAAGCCACCCTTCTTGTCGCTCTCGACGTCCCCAACAGATGTAATCTCGTTGCTGAGCCCCGTCTCTTGAGATTGACTAATAACCGAGTCATTACAAGAATAGCGCTCGATTTTTGGCGCCAGAAACCTAGGATTCGCTCGATCATCAACTCCTTTGTAAGGAAACCCTAAATTTGTGTTCCCCTCATAGCCCGGGGGGAATGTCGATCCAATCATGAATCCGTCGTGATGGTAGGATGAGGATGGGGCTTGGCGCGAAAGTAGCGAATTCGGGAGGGCGAAATGGGAATTGTTTAGGGTTTGATGAGGCTCGCTCGGACAAGCATTGTTCGTGTAGTCTAACAATGGTGGAAGCGAAGAAGTATTACCACAAGGACTCTCCGCCAAGAGATGCTCCACAAGTGAATCGATTCTTGCAAGCTCCATACGGGCGCTTGGGATTCTTCGAATCCCGTTGTTCTTGTTGAACACTCGACAAACAACCCATTCATCCTGAGCAAACAAGATAGATAAGAGACGATGACAAACACTTGTTCAAAAAATTACTATTTTGGTTCTATATATAAAAGTAGGGTTTCTTATCATCACTTCAATTTGTTCAAAAAGTCTAATATAGAAATTTTAACTTTATTTACAAGACTAAAATGATCGATCAAGAAAAAATATATAGGCTCCGTTTATACAAAAATTCTAAAAGTTTTATAAAATTTTAGAAATAGTAAAAACTTGAGCATATTACATGTGATATATATATTTAAAATTACTACTATAAATAATATCAAAAGTTTCAAAAAGTACCTTAGCTGCCCTAGAGATGGTGTAGTCGGAGAAGTTGCCCTCGAGTCTATACTCGTGCATAACCCAATTGGTTTTCTCGCCTTTTGGGGCTCTCCCTTTGTAAAAAACTAGGGTCTTTTTCATGCCAACGAGGTTGTTCCGACTCCCGGCCTTGTAGATCTCCTTGTCCTTACCGGTCGCTTTCCAATACCCCGACTCGGTTGCCCTATTTGTTCTCATCCCCGTCGGGTATTTCCGGTCCCTTTGGCAAAAGAAGAACCACTCTTTCTCGCCCATTTTCGCCTTCTCTACAAGTTTAAAAAAATTACAAACAAACACAACTCATAAAATTATTGACACTAATGAATTTCTTCAAAGGCATTTTTTTTTTCAACTTAAATATTATTTTTCATCCTTAAAAGTAAACATTGGCTTAATTGTTACATACTCAACGTATACTAATTTTTGTAAACACTCAAATTTGTCGATTTGATCCAATTAATCTTTACCAATATAATCCTTACTATGCATCACGACAATAAATAATAAATTATCAATGATTCATATATACAAAATCATGCAATAAATACTACAAGATCAAAATACTTCAAAAACCCCAATTGAATAATATTCTCATCTCATTAAATTAGTTCACACACACAAATTGTTCATACAAATCATATATTTCACACACATATATATATATATAAATCAGCAAACCTAACTAAATAGTAGGATAGATCATAGATTTGATATTATATGAAAAAATAAATAAATAATTATTTTTTTAAAAAATAAATAAATAAATAGAGCATAATAATAATAATAATAATAATAATTACTTGGTAAATCCCAGGGTTCGGATTTATTAAGATCAGCTTGTCCAATGGCAGCAGCAGAGAAGGTTCTATCTAGAACCTTCCTGAGCAGATACTGCATGACGATCTCCTCGTCCGTCGGATGGAATCGGAATCCCGGCGGCAGGTCGACGGCGAGTCCCTCCGGCGAGCGGAAAACATCGTCGTCGTCGTCGTTATGACTGCACAGGACTGCAGGATGATGGCCAACTGTATCTGCACCCAACAACAACCCTCCATCCATTCTAATTTTCTTATAAATTAAAAAAATAAAATAAAATAAAATGAAAAAGGGAGCTTGATTTAATTTATATATATATATGATGATGGGGCCAATAATGGAAGAGAAAGGGAAAGCTGAAGAAAATGAAAGAAATGAAGGAATGGGATAATGGGATGGGAGGTTGAGTTATATAGAAACACAAAATAAATTAAAATTAAAATTAAATTAAAAGAAAGAGACTATTTATTTAATTATATAAAAATTAAGAATGAAATTGAATTGCTTGGGGATTAAGGAAGTTTCGAGGGAAACTGCGGTGGGGATTTTTTGTGTTGCTGGGAAGGAACCCAAGTTTAGACGACTTCTTTCTTTTCTCACCCACATTTTATTTTTATATAATTATTAGTATTTATAATATAATAATTAAATGGTGATGTAATAATATTACGCCAGAAGCATCACCGCATTATTGATCCATTCATACGTACAGTCAGTCATACTGCTACCAGATTTTTTGTTGCGTGTGTATGTCATTTTCAGTATTTTTACCGTAATTTTATTATTATTATTATTATTTTTTTAATATTAAATCAAATACTTATTATTTATTTATTATATTACACAAAAATTTTATTTTAAATTCAAAATATTGTATTAATATATATTTATATTACATCAAATAATTATTTTAACTCAAAATTTTACTATTTAAAATCAAAACTCAAAATTAAAATCAAAATCTTCCATGTAAACACACCATTTATGTTTCTGTCATAAAAATTACTTTCTCATTCTCGAACAAAAATGTCAATACTCCGGTAGATAAGTTGAATTTAAAAATTAAACGCCCTTCATCCCAATAGTATAATCTTATTGCATGGGACACGAGATTTAAGAAATTAATCTTATATTATATTAGTAGTTGGTAAAAAGTAAGGATAAATGACTTTTTTTTCCCTTGTGGGTATATTAGTGTAAAAAGTTGTGGCAATTGTGTAATAATAATGAAAAATCATGGATAGTTTTATGGTGATATGATTATTTATGGAAATGAGATTATTGTTTTGGAACGAACAAAAATGGTAAACAAAACTATTGTATTGAGACAGAGGGAGTATATATAATTAATAGTAGCATCTTTTACGGTTATTATCTCTGTCTCATTGTCTCTTTTTATCTTTCTCATCCATATTATATCTATTTCAATATTTAAATCATTTCATTGATCACTTGTCACTCTATAGTAAATCATCTTCAATCCATTACTTTTACTATTTTACATATACACAATAATTTATTCATTTCTATATATTTTTATTATGTAATAATATATATAAAAAATATATAAATAATTTATTTATCTATACATATTTATATATATATATTTTTTATTATCTATAATATTTTTAAATTTTAATATTAACTTATATAAATTTTAATAATTGAATATATTTGAAATAAATCAACATATATATTAATTAAAAATAATAAAAAAATCATAATAATTAACAATACAACTTAAAAATTATTATTTTTATTTTTAAATTGTATCCAAATAATATATGCAGTAATGTAACAACAAATAATTTTAAAATATGATAGATAAAACGTGAAAATTGGTTAATGAAATTTAAATATATATAATTTATATTAGATTTATAATTTCAAATTTCAAATTTTTTTGGATAGTATTTAATTTGATTCAATTTTTTTTTTTTAATTTCCGTGGTAACCAGTTCTTGAAAAAGATAATAAATTTTGATAATGTATTTCTTGTTAAAGGTAATGAATTTTGTTATAATAAAAACTGAAAAGACAATTATAAAAATAATGAAGAAGGAGATGGTAATGAATGCTCCAACTTATTAAAAAATATACTAATAAAAATAATTACAAATTAAAATTAGCATAACTAAATAATTTAATTAAAATTAAAAAAATTATCAATTATAAAATTTTAAATATGATTAAAATATTTAATTATTTTTTTTCAAAAAAAAAAAATCGCATTAAGTAGAACAAACGAAAATTAGAAAAAAAGAAATTATTTGTTTGGGGGTTTGGATTTTGAGTTGGAATTTGAATAATAAAAATTTTGAATTTGAATAGTTGTATCATGCGATATAAATAGGTGTTGATGTGATATTTTGAATATAAAATTAATTTTTAATATAATATAAAAAATAAAAAATATATATTTGATTTGATATTTTTTGAAAAAAAAATGAGATGAATAATATAAATTCAATCCAATTCTCTGTACAAACAAAAGTGTTTGTCAGTGTGCTCAAAACTTTTGGACACAAATTAAAAAAATAGTAATTTAACGATACTTTCGCACTTTTGTTGAAAAAAAAAAAAACAAATAAGAATTTAATTGGAACTTTTGTAAATTTGATAAATATATAATATAGATTATGCCTAATAAAAATATGACATATGTATAAATTAAATAAATGTGGAAAGAATGAGTAAAAATTTTAAAATAATATTCCCTCCGTCCCAAATAACGTGTATGTAGACACGGTATTTTAGAAGGGGTGTAATTAGTAGATAATTAAGAATGTATTAGTAAAAATAATTATTCTATCATATAAATAATTATAAATTAAGATTTAGATAACTAATTAGTTTAATTAAAATTAAAAAAAATTAAAAATTTAAAATGAGATTAAAGTGTATAATTATTTTCAAAAAAAAAATGATATGGTATGTGAGACGGACAGAAATGGCAACGTGGACATGGTATCTAGTACGGAAAAAATAGTACTTTTTTACTAAAAATATTATTAACATATTTTTTATGAATAGACTAAATGAGAAAATGAACACAGTTTTTTTTTTATAGAAAAGAGAGTATATCATTTTTTCTTTCAAAATATAATTAAATCACTATTTTAAATAAAAATTTAATGGTAAAACGAAATTATTATATAAATAAAAAAATCATCAAGGACGGTATATTTCGGGTCTTTTTTTATAGATAAATTTGAATATTATAATGCTATTCATATACATTAATAATTTTTTTTTAACATAATATAACATCAAATAATTATTATATCTTAAAAAATATTAAATTAAATACCTAATCGTTTATTCTTTACAAACTAAAATTTCAAAACTTTGATAAAGTATTTTAAGTTATTTTTTGATAATATATTAAATAAATATGTGTTGATATCTAATATTAGACCATAAAAGCAACAAACCTAATTGTTTTGTTCTATTTTGGCTTTTATTTTAACTAATTTATCTATGCAAAGTATATTATAGTGTGTTTGTTTGGGGGATTGGATTTTAAATTCACTATTCATTTCATTTTTTCTCTCAAAAATATCAAATCAAACATCTATTTTTTTTTTACTCCCTCTGTCCCAGAAGAAATGTCTGGTTGGGAGTTGACACGCGAATTAGAAATAATAATATTAAATTGAAAGTAGATATAAAGTAGGACGTAAAAGACTATAATGTCCTTGCTTTTTGAAGAATTTTAAAAATAGATTAGAGTAATAATTAGGGGTAGTTTGGAAAAGTAGGAATAATTTTGTTATAAAGTGGGGACCACAGTTACTAAATAAGGAAATAAGATAATTGTTTTGGGACGGACGAAAATGAAAAAAACAAGACAACTCTTTTGGGACGGAGGGAAGTATATTATACCAAAAATCAATTTTACATTCCAAACATCACATCAACACCTATTTATATCATTATCGTACAACTATTCAAATTCAAAATTTTTATTATTTAAATCTCAACTCAAAATCCAAACTCCCAGACAAACACACCTATATATATATTTGTCAAAATAAATATATGAAAGTTTTATGAAATAGTGCAATTTTGAAATGAGTTTATTTACTAAGTATGGTAATAAATTTATACATAAATATTTATCATATAGTTATATCAAAACACTTATGTATGAGTTCCTTCTTTTCTTAATTTTATTTTGTATTTTGTATTTTAATTTTAATATTAATATTTTATTAAATATATATATATATTTATTTATTTATATGAAATATGAATATAGTACAGTAAAAAATTGAAAGAGTCAAAATATTTACGGAAGGCATTTGAAAGTTTACAAGAAAAATTCAGGTTTAACAAAATATAATTATAATAATATATGTAGTATGTATATTTATTTATTTATTAAAATATTATTTTCAATATTATGTACAGTTTGTTTTCCAAAATAAATAGGATATTAAAATATAGCATTACTATTATTTTAAAAAGTTACATAAATTATAATTTTTTTAAAACTCCACATTCAATAAAATGGAGTATATCGGAGTGCAAGTAATTTATACTCCCTCCGTCCCATGTAATATAGATGTATTACCGTAGACACAGGAATTTAGGTAAAGTATAATTAATAAGTAATTAAGAAATATATTAGTAAAAATAATTATTATTTAGTAAAAATAATTATAAATTAAGATAAAATAAGTAAATAGTTTAATTAAAATTAAAAAAATTATAAAATTTAAAATTTAAAATGCGATTAAAGTGTGTAATTATATTTCCAAAAATAGAAATAACAAGTTATGTGGGACGGACGAAAATATAAAATAGGAACAAATTACGTGGAACGGAGAGGGTAAAAAGTTTGTAAGGTATGACGGTGACGTCATGCTGATGGCAAAGTGACTGCATGTACACGTCTTAGCCAACGCGGAAGAGAGTGGAAAAAAGTTGTATTTGTTGAATGAGATAAAAAAAAACTCTATTATTATTATTATTATTATTAGTCAAAACATAGAAAAAGGTATAGATGTAGCTACATTATCCATAATAATAATAATAATAATGATAATAATAATAATAATAGTCGGCTGCGGGTTCACACGTCATATAAAAAAAAAAAATAATAATAATAATTAATTTTAAATTTAATTTAATAACATTGTTTAATTATGCATTTATTGGATTTATGAATGAGTCATTATATATATATATATATATTAATTTAATTTTAGTTTGTGAGAAATAAATGATAAAGGTGAAGACTTGGTGAAAAGAATAGGAAATTTACATTAAAATAAAGAAATAATTATAAGTTGTTGCTTTAAGGATACTTAGATTAAAGAAGTATTTTATATATTTATTTTTAATTTAAATTTATATATT